AAAACTTAAATTTATATATATAGTTAATTATAAATTCGAGATTATTACGCTTTTTAATTAGACTATTTAAGTTAGCTCGCTAGCTCTCTTAAGATCTCTTATTAAATAAATAGATATACGTTATTTACATATAGAATAGCTTTTCTATTTTCTATTAAAATTTTAAGATTATTTTTTTAAATTATAGAGTAAAGATTACGCTTTTCGATAATATAAAAGTTTTAAAATTTTATCTTATAATTATTAACGAATAAGGATCTCAAATATCGCTTATTAAAGTTCGCTTATTAAAGTTCGCTCGATAGCTCTAATTAAAAAATAGATATATATTATTTAATTTTAAAATAACTTTTTTATTTTCTATTAAAATTTTAGAATTTTTCTTTTAAATTATAGAATGTAATATAGGCTTTTAAATAAAAAAAGAAAAATTAAATTTAGTCTAATAAATATTTAAAGATAAGAAGTTTAAATATCGCTTATTAAAGATCGCTTATTAAATTTACTCGATAGCTCTAATCTAAAAAAATAGATTTAAATTTAATTTATAGATCTTTACTCGTATAAAAAGAATAAAATAAAAAGAATAAATAAAGTAATAGAAAACTATAATAGATATAATTACGTTACGTTAAGTTTAATATATTATTTAATTAAACTAGCGATCGTTAAATAGAATTAATTTTACTTTAAATTATTCTTTTAAAATTCTTTATTAAATCTATCTATATCGTATATTAATCGAAAAGATATAATATATTCTATAGAATATTTTATATTAAGTAATATAATATCGTATTCGAGTATAATATAAATAGAATCGAATATTATATTATATTTCTAATATGAATTTAGAATCTTAACGATATATATTATAATATAGTATATCTATAATATTATATTATAGAACGAGTAAAGGTCTATAAATTAAATTTATAATTTTTTTCTTAATTAGAGCTATCGAGTAAATAGATAAGCGATATTTAAATTCCTTACGCTTTAATAATTATAAGACTATATTTAAGAATTCTTTTTTTATTTAAAAGCTTATATTTCGTTCTATAATCTTTATAAAAATGTTAAAATTTAAATAGAAAATAAAAAAGTTATTCTAAAATCAATTAATGTATACCTGTTTTTTAATTAGAGCTGTCCGGCTATCGAGCGAACTTTAGTAAGCGATATTTGAATTCCTTGCGCTTTAATAATTATTATATCAAATTTTGAGATTCTTAAAAATTTGAAAAGCGTAAATAACGCTCTATAATTTAAAAGAAAAATCTCAAAATTTTAATAGAAAATAAAAAAGTTATTCTATTTGTGAATAACGTATCTTAATTTTTTAATAAGAAAGGCGTAAGAGAGCGAGATTTTAATAGTTATAAACGCTAATTTATTTATTTATAATAACTTAGTCGATCTAATTAAAGAGCGTAGTAACTCTAAATTTATAATTAATTATATATATAAATTTAAAATTTTATAACTTAGCTCTATCTTATTCTTTTATATATACTAATATATATATAAAATATTTTAATTAAGATTTCTATATTTAGAAGTATAAGTAGCTATTTTAATTATTATTTTAATTAACGATTAATCGTATAACTATAATATCGTAGTATTTTACTACTATAACTATTACTATTATAGCTATTACTATTATAATTATTACTATTATATCTATTATTATTATACTTATTATCGAAATATAATTCTCGTATATCTTAGTTATTATATTTTTTAATTATCTAATTTTATACTATATTTAAAATCTAATCTCGAAGAGACTTTAAAGAATTAATTTATTTATTCTATATCTTATATATCTAATATTTTAATAGCTATTACTACTATAACTATTATTATTATAGCTATTATTAAAATTATTAAAATTCTTAGCCCTTAAGCTTTTTAGTCTTCTTAGTTACCTTATTAAATTAGCTATCTAAATTTATTCTATATATAGAATCTCGTCTTAGAGTGCTTCTAAAGTAATTAATCTATTCTTCTTAAATATTTTAATAGATTATAAGCTCGGTTCCGACGCTTTTATAACGCTACTATATATATTATCGTTATTATATATCTTTATAAACTCTAGCTCTAATTTCTATTAATTTCAAGTACTTATTATACTAGTACTAGTATTAGTACTAGTATTAATTATAGTCTAACGAGTTATCTTAGATTTATTCTTTAAGTTATTTATTTATTAATTTACTAAGATAAACTACTTAAAGTAACTTATTAACGTATATATCTTATTACGTAAATAAAAGTTATAAAAATATACTTAAGAGATCTCTTTTAGAATATTAACCGTTATAGCTCTAGCTAAATAAAAGAATTCTTTTAAAGAGACTACTAATACGATAATACTTACTATTAATAATCTTATTAAATAACGACTTATAGCTAATAAGTTCAATTATAACTTTAAAATAATATTCTATCTCGCGAATCTCTATTATCTCATCGGGGATAATGAATTTATACGTTTTATCGTATAATATTATACTATTAAATATAATAAATTCGACTTCGTAATCGACTATATTACTTATATTAAGTTATTTAAAGAGCGTATTATAGCTATTAACGTTAAACTTACACTTAATAAATAAATAATTCTTTATCTATCGATATTTCTTCTCGATTATCTTTAATATTTAATTAAAATCTAGGCTATTACCCTCGATATAACGGCTTATAAAGCGATAAATATACTTCTAGAAGAGAGAGAGAAAGGAGAAAAAGTTAAAGCTTACGAAGATAAAGGAGATAGCTAGTATATTTATAAATATAAGAGTTATAAATAAAAGTAATAATCGAAAGAGTTATAAGATATATAATAAGATATATAGACTAGTATATTATATCGAGTATTCGAAATTAACTTTAAAGTAATATTATAAGATAATAAGAGATATAAAGCGAAAGCGTATCGAGAACGAGACTATTATAGCGATTATATTTTCTTTTTAAATATTAGATAATATAGAGTCTAAAGACTTATAAATATTAGATGATATAAATACTAGAATAATATAGAGTCTAAAGGGCTTACGAATACTAGACGATATAAATATTAGAATAATATAGAATCTAAAGAGCCTATAACGCTATAGAGGCGATAAGATATTTATATAATTACATGTTTTTTATTAATAGGCTAATACGCTTAACTATAGAGGCGTATTAAAATTATTAAAATTCTTAGCCCTTAAGCTTTCTAGCCTTTTCAGTTACCTTATTAAATTAGTTATCTAAATTTATCCTATATATAGAATCTCGTTTTAGAGTACTTCTAGAGTAATTAATTTATTCTTCTTAAATATTTTAATAGCTATTACTATTTATTATTAAAATAGTTTATAATTATATAATAGCTATAATAGTAATAATTATAATAGTAATAGTTATAATAATAATAGCTATAATAGAAATAGCTATAATAGAAGTAGTTATAATAGAGTTAGTTATAATAGAATTAATTATAATAGATAGTTATAATAGTAATAACTATAATAATAATAGCTAATATAATAGTTAACTAGAATAATAATTAGAATAGCTATTTATACTTCTAAATATAGAAATCTTAGTTAAAATATCTTATATATATATTATTTTATAATATAATATTATAGATATATTATATCGTAATATATATTATTAAGATTCTATATTATACTAGATATAAAATTATATAAATATTAATATTTTATATCTTATTAGAGTATAGTATAATAGATTAATATACTATATTATATTATATCTTTTTAATTAATATCTATATAAAATAAGAAAGAAAGAGATAGTTTATCGATTAACGATATAGAATTTATAGATTATTTAACGCTTAAAGATAGTAATATAAACGAAGCTCTAGAGATAGAAGACGCGATATAAATATATAATATGGCGTCGTAGTAATAAGTGAGTAAAGAAATTATTACTCGCTTTAACGAAATATTAATCTATTATCTTATATAAATTATAACTTTCTATTTAACGAATAACGACGTTATTTAATCGTCGTCGATTTAACTAGCTAGATACGATATACTATATTAATAAAACGTTTTTTACTTTTTTTTTTTTTCCCCCTCTGCCTTACTCTATTAAATCTATAGAGGGTTATCTTAAGGCCCGAGGGCCTTATACTAGAGCCTCTAGACTCGATAAGCGCTAGACTTCCGCGAGTTTAAAGATTAAGAATATTTTAACTTAATACTAACTTCTTTATTATTAAATCGAATTTTAGATTTACTAAAATTAATAAAAGAATTATATCTTATTTTAATAATTTTTTTAATTTAATTAAAGAATTAAAAGAGATTAAGTATAAGAATTAATATAAAATTTAAAATAATTTAAATAATATTAAAAGATTAATCTTAGCTTTATTTTTTATATCTTTTAAAGATAGATTTAAATAATATTATTAACTATAAAACTTTATTTTTAGAATAAAAAAATTAAAATATAGAGTTAAAAATTAAAAGAAACTAAGTTAAAAAATTAAAGAAAATTAAGTTAAGAATTAATTATTAATATAAAATAGTTTAACTTAATATTAAACTAAATTTAAGAAATTTGAATTTTATAAATAAAATAAGATTTAAATTTAAATTAAATTTTTTTAAAATTAAGAAATTTATACTATAAATTCGAGATTATAAAAAAAAAAAAATCTTAATCTTAAGAAATTATATAATAAATAATTATATAAATCTAATAAAAAGAATTAATAATAGAGATATAATATTTAATAATTACTTGAAATATTTATAGATTAAGAGTTATAATAGATTTAAAAATATAATATAATTCCGGTATATCGCGAGTCGCGTCACCCCCAAATTCGACACCCAAGTGCAACCATATTCAACTCCTTAGACCTCAATCATCCTGCAATCTTCTCGTGGTGTAGAGAGCTTCAGTACTCTTGGGTCACATCTGTGTGGACACGTCTGTCAATCAAATCGAATATGGAGGACTTGTCAGACCCTCCCACGGACATCAACCCGTACGAAGTCCTTGAGATCGAGAACACTGCCACGTCCGGCGATGTCAAGTCCGCATACAAGAAGCTAGCTTTACGATATCATCCAGGTATGCTCAGATAGCATGGCATAACGTCCAACGCTTACGAGCTCTCAGACAAGGCGCATCCCGATGCCAAAGACACTGCCCACGCCAAGTTCCAAGAAATTGCCTTCGCGTACGCCATTCTCTCGGACGAGCGACGGCGCAAACGCTACGATACTACGGGAAATACCTCAGAGTCTCTTGATCTCGAAGACGACGACTTCAATTGGACTGATTTCTTCCGGGCACAGTGGGCGGATACTGTTACGTCGACTACCATAGGCAGCTTCAAAGATAGATACCAGGGCTCAGATGAAGAGAAACGTGATGTTCTAGTCTCTTATACCCAAGCTCAGGGCAAGCTCAACTCTGTATTCAGTCAAGTCATGCTCAGCAACCCTCTCCATGACGAAGATCGATTCCGTGAATACATAGATCACGCGATTGAGGATGGCGAGGTCGAGGCATACGACGCGTACGCCAAAGAACCCCAGAAGCAAAGAGATCAACGACAGGCAAGAGCAAAGAGAGATGGGAAGGAGGCCGAAGATTATGCGAAGAAGTTGGGAAAGTACGATCAAATCTTCGGTGATGGTTCTGGCAAATCGAACAAGAAGGGGTCGAAACAGGATGAAGGCCCAGATCTTACGGAGCTGATACAGCAGAGACAGAGAAGCAGAGCAGACACATTCCTCGATGATCTTGAAGCCAAGTACGTGGAACCAAAAAGGAGTAGTGCCAAGCGCCAGAATGGAAAGAAGAGAAAGCTCGAGGAACCTCCCGAAGAGCTTTTCCAGAGAAGCCAACAGAAGAAGCAGAAGGCAGCACAACCTGAAGACTATGATGAGGACGAAGAGGAGATAGACCTGGAAAACGCTACTCCGGTATCTGAGGACGAGGATGAAGAAGAAGTGCAGCCGGCCAAGACAAGGAAGAGGGTTGTGAGAGGGGGAAAGGGAAGGAAGAAGGGTATTGGTCAAAAGAAATAGCACGAAAGCCGGATGGTGGCTGGAGAGAAGTCTGAGAATCTAACCATTGGATAAGCAATCGTCAGGATGACCTTTGCACCCTAAGACAGTACACGCGTCATGGGTATCGACCATGGAGTACCTTTCGATTCTTACTACAACCGGGCGTTCTCAGCTCGTGTCGCATAAGGAGAAGGAGAATTCGCGGCATTCGTGGAGTTTGTAGTCATCCAGAGCATGGTCTTGAAGCGATTTACAGCATCAATAAAGCATGAAGTTCAATTCGGGTAGAAGAAAGGAGTCGATCAGCACATAGACCAATCAAATCCACGGACCCTTCCACATACTAGATGATGAGTCTCTGAGCGTGACTACCAATCAATGCTGGACCATCAGAGGAATGGCTGTCTTTCCAATCGATGCCATTCTTCACGGTCTGGAAGATAAAATTGAGTATTGAGTGAAGGCTCCCCCCAACATTTTGGTTGCCTGTGAGGGTGCCTGCCGGAGCTGATTGCTAAAGCCTCAGCCTTACCGTATCGAAACTTTGCTCTAGTGTGGAATTCTTAGCGTAATTCCACCTCTACTCAAATCGCAATACAAAGCGCGTCTTCATTCTCCTCTAATCTAAGCTCCAAGTCTCTCTCCCCAACTCATTACTTTTTGCAAACTACACTATGCGCCTTTAAGCGGGGTGCTAGACCTTTCTACTGCTGGACATATTGCGCTCTGCCTGCGCGTTCATCGTGTGACTGGACACTTCGTCTCTCGTCTCTCATGTTTTAACACTTGTATTCCGCATCTCCACTAATCCCACCCCTTTGAAGGCACACACAACCATCGCCGATATAATCAGCAACGATGTCTTTCTCAGGATTTGGACAGAATAGCAACCAGCCGCAGCAGAGCGCCGGCTTTGGTGGGTTTGGCTCAAACAATAATACTACAGGCACAGGTAGGTCATTTCTCAATCTCCCCTTCATGGCGCCGAAGCTGGTCCACGGGCTTCCATCGGCGCCCACTGGTACCATCACGACGCCCCGGGAATATCACCGTCTGACTCCCCCATCTTATGGCATCTAGGCTTCGGTCAACCACAGAACAGCGGCTTCGGTACTGGCAGTGGCTCAACACTCTTCGGCAGCAGCACAAATACTGGCGGTGGCTTTGGATCAGGTACGTTCATGGTTCAAGCTGTCTCGGATCGACCTTCGAATGCTAGTACATTCGCGGTGATCCTTGAAGTGGAACTTGGAAAGGGCAGCACTTCTTCTGGGCATCTTTGCAGTCGCTGTGATCGCCATCTTTATGATAGGATCCAACATCTGCGCAGACCTTGTATGATTGAAGAAGATGTCACGCCACTTGTCTTCCGGCTCCTTTGATCCACGCGAAAACTTCCATCCATTGCTAAGCTCTTCCCGAACACCGAGCTAACGGGAAATCTGTTACAGGTACGGGAAGCTTTGGAGTTGCCACGACTAACACCACTCCGTTTGGACAAAATCGCCCAGCCTTTGGCGCTTCAACTACTACAGGCGGAACTGGCCTTTTCGGCAGTGGTACAGCTACCGCAGGACCTACTAGTGGATTCGGAGGATTTGGCAGCACTACCAACAACAACAATACTTCTGGTGGAGGCTTGTTCGGGTCGACTCAGAAGCCAGCCTTTGGAGGTGGGAACACCGGAGGGGGCTTATTCGGCACTGGCAACGCGGGGGGAGGGTTTGGTTCGACCAACAACCAGCAGCAAACCGGTGCATTTGGAGCCCCTATTAGCTCGGCTCTTGGCACGAACAATGCTGAATGTCAGGGTACCGGCAGCACGCCGTTCTCGGCGTACACTGAGAAGGAGGGTACGGGCAACACGAACAATCACTTCCAAAGCGTCAGCTTTATGCAGCCATATAAGAATTTCTCTTTCGAGGTTAGTGCCTTCATCCTAGTGTGCGAGACCCAAGACTGACCATTCGCAGGAGCTGCGTCTAGCGGATTACAACCAAGGAAGACGCTTCGGTAATGCCAGCGGCCAGCCTGCAGCATTCGGACAGACCAACTTCGGAGGGTTTGGACAACCACAGAATACGACAGGTGGTTTTGGCCAACCAGCAAACACAGGAGGCGGGCTCTTTGGTCAACCCCCTACGGCATCATCCTCTCCTTTCGGCAGTACTCAGCCAGCTCAATCTGGTTTTGGCACCGGCACTGGTGGCGGCCTCTTTGGTTCAAAACCTGGAACCAATGGCAGTCTCTTTGGGCAAAGCAACGCTGCTTCGACGTCCCAGCAAAGTGGTGGCATTTTTGGTACTACCGGAGGAACAAATGCCGGATTCGGCTCAGGAGCTGGCACTGGGTCCGGATTTGGTGGTGGAGGCGGTATATTTGGTGGCAACAATGAACAACAGCAACAACAGTCGAAACCATTCTCATTTGGTGGGACAACTGCCACGACTGGAGGAGGTTTTGGGACTGGCAGCAGTGGGTTCGGTACCAATAACAATACTACAACCAACACCAGCGGTGGTATATTCGGCAATGCTGGCCAGACCAACACTCCTTTTGGGCAAACTCAGCAGCAGCCCGCTCAACAAAACCCATTCGGCGGCTTTGGGACTCAAAATCAAAACCAGAGCAATAGCCAACCACCTTTCGGAGGCTTTGGTACCCAGCAGCAACAAGAGCAAAAGCCAGGCGGTATATTCGGCGGCCAAACTGCAAATAACACAGGGGGGGGTGGCCTGTTTGGGAATCTGAACCAGAACAATCAACCACAGGGCTCTTCAGGAGGTCTTTTTGGAACTAACAACAACAACCAGTCGTCCGGAAGTTCGCTCTTCGCGCCCAAGCCAGCTGCGACAGGTGGTAGCCTTTTCGGGACGACCAACACAGGCAATTCAAACCAGGGCGGTGGCCTCTTCCCGGGTTTTGGCAACAACAATAACAATGCCAACCAGAACCAGCAAAACCAAGCCGGCGGCCTGTTCGGTAACAACAACAATCAACAGCAAAAGCCCGGAAGTCTGTTTAGCGGCTCTACAGGAAGCACAGGCAGTGGCCTGTTTAGCAACCTGAACAACAACAACCAACAGCCCACGGGTGGCAGCTTGTTCGGCTCGAACAATCAACAGCAGCAACAGCAAGGTGGAAGCCTCTTCGGCAACACCAATAATAACCAGGGTTCAAGCCTTTTTGGCAGTTCACAGCAACAACAGCAGCAGCCAAACGCACTAGCGCCGCCGCCGGTCTTCAACGCATCTTTGATTGATCCTAACAACGCATACGGTAGTCCTTCGATATTTTCAGGTCTGCCACCGCCGCCAGTGGCAGTAGGCCCTATTGCTACTCCGATCAATATCAAGCAGAAGACGAAGAAGAATGCTGTCTTGCCACACTACAAGATGGCTCCAAATGCAGCCTCACGGCTCGTCACTCCCCAAAAGCGCGGATTCGGCTTTTCTTATTCGACCTACGGGACCCCTGGTAGCGCCACAAGCAATGCAAGCACGCCTGGCGGCCTCGGCAGCAGTTTGATGTTTGGTAGCGTTGGCCGAGGTCTCGGCAAGAGCTTGTCCACTAGCAACCTTCGTCGAAACTTGGACAGTGACTCAGAGAGCATTCTCACGCCGGGTGCTTTTTCTGCTGGAAGCTCCCGGTATGGCGGCGCAGGAAGCTTGAAGAGACTGACTATCGATCGTAGCTTACGCACGCCAGATCTTTTTGGTGACAAAGGTGCCCTTCCGGCTTTGCCAAGTCCAGAAAAGAGCGATCAGTCGAAGCAGCCCGGCATTTTGAAGAAGAAAGTCAGCTTCGATGCTAGCACTGTTGGTGGCAACGGAGAGAACCCGAACGGTGTTCAGGTCAATGGTGCCATCGCTGTCAATGGAGCAGATATGACAAGCTCGGCTACCCCCAGCGCCGAAGAGCAAGGCTTCCTCCGGACACCCTCACGAGGACAAGGTAGACTTGCTGGGGCAAAGTCAAATGGCGTCGTACAACAGCCTGAGATGGAACAGGTGAGAGGCAATGAGCTTGCCGTTGTCCATGAAGACGAGTCTTCAGAGCCTTCGAGCACGTCCAACGCACGAGCGCCTTTCCAAATGCCCCAAGACGATGAGCAACCAGGAGCTTATTGGATGAAACCATCGGAAACCGAATTACAAAAATTGCCCAAAGACCAACGAAAGCAAATCAGAAATTTCAGTGTTGGGCGTGATGGCTGTGGCCGTGTTGAATTCAATACGCCTGTCGATCTCTCTTTCACAGACTTGAAGGAAATCTACGGCAATATTGTTCTCGTTGAGCTTCGTTCACTTACCGTTTATCCTGACCAAACCAAGAAGCCGGCACTAGGGAAGGGGCTGAATGTGCCATCTACCATTTATCTGGCAAACTCTTGGCCCAGACAGAAGGATAGGAGGACTTTACTACCCGAGAAGAGTGGCCCACGTTTCAACAGGCATGTCGATCGTCTTCGCAAGGTTGGTGGCACAGAGTTCGTGAGATACGAAAAAGACACTGGAATTTGGGTATTCAGAGTGCCGCATTTTACAAAATACGGTTTTGACTACGAGGATGACGACGCTAGCGAAGGAGAGAGCCTCCAAACAAGCATGCTAAGCGAACTTCCAGGTACTCCAACGCCAGTGTCACGGGCAATGAGGAATGATCGTACACCAACAGCGACCACTTCCACACAACGCTCTTTGACGTCCGCCAATGAGTCCTCCGGTATCAGCTCAAGTCCGGAAGATACTTTCGAGTTCCGGAAAAAGAAGATCTTGCCAGGTGCATTTGAGGACCAGGAAGAAATCTCTGACAACGAACACGATGGGATGGAACAAGTTCGCAACGACGAGTCTTTTTTAGATGAGCGCTTGGCCGCCTCGCCTTCTGATAGTGGCGAAGACGAGCCAAGCGAGTTACGACGTGTGAAAGGTGGTATTGAAGATCGATCACTTGTGGTTCGTGACGAGGAACAGGATATGGAGATAGAGATGGCTGGAGCGTTTCCCTCACCCGATCTTGATGAAGCACCGCCCAAATCATTTCTCCAGCTAGGCTACGGTACGCCAGGGAAAGCAACGTTCAACGTTGGCGGTGACTGGGCCGAAGAACTACAACGCACTATCAGCCCAAGGAAACAGGACCGACAAGCTCTTCGTGAGACGCAGGTGCACTTGTTGAAGGATCGTGATGTGGATGAGGAAAAGACACCAAATGCGAAAAGGAGCGGGAAAGTCACAGGATCCAAATTGGCAACATCCATTGATTTGATGAATTCTCTATTCGGGCAGGAGCAAGCGCGGAGGGATGGGCGGAATGCCAAGCAAGCCACGAAGGGAAAAGTTGTCAAGGTCTGAACTCCTTCTCCAACTTGTTACCATCCACTGGCCGTTTCTTCCGGCATGATATCCAAGAGGGTACCGATTGATTATGGATGGCTTCATATTTTTCAATGTATGTAGCAATGAATGGAAAGAATTTAAAGCTGAATTTTTGTTGCATTTAGTGGCCTTATTCGAAGAGGTCGAACATCAATGACGACGCTATGAGCAACATGACACCGGAACAACAACAAATGGAAAGAGAGTGGCGTGACTCTTATAAGCCAGCTTGGGGCCCTGGGGAGACATTACTCTACGCGATACCTGGCAAAGTCGGTAGCTCCAGCAACAAATCTGCACAAACAGACCCAATCTTGCAAAAGCTGAAGGGATCCATTGTGTCTGAAGGGAGGGACATTCGATTTGCGAAATTTGCGAAGACTCCTAATGTAAGCGCGTCTTGTTTTAGAGTCAACACAATCCATGCTGATCAAACGCTTAGCTCGTTCCAACAATTCTCGCACAGCAACAAGCTCGCACCAAGTTCTCCCTTGAACGCGGAGTACCGATGGCAAAGCTTCAACAGACCCCGTTCAAAAACATCGCGTCACTCGTCCAGCCACCTTCGCAGTATGAGCAATCTGTTTGGGAGCTCGCGTCCATTCTGTTTGATGATCAGAACTCAGAAGCCTATGGTGTGCCCGCAGCTTATAAAGCCACCTACGACCATCGCATCCGCAAAGACCGCCTGATCCATTTCTGGAAGCGACAATGCCAGGAAACGGCGATGAAGGCCGTCAGTGCAGCACCAAATGCCGAAGAGCGCGCCATCGCTCACCTCTCAGCAAACAACGTCGTGGAAGCTTGTGACGCGCTCGTGCAAGGAAGGGACTTTAGGCTGGCGACTCTGGTTGCCCAAATTGGCGGTGATCAGATCATGCGCGATGATGTGACTGCTCAGATTGCGAAGTGGAGGGAGCTGAACGTACTGTCCGAGATCACCGAGCCCATACGAGCCTTGTACTCGTTGCTTGCTGGTGACACCTGTGTCTGCGAGGGAAAGAAGGGCCCGACTGAGGATAGAGCAAAGACTTTTGTTATCAGTGAACGTTTCAACCTGGACTGGAAGCGTGCATTTGGGTTGAGACTGTTTTACGCCATCCTTGCTGAAGATACTATCGAAGCTGCCGTCGTAAAATTCGAGCACGACCTCCAATCCGACGAGGGCAAAAAGCCGGTCCCTCGCTTCGTTGAAGAAAAAACAGGCGCTCCGTGGGACGACCCCAAGACTGCCCAACGCGAGGACGTCCTGTGGGGTCTGCTCAAAATCTACGCCGCCTCCAAATCTGCGCTTCCTACCAGCTCTCTCGCAGGGATTTTGGCTCCCGAAAACATCACTGGCAACCCTGTTGACGCTCGCCTTTCCTTCCAGCTGTACCACGCCATCAACGCGCGCTTCCCTGCGATCGCTGACCCGTCGAAAGCCGACTATCTCGCCCAGACTTTTGCTGCTCAGCTAGACTCAGCTGGGGAGTGGTACTGGGCTCTTTTCTCTCTCCTCCACCTCTCCTCCTACCGTCAACGCCACTTAGCAATACAGTCCCTCCTCATCCAACACGCTGAAGCCATTCCTAGTGACAGCAAGAGTGAGCTCTTCGAAACCCTAACAGAATTGTGCAAGATACCGGTCGCATGGATATGGGAGGCCAAAGCGTTGTATGCCCGGAGTGTCCTGCAAGATCATGTCCAAGAGGTCGATCTCCTGGTCAAGGCACAGGATTGGAAAGAGGCTCACGAGGTATTTCGAAAAGAAGTGGGCCCATCGACTGTGGTGGAGCAAGACTGGGACACGTTGCAAGGTGTGCTCGACAGCTTCATGGACTGCAAAGAGCAGATTGCGGAATGGGGAATGGGTGGCCAGGTCTATGATGATTATCTGAGCTTGATGAAAGGGGTCGAGGGGCATGAAAAGGAAGAGCTGCTCCAAAGGCTTCTAGGCGCGCTGCCAATGATGATGCGGGGTGGAAAGCGGGACTTGAAGGAGACGGTTGCCGTGCAGGAGATCAGCGGATTCGTGGGCAAAGAGGTTCTGGCTATGAAAGAGAAGGTCAGTCGATCTACATTTCTGCTATAGTTAGACAACGCTGACGTGTTGGTGCCAGGGTATGGAAGGTGCCAGAGTCCTGCAGCTACCACTCACCGAGGACGCGTACTTGAAGCACACGATGGATCTAAGCTTGCAATACTACAAGGCTGTAATGACGGGTGGAAAATGAGCATGATGGACAAAGCGATCACTTGGTCTAGCAGGAGCACTCGCTTCCAAGACGGAGGTTATTCAATTCTATCCAGCACTCTGGGGCAGCTATCTGGCTGTTTGCGTTTATTTCGGCGGTTGCAATGGCGCAGCGACTGGATAGCTGAGCATATCAGTTCTCAGCATAGCAAAGCGTTCAGTAGATAGTGTTTAAAGGCTCATTACATCCAAAATCATGGTCCTCATGCAGCTTCTCGCCTGCGCCATAAAGATTGCCACAAAACTCCTCGGACGCTAAAAGATGAGCTCTGGATACCCTGAATGCTAGTCGAGGAAACTTACCCGAGACATATGTTTGCGCCGCAACACTAGGATACACTCTTACTTTCTGGACTCACTCATCTCTCTTCAGCCTACAGTATGGATTGGAGGGTATTGATCGATATAGTAACGCTCGTTGAAGCTGCTTAGCTGCTCAGCTACCCTTCGCCATGGGCGCTCCCCATGGTAAAGAGCCATTGCCAGCACTGGGGCATTCAAGCGACTCCGATGGAAATTCCCAAGTACTTAAGCCTCATCCTTGTCCCTCGCGAACTTCCCTAATTGATCTGTTGTCAGATTCCCACACCCAAGTCTACAAGGACCACCTCCGTAGACCTTGCATCCAGCCCATCTAGCCAATCGAGCGCCACAACTCCAGGTCTAGAGCCCCAAACCTCTACTTGCTCTAAAAAGCGCAACGTCGTCCTCCACCCTCGAGAAATGGTACCTCGATCGAAACCGACTGTAGCTAAAGATGGTAAGAGGGAGTTTTTGGAGGACCTACGGAATTACATCGCTTTGGGTAGCTTGACATTAAGACCTAGCATCGGCGGCGGAGCCTATCTTCACCAGACACGTTGGAGAGAGTCAAGCGACATCTGGTTGGCTTTTCACGATTGCTGCGATCTCGAGGATGCTCATCCAGCTTTGTCCGCACGGACATTGGCCAATTGTAATTGGGCTCGGACTTTTGCTCGGAAGCATCAACAGAACGGGGATCTGGCTACCATAAGGGTTTACATTTTGCCTGATGACGTTGGAAGACGATATATCGACAGAGATAATGGTCACCTCCGGAATTACTTGATGAAGTTGTTGAATGGGCTTGACAGATCTCCTCTATCGTGGGAAGGGCGAAATCCATCTGAAAACCACCTCGAGCATTACAATGGAGAGTCAAGCAACGACGACTCACTCTTTTACCTTTTTAACACAATACCTTCTCCAGCTGCACACCCTCCATCCGTGTCATGTCCCATATCCCATGAAGCCATACAGTCCGTTCTTGAGTCCGATGAGCTGCGAGGTCTGAAGACCAAGCTCTATCCATACCAGAGGCGTACTGTCGCTTCGATGATCAAGAGAGAGGTCGAGCCCCGAAAAGCATTAGACTCAAGATTGCAGTCATTAGAAGGACCTACCGGACAGCCTTTCTACTATGACAGAGAGACGGGAGTCTTACTCCGCGACCAACGAACGTATGAGGAGGCGCGTGGCGGCATACTGGGCGAATCCATGGGTCTTGGTAAGACACTGATCTGTCTAGCCACGATACTTGCTACCAAGGGACATTGGTACGTACATTTCGGTGTAAATATTTCCTGTTTGGTAGCGTAACTGGGCTACATGCCATCTTTCGGGAGTAGAAAGCATCCTCATTCTCCAGACCTGTCTTATCGCTTAGTTGAGAAGCGGTACTTCGACAGCGCAAGGATTTTTCTACTCCTCAAACGTGTCTTGTTTCTCGGTTTCTTACCTAAAAAGAGCAGCGCTGATTCCAAACTTTGTGTAGGCCAGAGATACCTCCTGAACACTCGCTTGGATTACTCCCCGTGCGGTCGGAAGTTGGGTCGCTCATGCAGATGGCCGCAGCTGCTGTTGGTCGTGCTCAAGTACCTTGGAGGGCCATTTTCCATGATCTATCCCATGAAGGCGAAGACCACAAGAATTGTCTTGCTCTTTTGGAAGACAATGTTGGCTCCTATGTCATCTCTCCGTCAGTCACTAGACGCAGTCACCGCCCGTCACAAATACAGAAAGGAAAGACGATACACCTCACTACCGCTACTTTGATCATAGTGCCCCAGAACCTTTTGAGCCAATGGAAGGACGAGATCAGCCTGCATGTCGAAGAACATCTTCTGAAGGTATTTTACCTCGATTCTGACACAATCACAGTCCCGTCAGCAGCCAAATTGATGAAATACGATATCATCCTCATGTCGAGACAGCGATTCGAGCGAGAAATGGTTCCCAAAGGGAGCGCAAAGGCGCAGTCCAAGTCCAAGTCCAGGTTCAAAGGTGTGTACGTCGCGAGCAAACGTTCCCTCTTCTGGGCCAATTCACGGGTCGATCACCCCTTGGGCTGTCTCAGTATTCGTCTTTCTGCTTTCGAGAAGGATGGCTGACTCGAAATCATGATAGGTGGCTGTAATTGCTCACTGGACGAAGATTGTCACTGCTCCGCAGAAGAGCACCAATCGCCACTAATGGAGGTCCACTTTCTACGAATCATCATGGATGAAGGCCATGAATTCTCCTCTTCTGGACGCAAAAACAGCGCCTATTGGGCACTACAGAAGCTTTGCGTGGATAGGAAATGGATTGTAAGCGGAACACCTGCGAGCGGACTTTTAGGCGTTGAAGTTGGGACAGCTACCTTCGAGACTTCACACTCTGCGGCTGATGACGACCATCGTTTGACCAATTCAGACCTGCTTGAAGCCCGAAGGAACGAGTCTGCGCTAATCCAAGAACGCAAGGACCTTGAGAAACTGGGCGTCATTGTGGCGGGTTTCCTGCAATTAAAGCCATGGGCCAATAGCAAGGAGCATGATCCTGCCTCATGGTCCAGGTACATCATGCCTTACAGTGATGGAAGAAGGAAAGCTAGATCATTGAAGACACTACTAAACAGTCTTGTGGTGCGTCACCGCATTGAAGACATTGAAGCGGATATTCAATTACCTCCACTGCACAACCGAGTCGTCTATCTGCAACCAAGCTGGCACGATAAGCTCAGCCTGAATCTCTTCATACAAGCTTTAATCGTGAATGCAGTGACTTCCGAGCGCGTTGACGAAGACTATATGTTCCACACAAAGAATAGACGAGAACTTAATAAGCTGATCAACAACTTACGGCAATCGGGTTTCTATTGGACAAGTTTTTCTCCAGGTGATATTGCCAAGACCGTCAAGGTTTCGCGAGCATACCTAGAGGAGCAACGGAATCCTGACTCTGTCTACTACGAGGCTGATCAGCTACTACTGAAGCAGGCAATAGAAATTGGAGAGGTTGCATTAGAATCTCCATCATGGAGGTCATTTGCCGACCTGCATGAGATGGGGATGTTCGTTGAGCGTTTCCCTGAGAATGCTCGAGATGCTTGGTCATTGGTACATCGAACTGGAGACGAGCTTCTACTTATCGGAGCTACGCAACTTAGCAAAGCTCAAAATTGGGTGAACTCCCATCTTTATGTAAACAATCCCTCGCATGGTCTCGCAGGGGTGGGGACCGCCACCATGCAAAAGCTGTGGCACGGCGTACAGCAGCAAGCAGTGCAGATACTTCCGGACAATTCTCTTGATGGAGAAGACAATGATGCTGGAAGAAAGTTTAAGAAGAAGTCGAAATCGGGAATCAACGGAACGCCGAAATTGACCGAGAAGCAGACTGTATCTCGTGCAAAAGCCAGTCCGAGCCCACGACAGACCAAGAATATCCAGTTCAACGCATCAGATTCTAGCAAGCCAATAAGTCTTAAACCCGCTCTTAAGTCTGCTCTCAAGTCATTTTCGAAAGAGCAAACCACGGATCCATTTCCACCGGACTCCGCTTTAGGAAAGAGCACAATCAGTGGTACCGCATCCGCCAAGCTGAGCTATTTGCTCGATAGAGTCGTCGCACTCCACCAAGACGAAAAGATCCTCATTTTCTATGAAGGCGACCACATTGCGTACTACATAGCTCAGGCCTTTGATCTTGTCGACGTTCGGTACCTGATCTATACTAGAACGCTTTCTCTGGCACGTCAGAACGCCTACATCACAACGTTCAACACTACCGAGACTTTTCGTGTCCTCCTCATGAACGTGTATCAAGCAGCTCACGGTCTTCATATTGCCACTGCATCCCGTGTGTTTTTCGTCAATCCCGTCTGGCAGCCTAATGTCGAAGCTCAGGCGATCAAACGTGCCCATCGTATTGGACAGGTACGGCCGGTTTACGTAGAAACCCTTGTGCTGAAAGACACTTTGGAGGATCATATGCTACAGAGGAGGAAGGGTATGACTGCACAGGAGCATCAGAAGGCCGAGAAGAGTTTGCTGGATGACGAGACCATGAGTACCATTATCAAGAATGCCCATTTCATACCGTTTACGAAGGACCACATACATGATGCCGACAAGCAAGTAGCAAAATTGTCCGCCCCTCAGCAATTGTTTGGGCGAGTTGCTGCAAGTGACCGAGATCTCGACGATCCAGACGCAGATCTGATTTTGGACTCATCACAGTCGAAGAAATCGAGTCGGAAGCGGCAAGTTGACATTTTGATGTCTGACTATGCCCCGGATCTGAGAGAGTCGCCTCCTCCAAGACGAAGCTCAACGGATTCCAATCTTCACTTTAGTGTAGGAACTCGTCTGGCGGAAAGCTCAGCGGCCCCCGACATGGCATACCAACAGAAAAGCGACTTTGAGCATGCTTCGGAGCTGACTAGACCGCCATCTCCCAGAAGCATGGCGGCGAATATGCCCATTCGAACTATTGGAGAAGCTAATGCGCCTGAAAGCTCGACAGCTCACGACCCGTTCCGCAAGCGAAAGAGCGATTCTGAGTATGCCCCAGACCTCACAGCGTCACCACCTCCTAGGAGAAGAACACTCACTTTCCGCACTTCTGGCATCTCTGGTTCCACGGAGAATGATGTGCCGGCAAGCTCGACAGCCTACGATTCAGTGCCGGCGTCAACAGTAATCCCGGTGCATCAGACCCCATCAACCACGGTCATGGCTGATCGCCGTCCTCCGAGAAGAGTAGGCTTCGACTTGGGTAAGAGAAGCGATGAGCCCCAAAGCTTGTTTGGCGGAAGTGCTTCCTCTTCCTAGGGCCGGAATTATTATAGGGGGTGTGATGAAGTTATGATTATGTGCATGATCATTGGCGTTTGGGGCGGCATAGCATCTGGCTCATGATGATACCCCGGAAGTCTGCATTGTAAGATACAACAAGCTATTAGGGAAGACCTTCTCATGCTCGTAGTGTACTCATAAGATAGAAGGGGCAGTCCTCCAATACTATGCACATGACTTTGTACCAGAATTCCCCGCGTGCAGTCCTTCAGAGAGAAATTCGACCCAAGGAATTGGTCCCCACATCACCTCTTTTGCCTAAGAACATTACCACTGCGACCGAGGCCTAAAATTCTGCACCCGAATCCAAGCATTGAAAAAGCATGAAAGCAGAACCCTTTGCGTGATCCGAGCTTCTACAATCCGAAGACACCCACGAATATATCACGAATAGCTTCCCCCCCCCCCACACACAAAATCCCAACCTTCCCACTTCTACTCACCTGCCTCCGCTCACACCCGCGCCCGATACCACCCCGCACTCCCATCCCCCCTCCTCCGATCGGGCGCCGGTTCGTTCGTCAACGGGTTCCCATACTCGAACGTCCAGGGGTAAGGGTTGGCGCGCTACCGGTCCGTGGCGGAGCCGCCTTTGGCGACCCGGTCGCGGTAACGGTGGATGGAGAAGGCGGCGCCGGCGACTGGGATGGTGAGGGCGAGGGGAAGGGGGAGGGGGAGGGGATGGAGGTGGACATGGGGTTTTTTGGGGGGGGGTTGAAAGAGAGAGAGAGAGAGGAAGGGGGAAAGATGGTTGTCCTCTTTGTAGATAAATGAGGTGAGTATGCGAGATCATTGATGATGCTGCGATAGATGAAGGTGGAAAACTGGGTGCGATACCTGCCTTATTTGGCATCAGTCGTGGAGTATCGTGTGGTGAAAGGTCGCAATGCGGGATTCAGAAGACGCCAAGCGTCACAACTATTTCTGGTCTTGATCGTGGTGTGGCGCAGACCGACGAACCGTGACGTCTTTGATCCTCAAGGGTTGCCGTTAGAGCGCGACAAGGAAAAGGAAAGGAGACTGTGCAAGGGGAGCCACGATGAGAAACACCAAGTCGGACAGCGAGGACAGATTTCTACGACCATGGTCGAGCTGGTGTCTTGTGAAACGATATTGCAATAAACCATGTTGATGCTGGACCCGGACGACCTTCTGTCGCATCTTCGACTCCCATAACGCCAAATCGCTATGTACACTCTGCTTCTTGGAGAATTACTGGCCTGGAGCAATGAGCATGCCTTGTTTCTGGGCGTCGTGAGCCCATCCACCTGCTCTTGCTTCACCGCCATGCTTCTCGGCATAACCCTTGACTCTTTGCTCAAGCTCAGGTCTGAAGTGACGTACTAGACCTTGTAGTGGCCACGCGAAGGCTTCGCCCAAAGCTACAGAAAAGATCAGTATATGCTTGTATTGGGGTAGAATAAGTTGGGAGAAGACGTACCGCAAATGGTGTGCCCCTCAACCTGTTTCGTCAACTCCTGCAACATATCAATCTCTCTTGCTCTTGCTTGCCCAGCCTCGAATCTCTTCATGATTTGCTCCGTCCATTTGCTGCCCTCTCTGCAAGGCGTGCATTGTCCGCAACTCTCGTGTTTGTAGAACGATGCCAATCTCGATATAGCTCTTACAACGTCCGTGCTCTTGTCCATTACGATGACTGCCGCCGTGCCCAACCCTGACTGGCTATCCTTGAGGGCATCAAAGTCCATCAATTGTTCATCGCAGGTTGTCTTGGGGAGAATGGGCGTGGAAGAGCCGCCAGGTATGATAGCCTTCAGATTGTCCCAGCCGCCTCGAACGCCGCCGGCGTGCTTATCGATGAGCTCCTTAAGTGAGATTGACATTTCTTCCTCGACGGTGCAGGGGTTGTTAACGTGACCAGAAATGCAGAAGAGCTTTGTACCAGCATTACGCTCGCGTCCGAAAGAGTTGAACCAATTGGCGCCACGGCGTACGATTGTAGGAGCGACAGCAATAGTTTCGACGTTGGCGACCGTGGAAGGGCATCCAAAAAGACCGACAGCGGCTGGGAACGGAGGCTTTAGGCGGGGCTTGCCAGGCTTGCCTTCCAGTGACTCTATCAGAGAGGTCTCCTCGCCACAGACGTAGGCACCCATCCCTCGATGGATGTACACGTCGAAATCATATCCACTGCCACATGCATTCTTTCCAATGAAGCCCGCTTTATAAGCTTCTTGGATTGCCCGCTGAAGTACTGTTGCCTCGTGATAGAATTCTCCTCGGATATAGATGTAGGCTGCGCTGGTATTCATTGCTCGGCCGGCGACTAGACATCCTTCAATGAGCTTGTGTGGGTCTTTCCGCATGATCTCTCGGTCTTTGCAGGTTCCCGGTTCACCCTCATCAGCGTTGACGACTAGATAGCGGGGCTTGGTGTCCTTGTCCCAATCCTTGAAGTTCATGAAAGACTATGGCAATCAGCATGCGCCTTAGATATAATACCAGTAGTCGTAGCATCCATCCTTACCCACTTCATCCCAGACGGAAATCCAGCGCCACCTCGACCTCGGAGGCCCGAGGCTTTGATCTCAGAGATAATCTATTATTCTCGGATTAGCATTTGGATTGACAGACCAGAGGCCCATGCCGACAGACCCAATCATGACCTTTCAGTATTATCTCCTTTGTCTTATACCAGTCGCCGTACTTCATCGCACTCTTCAGGTCCGCGCCATGATGCCCGTAAAGATTCTGAAATATCCTATCCTGGTCCTTCAGTCCACCGAAGTGTGTCCTCTTAGGTGGTTGTGCCGGTCCATCTTGGACAGTAGCTAAGCCTCGGCATTGCTGTTGTTTTGGTGTAGGAGCGGATCCATTGACCCGGGAGGCGGAAGTGATTGAAGGGTGTATGTGGTGACAAAGGACACCGAGGGGTTTAGGTGTGGCAGCCCGCGACGAGATCATTGTGATGACTATGGAGAAAGGCGAAAGGTGAGGAATGGTTGTTCAACGGTGAGTGGCCAAAGTTTTGCGGACAATGTAATGGAGGTCATGGACGGAGATAAGCGAGCGTTGATTGGCTGACAATGGATCACGCTACAATGACTACTCAGATTCTCCAATACTTGAACTAGTCCTCCTGGTAAAGCCATATAATTTTCACAAATACATCTACACTGGAGGACCGAGTCCAGACGCCAGAAAAGCGGAGAAATCCTGATATGGTCAGCGGCGCACATCCTCCTAGCATACCTACAATTCCATCATTCACTACCCTGGTATTCCAGACGTCTGCTGCATGATCCCTTAAAATTACACCCTCTTACAACGATGCCTATACCAAAGGATTCGACGAGCTTCACGGATACAATGGCAGATATCCTCCGCTTGTGAGAGCATCATCCTCAAGCATTGTAGGCGCATTTGGCTGACGCCCAACCTTGAGACCTGATGAGACTCTAGCCATGTCCTATGTCTACCTCAACAGGTACCAGCGGTTTCAGAGCTCCTCGACACCACCGGATCCTCTAGACTCGTATGTCTGTCTCCCGCCGGATTCGTCCTCGCTCAACCTCTACGACCACTGACGAAGGCCTGGCCTCCTCAAGACATTGGCCTTAGCATGCCTTTCCCTTGCATCAAAGTCGACTGAAAGCCCACGAAGGACGCGAGAGATACTCTTTCCGGCCCACCGTCTGCTTCACCAGCACAGCGGAGCCTCTTCGGACCCTATCAATCAACCCTTAGCAGTGCCCTCTACTATATACGATTCTCTTCGCGCAACACTTGTTCAAGCGGAGCTCATGCTCCTGCGAACACTTGGCTTCGAATTACGCATTCCGCTGCCTCTGGACTACCTGCCGCGTTATCTCGAGCGTGCAATGGGGGATGTTACAGGTGCAAGTGAAAATTATGACTCTTGGGGAAACGAAGACAAAGAAGAATATGGGGTTGTGAAAGATGCCATGGACACATCCTTTGGAAGGGCCTGCAGAACCAAGGCTGTCAGCGCGTGAGTGAATAGATGGGAGCTCAAGACGTGCATTGAAAAGACAGCTGATATTGATGTTACAGGTGCAAGAACTACCAGTTGACCAATCTCTTTCCAGCAAGGGCCGTTGCGCTGGGTTGTTTACACGTCGTCATGGAAGAGAGAGGCTTGAGGACGGCCAACTCCCGAAAAGAATGGGTAGATGACATTGCGAGTCGCAAGGTGGATATTGAAGATTTCGAGGAAGTAGTGGAAGTATTGACAAGGAGTTGAGCTCATCGTATTCATCATGTAAAATGAGAATGAATCAAGAGATGCTGGTACAATGTTTCGAATTGACAAGACATTGCTTGCAAGTTACTTACCTATGCCAGCGCCACACGTGCGAGCGTTGGCGTTGATACCAAGCTTTTGCGGCAAGAAAGCTTGGTCGACGGCAAGGCTAAATACTCGTAAGGTTGGGGAGGAATTTTGAGACGTGTATCCAATATCTACTCTAGTGCTCAGAGATAGATTCAAACAACTCTTGACTCTGATGTTGTTTATCGTCACGGATTTCAGGTCTTGGACACGGATACTCGCATTATTTGCTTCTCAACTCTATTCACGGCTGACTCGGCAAGAGTTGCCCGCGTTGACCAGTCTCTTTCCGTCCATGGCGCAGCTGACGTATCCTTGCTCTTGTTTTTTGCCCTCACCATGCCACCCATCGCCTGTATCAGCTTCATCATTGTTCTTGGACTTTTCATTCCTAACCCATGTACACTACTATGATAATGATATATACGACTGATGATACTACGATCTAGCAACGTGCCCAGCAAATGTTGCTTCAATCTTCTTCTAAACTATACTGTCATGCTTTCGAGGAGATAGCCAAGTGAGAACCTCGATCGTTCGCCTCTCCGCTGAGGTACCCTTGGGACAGGAGAGCGCCAAGGTCACCTTACTGCCAGCTATGCTCTCCAGCTTTTCAACTCGACCAGCGCACCACCAGGTTCCTTCCAAACTGATCATTCGATCAACAAGTCTGGCAGCGGTCGTCATCGTCAGCCTATGGAGCATCCTCTACCTCAAACGTTCCTTCCCCACCTATACCGTTAAGGCCAAATTGGAGCGGTTACTCCCCGGTGTATCCGTCAACACAGAGATCAAGCTACACTGGAACGATTCCCCTCGCCGATTGATCGTTTTTGGTGACTCTTGGAGCGACAACGGTCAATACCCCGTCAATCCACCACCGCGCGAGCAGACGCCCACACGAAATGACGCGCAAGGCAAAATCTGGACAGATTGGCTCTGCTCCAGCGTGAGTCTCTCGGAATGGTCCTGGTGGTCGATCGCTGACGTACCTTCAGATCTCGTGTACTCATCATGACAATTTTGCAAGATCGCTACCTCATGTATGGGACAGTGGGTACAGTGGTGCAGTCGTTGACAGCAATTTACTAAACAGCACCTTGTCGAATACTACATTATCAAATAGCACCTTCATCACAGACATCGAATGGGCCGAGCCGCTCGCAGATCTGAAGACTCAAGTACAGCACTGGCTGGCATTCGAGAAGAAGCAGTATGCCAACAGCCGAGTAAGCGAAATTGAGCGAAGTGGTACGGTTTTCATCGTCTGGTTCTCATTATGGGATTTGTGGTATTACTCCGAAAAGACCCTTGCAGAAGCCGAAGCCGCTGTGGCAAAGACCATGGACGCGCTGTTTGAACAACTCGACGTGATCGCGGAGAATTGGCCTTCGGAGATGAAGCTCATCATACCCGAAGCCATCGATACCACGTTCTTACCAGGCTGGCACACCATGAGGACTGGCCCTCGGGGCTCAGATCCCCTCGGCGAAAAGCAGAGGAGCGCCGTTCTTCTTGTCGAGCAATGGAATCGAGGGTTGGACATGAGGGCTGTCAGGTGGAGAGGGGGCTCGATGTACATCTACAACACCAACGTATGGCTCCTTGATCAGGTGCGTGAGCAACAGCTATCCACTGCACACTTGAGCGATGCCAATGGCATGGGCGCCAACCAATCTCCATGGAACAACGTGCGTTCTGGCTGTGTCGCATCCAACTACAAAGCCTACGACGTGCTGGGAGAGGATCCGACTGCGGGTCGCTGCTCTGATCCGACCACATACCTCTTCTGGTTAGTCCATCTGCCCCAATTCTGGCGCAGCCTTGCTAACATTGAGTTAGGGACGACATGCACTTGGGGCCTGAGGCTATGAAAATGATAGGACAAGGCATAGCTCAAGACATCGCTGCGAATCGCGCCACATCTTGGTTTGCCCACGCGGTAGAGGAGTCATATGAAGATGAAGATGAAGAAGCTCCGCTACCTCAAGACCCTCATCGTGAAGATTCACCTACGTAATGACAAACAACCTATAAAAAGGTTGCAAGTATGTATTTCATAAGTAACGGCATTGACTCCAAGGGCATTTTTAACTCGGAAAGGATTTTGACGAAAGCGTATATATCGCATTAAATGATACCCACTGTATGTACAAAGCACGAGACTGAAAATATGATGGAGCTAGCCGATGATTGTTTGCCTTGAATACGCCTGCCTACGTACATTCTTTGTCGCATTCTTGCATTTCCTTGGTAGGAATGTCTCATCAAGCCCACTTCCGTGTTCGGCAGAGACAATGAACAAAGAAAACGGCTTCAGGATTCAAGCAAATTTCCGCAACCGACCACTAGAGGTGCGAGGCAATCAAGACTAGCTTCTCCAAGAGACAAGGCATCAAAAGACGCTATGACGAAGAAATGGATGATGCAGACAAAGAAACCTCTTTTGCTCTACATTCCACTCGTTTTTGACAATCCTCATACACGATTGCAGACTTGCATTGCCAGCATCAAAGCATTATAGGATTCCTTCCTTATCAATGTCAATGTGTCTTTTCAAATGTCCTTCCATCGAGTACTGCCTCTACTCCCAGCCCTCTCCGACCAAGCACTCAGAGACCGATGGGCCATTCAACCAGACACCCTCATAAGCTCCAAGATCATGCCCGACGAGACGCCGAAAGCTGCAGCGAGTGAAAACCAGTCTCCGACCCCTACTCCGAGAAGCCTTTCTTCCCCGCCAGAAGAAGGAGTCCAGAAATCACCGGGCGAGGAGTCACTGGAGGACTACGAATCACCGAAGTACCGTACTCATTCCTTGTCCCAAGCAGCTAGGACCAGCAGCCGCCCTTCCAGAACAGAACAGTTGTCGGTTCCGAGGAAGAGTGTGGTAGAGAAGTGGCAAGAAGATTCACCAAGCTCGATCTGTCTCTGTCAGCCGGACCCTAAGGTTCCACGACCAAGAAACGGTACTTACCTCACATTCCCACATGCTTCCTAATTGCGGTCGTCTACCTCCTCATTACTCGTCTTTACTACTGTCACTGATTTGATGGTGCCTGTTGACTGATATCCCTATTCTGCAGCTTTTATCCTTTACCGCCAGCACCACCAACAGGCCGTAGTCGCTCAGAATCCGGGTCTCGCGAATCCTGAAATCTCGAAAATCATCGGCGACCACTGGAGAAACTCATCGACAGAAAACAGAGATCATTGGAAGCTGCTAGCAGAGGTAAGAGGACGATCTGTCCCAGTGCAGTACACATGGTGCTGATCTCAATCAGGAAGAGAAACTCCGCCACCAGAAGCAATACCCTGACTACAGATATCAGCCTCGACGTAGCACCCGCAACAGCTCCATCGCCGGTCCCGCAGCAAACTCGGCTGAAGGCGACCAACGCAGGTGCCAAAAGTGCGGAGGGCGCAGCATCGCCGCATCCACCATGATGTCCGGTCCGGGATTCCCGAACCCAGCGACGCCATACTCCCCAAACCAACCTCCCAACTCCGCCACGAGCGCCGGCCGCTTCATGCGAAGTCTGGGCAGCCCTCCTACCAGCAATCCAGGGGGCAACCCCGCCGCCGGATACCGCCATCGCCCATCGACAGCCAATGTTGCATCGCTCACTCTGAGCTCCCCACGGTACAAGCGCCAGGACTCCGGACAGCCCTCACCGCGCTTCAAGCGCCCGGAACCGAGCCAGATTTCTCCGAGAAGCCCAGATCCCAAGCGTCGCCGGGTGACCAACGCCTCCTACGCCCCCGTCCGGGCCGCCAACAATCCGACGACGCCCTTCCCCTTCCCCACCGGCCAGCGGCGCCAATCCCTCCCCCGCGCCGACTTCATGGGCCCCAGCATCAACAGCCCGTTCACAATGGGCCCACCTCCACGCCCACACCACACCCAACACCACCCCGAAACCTCCCTCACCCTCGCCCCCTTCCAAAACCCCCAATCCGGCAGCAGCAACAACAACAACAACAACAACAACAACATGGGCATCGACACGCAAGCCAAATCCCTCGAAGCAATGATCCTCTCCATCCCCACCCTGGGCAAAATCCGCGTCCTCTCCAAAATCTCCCCCCCCCTGGCGCCCCCGAGCCCCGCGTCCCCCGCCGCCCGCCGGCCCCGCGGCCTCGTCATCGCCCTCGACGCCGCCGACGCCGCCGCCCTCGACGCCCTGACCGCCACCGTCGAAGCGACCCTGTCCTCCCACGCGCCCCGCGTCTTCCGGACCCCGAAACCCCCGCCCGACGCCCCCGCCACCTTCCAATCCTACCTCCGCCTCATGGACGACCACCACACCCTCTCCGCCCAGATCATCGACCACATCACCACCGCCGGCACCCCCGGCCCCGAGCGCGACGCCGACGCCCCGATGGACTCGCCCTCGCCCGTGTCGCCGAAATCGTTCCCGGCGCCGAAACCCGCCGCGGGGCCGACCCCCGGGATCCCCGTCGCCATCGTGCCGGGCTGGCAGGTGACGTGGAGCGACTGGTTCGCGAGCCGGGTCGAGATCCGGGACGCGTACAGCCCGATGGACCACTGGCAGTGGGGGGCGACGCTGTGGCGGAACGTGGTCGGGGCGGACGTGACGGTCGCGGTGCAGGCGCCCGTCGCCGTCGCGGTGGGGCCGGAACCGTCGTCGTCGTCGTCGCCGGACAGGGCGGGGGAGGGGGAGGGGAAGGGCAAGGGAGCCGGTGAGGCGGCGGTGAAGGATGGGCCGAGGGCGGGGCACGAGAAGGGGAGGAACGGGGGCGGGGTGGGAGGTGAGGTTGGAGGAGGCGAGGGCGGTGATTGTGAGGGGGGAGAGGGACGGCGGGGTCGCGGAGGGGGGGTTGAGGAGGGTGGGGTTCGAGATTGGGGAGTGGGTGAGGGGGTGGGAGGAGAGGGAGGAGAGGGCGGCGAGGAGGGGGAGTTAGGATGGTGGGAAGGGAGGGGGTTGGATAGGAGTGGTGATGTACTTTAGATGTCTTGGTTCGTTTTAATAGCATAGCGTTCTGGATTGTTGGACGCTTCGAACGTGGATGGTCTTCGGGATATATTTCGTCTCCGTGAGCATGTATTGTTCTGTACTTCTCTCTTTGGATGGCCTGGATAGCCGTATATGCATCTCAGATATCTTCGGCTGTCGTCAACCTTCTGGACTGTGAGCTCCCTATGTGACACAAACAACAAAAAACTCCGGGGATATCATGCATGCCTCTCGCCAAGGGCAATCCACAGTACGCCTGACCCATGCACTCGTGTCATCATGCATAGAATACAGTCAAGATTAACTCGACTCGGCCTATTCAATGCTTCTTCTTGCCCCGCTGCAGTTGCATGCTAGCCAATGAATGGTCCGAATGAGAATAGATGGAAAGAAATTTACGTCCGTCATGGCAGGAGTGACGCATCTGCTTCGCACTGAACGAGATAGGCAAGTCCAGTCGTTGTTTTGTCGTGGTTATTGTAGGCTAAGGAATTATCGCTTCTTAGCACCAATGCCATTGCTCAGCTTCGACTTTGCCGGCCTTTTGGGCGGCGGGGAGGTTTCCGCGTCGCTCGAGTCGGTATCAATGGAGTCGTGGTCAATGTCATCCTCCGAGGCTTCGTCGACTGAGTCGTTGTCTGTCGATGACGCTTCTTCGTCGAAGAGTCCCTCCTCTTCGCTCTCGCTGTCTTCATCCTCTGCATCAGCGGTGCCATTTATAGTCGTGGGCATCTCCTCTTCGCTATCCTCCTCGTCGCTGTCTCCGTCGCTGCCAATTGTATCGTAATCTACCTGTCCGGTCAAGTCTTGACCCTTCGCTCCGGCTTTCGACTGCGGTAAATCACTTGCGTTCTCCGCTATCTGGTCCTGCCCTTCCTCTTCAGAGCTCGACTCTTCCTGCCCCTCCACATAAATCACGCCTTCCTCATCGTCCTCGTCAATAGCATTGGCTGCCCTTGACCGCGCTTGCATGCTCTTCCTCAAGTTCATTTGCGCCTCAAGCATATCCAGCTTGCCCTTCAATGAAAGCAACGAATGCAAGCTATTTGCGCGGTCTTTGACAACACGATGGAGTGACGCGAGCTTTTTCATGACCTCTGGCTGCCCCGCGAGATAACCTCCGTGAGCAACGAGGGTCCACTGTATCCAGACCATGAGACTCCCAGCTCGACCTGGTCGGCTATGGAGACGCTCTGCTAGGCGTTGTAACAGCAATGTGGCGAATGATGAATCGAGACGTTCGATGGTGGCACGGACCGTGGCAAGATCCTTGACATGAAAACAAGTCTCGAGAAGGTTGGTATCATTTGTGCGGAGAGATTGCGTTAGAACCGTACCAAGCGACATTCCGGAGGGAAGCTGCTGCAGACTTCGATCGCCGGCCGGCACGAGACTTTGCGCATCTGGGTCTATGAAGCTAGCTTGAACGTCGACAGCCTCAAGGGCATTAACTCGGATGAGGTCCCCAAAGGACGGCTCCCCTACTTCTTCGTCATGTCCAGGCGCAATATCAGTGTCTAGATCTTCTTGCGCGGCATCTTCCTTAGCTTCCACATCCTCCATCTCAACATCATCTTCAGATCCTGATTCCTTCTCTCCTTCCCGCGCACTGGCCTCGCCTACTTGGGCTGGAACATCATCTTCTTCAAACTCGCTTTCCTCTTTTCCGCTTGAGATATCTATGACTTCTGGTGGATCATCCTTCATTGGCACATCCGCTGTGCCTCCGCCATTTGCCACCAGCGTCCGAGATTCGTCGACATGATTCTTTCCCATATCCTTGACGCCATTCATGACTACAGCTCCAACACCAGCGCCACTCTTCGCCTTGACAATGTCCGTCATCTCGTTCAATAAGAGATTGCCAGTACCCTCGTCTCGCCAATGGACCGTATCAAAGAGAAGGTTGACGCCTCCTTCCGCCCAAGCCAAAGCAATGTCATTCCCTTGAAACGAAGCATTGAGAAGTGGCACAATACTGGAGAATTTGTCAGGCCTTCTCATCCTGATTTGGGCAGCCGCTTTCCGTGTCCTTTGCTTCATCCTAGCTTTTAAGCTCTCGGACTCTTTATTCGAAGAAGCGTTACCGAAATCGAATGGTTCAGGGAAGATCTCGAGCACTCCATCCTTGTTGACAGCAGCAAGCACCTCCTGTGGTTGAACCATTCGGACCGAAAGATCACTAGGCTTTTCGGCCTTAGTCAAGTAGCCCAGTCCGGAGTAAAGGTCGAGGGAAATGACTTCGTTTTCGGTACGCAATGAGCCAATCAGTGTGGGAGAGTCGCCGTTGAAGACGTTGATAAAACGATCGCTTTCGGCAGCAGTCAAGAACGTAACGCCGCTCGAAGCCCTAGGTGCAGAGTTCACTATACTGTGAACAGTGTTGGTGGACGCATTGAAGACTGGCGGCTGCTCCTTAGACTCTGGGTCCAAGATGTAGGCGTGATGGGAGGCACAAATTACAGATGATGGCAATGGCCGCAGAGTATTTGCAGGTCCATTTGGCAGTATAACAGTTCTGGAACTGTCAGTTTGGCCCATGAATCGAAGAGTCAGGACCTTCCAACCTTAACACTCTGTTCTTCCTCAAATCCCACTGCACGAGCCTCCCATCTCCGCCTATGCTCCACCCCTCGGCATAGACCCCAATATTAGCAAACCGGAAATCTCTTATGCCATGTGTGTGTGCCTCTCTCAATGCTCCCACAGTTTTCGCCTCTGCGGGTGAGAACATCTGCACCTCCGAGTCACTCGTCCCTAATGCCACCACAACGTTCCTGGCTTGATCCTTGGGCACATCTCCGTTGACCAGATCACTACGTTTCCGCTTCTTCTTGGATTCTTGGTGATGCCGGTCTCGGTGGTTTTCGCCATAGTAGCCCCAATCCAAGCAGGTTATCGAGGCCTTTGAATTGATCGTGTGCTCGCAACGTAACCGGCCAGTGTTGGTGTCATGTATGCGAAGATGCTGCGCATCAAAACCTTGGATGACCGAAGCGAATAAGGAGAGCTGGAAATGAGAGGGAGAGAAGGACGATCGGAGGATGGAGGATCTGTTGGCGGTTTGTGTGTTGGAAGACGCTGCAGGATTTGCGACTGAGGAGACGTTGGAGGCTACCGCCTTGGGTGCCTTTTTATTCCCCATTATGATGGATGTTGACTGCAGATATTGTACTGGCCCTTGAGAACGGATCAGCAGGAGGTTCTCAATTCACGCATGAGGCTGCTGGATTTTTCCTCCGTGATTTTCTGGAATGATTTTTTTGATAATAGTTGCGCTAGGCGAGGCGAGTCCATGCCGCCAAGCCAAGTCCGAGGGATCTCGGGATCACTAGGATTTAAGCACTGCCACCACTGCTCTGTGCTCTTTGAACGGAACAGTTCTACTAAGGGGTAGCAAAGGATGAGAAATGGAAGCCTACGGAGCAGTATTCATGTGGACTAGCTGCAAAAGCCTGAAGGAAGTACGTCTGTTAACTATCCCACACAAACAAGACGGAGCCCCCGACTAACAAATATATGAAGCTATACCAACAAGGTAGCAAGCAAAGCCATAGCAAAATAAGCCCCGAAAGATGTACTTAGCAAAAATGCATCATAAACAAATAGCATCGTAGCAAGCAGCTAGGAAGCCTTCTGTAAGCACTAAGTCTGCTTTCGTAGCATATCAAGCAACCAACCCTATGATAGGCCAGATCTAATGGTGTAGGTAGTACCGGACTGCTGAGTGAGGTGGTGAGCTGCTCGGTAGCTGCAAAGTAGGCTTTGGTAGCTGTAGATAGGCTGCTCTGGTATGACAGGCTTCTTTGGTACGATAGGCTGCTCTGGTATTTGTGGAGTAGGCTGCTCGGTACTGTGGAGTAGGCTGCTGTGGTACTGATGGAGCTGACTGTGATATGACGGGCTGCTCGGTAACTGTAGGGTAGACTTTGGTAGCTCTGGAGTAGGCTGCTCTGGTACTGATGGAGCTGACTGTGGTATGACTGGCATAGACTGCTCTGGTAGCTCTGGGGTAAGCTGCTTTGGTAGCTCTGGAGTAGGCTTTGGTAGCTGTGGAGTAGGCTTTGGTAGCTCGGAGCAGGCTGCTCTGGTACTGATGGAGCTGACTGTATTACGACGGGCTGCTCTGGTAGCTGTAATGTAGGCTGCTCTGATAGCTTTGGAGCAGGCTCTGACAGCTGTGGTACGGTAGGCTGCTCAGGTAAGGTAGGCTGCTCGGATGTGATAGGCTGCTCTGGTACGATAGGCTGCTCCGGTAGCTGTGGTGGCTGGTCTCGTACTCCGCTGTGGAACTCGATAAGGGACTCAAATCGTGTATAGAACAAGCTTGTAAAGCTATGATAGTCTGCTGAGACGGAGCTAACTCGTTAAGAAGACGGATAGCGTTAGAATTCGTGTCGGCTCAGTTACCAGCGTCGTCCATAAGAAGTAAATCAAGCCATTCGAGGTACTGCTTTAATGTATACTCGTAGCCGGATATTATGGTGTGAAAGTGTTTTAGCCATTGAGTAGCGGATACTCCATTGCCGAAGAAGCAATCACTGCGAGTGAATTGAGGACCAGTCGACTTGTAGGCCATGCTTGCCATAGACTTAGCAAGATCTAATAGGAGACTGCCACTGAGATGGGCCAGCTTGACGAAGGTGAAATGGCAATAATGGGAGAGGGGCTCTCCGAGCTCTCCACTGAGGTAAAATGAATGATTTGGAGAATAAATCACTAACCAGCCAATGAACGGCTGTGAAAGACTTCAAACGAACGTATAACAACAAGATCACTTGCAAGGCCACGATTACCATCTGGGCAAGACCTCCAGTTGAACGAAACAGTTCTACTATGTGGGTAGCAAAGGATATAGAATCTATGGAAGCCTACGGCAGCAGGATATTTATCCCACCAGGCCGAGCTATACTACATATGGACTAGCTGCAAAAGCCTGCAAGAAGTCACGCCTGTTATCTGTGCTCTCTCTACCTTACCTACCTACCACTCTCTACTCCGCATCATCTCTTCCATTCCCACTGCATGTGAGGGAACATGACCGCCGTGTCTTCCATGGTGTCTCTGTCTAACTAATTCTCTTCCATAAATCTGATGTAATTCACTCAGCGCCTCGTCCGTGTTGGAAGGAATCACCTCCTCGGCCACGAATCCAACCTCTCAGCTCTGTCAGAGAACAGCAGTGGTGCCAGTTCCAACTTCAAAATGTCTCAACAACAATCCAACATTGTTGTTCATCTCTGAATACTGTTTCTACTAGGTACAATTCTACGGGTGTCCTTCTGTTCCTCTCAAGCAGCAGGTATCTGATCGTTGTTGCCTGTTCTCAGCCACTATGAGTACGCGAGGCTGCCACTGCTATGATGATGGAGAAACGCGCGATAGAAGTGTCATCGTGGCGGTACCTAGCTTCAACTCTCCACTGACTGATATCTACCAATTTTAGAGGCATCATATCGCGTGTTTCTTACGTGATAAGGATACAGACGGCAGGCTACTTTTTTGCCTTCGGAACGAATGTGTGAGTCAAATGCGGGGCTTGCTCGGAAGAGAACGGCCCGTGGGTATGAGTGGAAAGTTAAGGAAGGATGAGATACAGCATCTTGAGACGGATGAAAAATAATACGTCGCTGGTGAAAGAGAGGTGGTGGTGGTTGCTGAAGGAAGACACATGACGCAATGAAAGTGAAGTGGACTCGGGAGGGGGCTTATAATTAAAAGGGAACGCGAAAGATAGGGGGGGAATTGTAAACAGACTTCAAGCTTTTTAGACCTACCTTATCCCTGCAGCCGCGGGCTAAGCCGCTAAAAAGCAAGTGCGTTGTTATTCTCATACATAAACGAACTTAAGCTGTAATTTTCTCTTTTCCCCCCTCGCAAGTTGCCCCCAAAATTGCCAGTCATACTACTACTTAACAGCCTCGGCCGCCCGCCCATGTCCTCCGACCTCTGGCCAACGCATCCTATCGAAGCATTAAGTCTCGTGACCTGCATAACTTTTCACTTTTCACCTTTCACTGGCTTATTTATTCATTCATTGGTCTGCCTCAGCCACAGCCCTAATCTGAGCCGACTTGAACGCGGTCGCTTTAATTAGTAAGACCTTGCGCGCCTCTAGTCCCCTCAAAACACACCCGGCAATATTGAGGCCATACAAAACCGCCAAGACCTTTCGTGTCAAGATCAACAATTATTGACCTTTCACACCCAATCCAATATTTCTTCCAAGCGTTGCGCCATATCCCTTTCACTTGATTTCTCAGCATAATCTTGTTGGCTGTTGAAGCATTGGAAGGACCTAGAACAATACAATAAATTGCGATCGCTGTCTCAATACCTCAGTACTTGACACTCAACACTCACACAATCGCGCACTCCCAACCCTTTAGCCCTCACCTCCGTCGTTCCCATCTCAACAAGCCTGGTCTTGGGTTGCTTCATCACCCGTCGCAACTGCCTTCACAAGAAGCCCATGGCGTTATCGGAGCCGGAGCGCGGCGCATTCGAGGGCAAGTTCGGCCTTGAGCAGGACGAGATGGATTTTGGTACACACGATCATGCGTGAGTCAACTCACTCATGCACATCTTGTTGTCTACAGTGAGTTGCTGATAAGGTACTTGTGTTTATAGATTACAAAATGTTCACCACCCCAAAGACTCATCACTGAACTCCTCCACCTCCTTGAACACCTCAGCTCACGACGCAAACGCGCAAATAAGTGCGCACGACTTTACATCATCTATGACCAATGGTATTGATCACGCAGATATTCACTTGAATGACACTCAGGCATCCCTTGAGCCAAGCTCAAGTCTTCCGAATTCTGGCGAGACTGGGGACAGCCTACTATTCTCATCGAGTCAGTCTGCGCCCGATGATATTGTCGATCACTCTTCAATAAAGCTAGACGCCACCCCAGTTGAAACTTCATCAGCGCTTGTTCAGCAGCCAACTTCTGATCTTCGTGAAGAAACTCAGCCTGTAAGTCAGGAGCAGACCGCCGAGATCAAGGAGCAAAAATTGCAGCAACATCTCATCAATGATCCCGATTTAGCCAACGGATTGGTTGCCGGCGCATCGGATCCGATCCCAGTGAATTCAGAGCTACCACCACAGACAGACTCTACTGCGGCCTTAATCTTTCAACAGCCTCAGATGAGTGCCACAATGTCTCCGGAGCCTGCAGTAGCTCCATCGCTCAGCGAGGACAACGCTTCTGCTCTGCAGCCTTCAAAAGAGTTTGCCTCAATACCTACTACAAACCTCCCGCACCATCCACCAGTCCCTGTACCCGAAGGTGCATCAACTGAGGCACCCATAGATCCGGCGCCGTCGCCGGCTCTTCCAGCAGAGAAGTCATCACCAGTGACGGAGACAGAGAGTCAGTCAAAGGACCAGGTCATGCAGGACGTGCCATCTTCTCCCGCGAAAGTGGCCAGGGAGCGGGAAGGCGATGACCTAGAAGATGGACCAGCGGCGAAGCGCTCAAAGACTGAACAGGATGCTACCGCGGATTTCAAGGTTCCTGAGCGGCCAGCGATCAATACGCAGGTCAATGGCACGCATACAGATGCGCCCCAAACATCAGCACCTCCAATGACCCAACTCCAGCACAAGCACTGTATGAGGACTATCCAAAACGTCAAGCGTATTCAGTCATCTACCGCCTTCAGACAGCCGGTCGACTATTTGGTATTGAACATCCCAAGCTACCCAAATATCATCAGAAAACCTATGGATTTGAGAACCCTGGAAGAGAATCTGAAGGAAAACAAGTATGCTACGGTTGACGCGTTCACAGCGGATTTCAATCAGATAGTACAGAACTGCGAGGCCTTCAATGGCCGTGAGAGCACTTTCACGAAGTTCGCGAATGAGATGAAAGCCTCCTTCGACAAGAACATGTCAAAAATACCGGGACCTGATGTCGTGGAGCCAAGTCCGGCCGACAGAAAGAAGAAGGCAATTATACCGCCAGCAGCCAAGGTGGCACCGCCTCGACGAGAATCACGATCTTCGTTGCCGGGCCCTGCACGATCACCTGTATCGACAGGCTCTCCGCAAACATTCGCTTTGAATCCTCAAGGCGTACCTCTGATTCGTCGCGATTCAACTTTCGGAGACGGTCGACCAAAGCGAGAGATCCATCCACCTGCACCACGGGATCTACCCTACGCAAACCAGAAGCCAAAAAAGAAGAAGTACCAATGGGAGTTGAAGTTCTGTGAAAAGGTTTTGACCGAGCTTTCGAAGCCGAAGTACAATCACCTCTCATGGCCTTTCATGACTGCAGTCGACCCCGTTGCCCTGAACATCCCAACCTATCATAGCATCATCAAGAAGCCCATGGATTTTGGTAGTATGAAGTTGAAGCTGGATCAGGGCGAGTATGAAAATGCCAAGGAGTTCGAGGCCGACGCTCGTCAGGTGTTCCAAAACTGCTATCGCTTCAACCCCCAAAGTGACCCTATCAACCATACCGGGCATCAATTCGAAGCCGTATTCGATAGTGAATGGGCCAAGAAGCGGGACTGGATTGAGGCGAATACGCCCGGCTCTGGTCCTCAATCCGCTGGTAGCTCTGAGCCCGAAGACAGCGATGAAGAAGAGGAGGAGGAGGATGAAGAGGAGGAAGAGCAGACTCAGCTTTCGAAACTACAGCAGCAAATTGCCGCGATGTCGAGGCAGGTCGAGTTAATCACACAAAAAAAGAAGTCACCTCCAGTGTCTAGCAAGAAGGCCACAAAAGGAGCCAAGCCTGTCCGCAAAGACACGAAAAAAACTGCTGCGCCCGCCAGAGCGGAGAAAAAAGCGGTTTCAAAGCCAGCCAAAAAGGAGAAGACGCCATATGTAACCTATGAGCAGAAGCAAGATATTTCGAATCGCATCAACAGCTTGTCCGAAACCAAAATGGCGACTGCGCTCAGGATCATCCGGGACAACATGCCAAATCTACAGGTGAGACTTAATCCAGACAAGAGATTTTTTTTATATCTATCCAACGAAGCCATCTTAGAATATGAAATAGACACTAATCTAAATCAAAAGCAGGGCGTGCAGGACGATGAACTTGAGCTTGACATTGACGAGCTATCCGACGAAGTTCTCCACAAACTTCTTGTCTTTGTACGAAAGCATGCACCCCGTTCCGACGACGCTCCCGCTCGACCGGCTCCGGCAGCATCTAGCGCAGCACCGACACGGAAAAAGAACAAGCCCATGAGCAAGACTGAGCAAGAAGCTAGGATTGCACAAGTCCAGAGCGGTCTGTCTGCATTCCAGAAGGGAGGCTCTGCTCCCGGCTGTAAGTTACTCTTCTCGGGATGGCTATACGTGACTCCATGCTTACCCTTCGATGCAGATGACGACCCAGTGGCAGGTCAGGAGAGCAGTGGAGAAGACGAGAGCTCCGAGAGTGAAGAAGAGTGAAGGCCTTATTCCTGATCGGCAGCCATCTCACGATCTGTGTCGGCCTCGATTGGGCTTCACCGTGTTTTGCGAGACCGAAACACACTGACCAACACTATGAACCCTCCTTGTATTCTATTACTTCATCGGTCAACTCCAAAGAATTAGGTGCTGGAAAAATGAGGCTGAACATTAGCGAGCGCTGTGGACTTGAAAGAAAAGCTGGCTTGCAAAAGCAAGCAACGAACGACGGTGATGAGCAAAGACTGATCTTCTCTTCCTGCAGTGGACGAAAATGTTACCCAGCTCTATTCGTATGTACAGATTGGTAGTGGGCTTTGCGGCTCTCGAGTAGCAAACACCTAGCATGTTACTTCGAGCTATAGCGTTGATCACACAGTCCTAATGACATGGCATCGCTCTCCAATGGACTACCGCAACTTGCTAATCCCTAACGCCGAGAGGACTACTATCATCTATGCATTCTGATTAGTTCCCCCAGTAACAAAACATCTAAATCCATCGCCATATTCCCACACACCTTCTCGACTACTGCCTGATAACCCCAAATGTTTCCCCTCCTCCAATCGCACGTTCAATCCATCCCCAAAACATAACCTCCACCATCCTCTCCACCAACCATGCCCACCTCCGGGCCCCCGGACCCCACATCCTCCCCGCCGCCCCCCGACACCGCCCAACCCCCCCTCCCACCCATCCTCCTCGCCCTCTCCGGCCCCACCTCCTCCGGCAAAACCACCCTCGCCGCCGCCCTCCACGCCATCTTCCCCCCGCCCCACTCCCTCACCATCCACGCCGACGACTTCTACAGACCCGACTCCGAAATCCCCACCACCCACGACGGCCTCCAGGACTGGGACTGCGCCGGCAGCCTCGACCTGGCGGCCCTGGCCGCCGTCCTCCACGGCCTCCGGTCCGGCGGTCCCGCGCCCGCGCGCCTGCTGCGCCAGGGCAACTTCGCCCCCGACGGCGTGCACGGCGCCCCCCCCACCACCGGCGGCATCAGCGCGGCGACGGTGGAGCGGCTGAGGAGGGCGGCGGCGGCGGCGCGGGGGGACGGGCGGACCCTCGTCGTGGTGGAGGGGTTCCTGCTCTTCGGGCGGAGCGTGCCGGGCGGGGTGCGGGACCTGTTCGACGTCAAGGTGCTGCTGCGGGCGGGGCGGGGGCAGGCGCGGGCGCGGCGGGCGGGCAGGGGCGCGTACGTGACGCTCGAGGGGTTCTGGCACGATCCGGAGGGTTATTTCGATCGGGTCGTGTGGCCGAATTATGTCGCGGAGCATGGGGGCATGGTGGACGGGGGGGAAGGGGAGGGGGATGGGGTCGTGGAGGGGGGAGGGGAGTTTTGGGCAGCGGGTTTATTGTTCGGATCCGAGGTGGGGGGTGGAGGAGTGTTTGGAGTGGGTCGTTGGGGTTGTGGGGGGGGAGATGGGAGGGAGGGAGCTTCTTTGAGGGGGGGGGGGATGGTGAGGGGGGGGTGGGGGAACGGGTTGGGTGGTGAGGGGTGGGGGAACCGGGTTGATGGTGAGGGGTGGGGGGGAACCGGGTTGGGGGTTGGGTTACGTGTTCTCGTTGTGGGGAGAGGGTGCCATGGCGTGGTCTCGAGGGTTCGTGAGGCTTTCTTTGCTTGGGTTGGGTGCATCGGTGCTTGTACGAGATACCCCCCTTTTCCGCCGTGTGCTTTCTGGCGTCATGAGCTTCTACTCGTTTGCATTGTATGAAGGGTGGGAAGACATTTGGTCCGTTTGCTGCACCGGAAAAGGTACATGGCTTCTCCCTGCGTTGCAGACTGAAACGCGGCCCTGAAGACTGGACCGGTGTCATCGAGAAGGGAAACGCTCATCATGTATTCCCATTCCCGACTGACTCCTTCGTCGCCTCGGACATCAAGGCCGGAGCTCGACAATCCGCAAGTCTTACCTGTGCCCGGCATCGTCTTTCCGGCCTCACTACGCACAAGTCGGGCCGTCTCTCTTACAGAAGACTTGTGCAAGTTAAACATTCAACCACGCTGGGTGACGAGAATGGGAGAGATTTGGGGGCGCTTCAACGATGCATGTTGTAGGATCTCGACATGACTCCAAGGGAACGAGGATGTTGGATAAAAAGGACTCGTTGGTTACAACAAACGGTCTGGAACATCGACTACTAATGAGACAAGTCTCACGGCTTGCAGAGTGCCTCGCAGTTTACGCATAGTCGGTGCATCGAAGCGGTCAGACGGAGCGGGAATCGGGACACCATGGCTACACCTCAGTCTCGCTTGTTGAGCGTGATGTTGTGATTGATTGGAAGAGGAGCCAGACTATCTAATAGATTGCAACACTATCTTCGCTGCTATTCCTACAGGAGACAATAGGCCATTGTGGGTATCCAGATGCACGCTTTTATCCAGGCCAGATACTCCAGGCAGCCATATTTGACCGTACCCCATTATTCCAGATTGCCATGCTAGATGGAGAGTGAGCAAAGGTGCTTTCGCATAGCCTGCGAGTCACCGAAAAAGCGCTGTGGCTGTGGACATGATTGAGGGCTGGCGGCTTCCTCTAGCACTGCTTTCCTCAGCCTGCTTGTTGCACACCTTCTTGTGGCCGATCGAGAGACCTATATCGCATCTGTTCTACTGCGTCACGATATGAACCCATCTCCAGCATTGACAATGCTTGCGCTTCTTCTAGCATCGATGAAAAGATCTTCGCACTCGGCAACGTCGTCGAGATCGATCTCCTTCTTGTGATTGACTCGTGCCAGAATATTTGCAGGCGTGAGCAACTGCAGCGCGTATCGTAGACTGACTTTGACTCCATGTTCAGAAATCTTCTCGAGGGCTGGCTCGGTGATTGCCAAGCCCTCCGTTTTCGTTCGTAAGCGGACGATGAGCTTGACTTCCCCTGGGGTGTATGTATTGGTGGGTACGATCAGTATGCGGGCGAGGAGATCCGGTGGGATCCCATGAGCGGCGACGATATCTTCTGTGCCTCGTATGGTGCATTTTCCACGATTTGAGGCAAGTATGACAATGGGTGAAATGGGAGATTCGAGGGCGCGGTTGAGGTAGGTGAAACATTCGATGTCAAGCATGTGCACCTTCGCAGATTCGTCAGTCACGAAGCATCTTTGCACAACGGTGTCGGCCTACCTCGTCAATGAAGAGCACACCTGGCACAAGCTCAGCGACCCCTTGATCGATATACCGGCTTACGACTTTGTTGATCTCCTCTCGTAGCTTGTCTGTGATCTCTGTCTTTTTCGGCTTCATGAGCTGACCCATCATGCTCATGATATCTTGTCCGCCCTGCGGCCTTGCATTCGCTATATCGAGGTCATGTAACGTCACGTCCTGCACTATCTCTTTCTTCTTATGCACTTCGCCCTTGGGTATCGGCACATACTCCTCCGCCTCTAGGTCGAATTCCGTAGCATATGCATCCGATCTCCCGACCCTTTTGCAAGCTCCGGTGTTGGCCTCAATGTAGATTACATCCCCAACGACAACCCGCTCTTTTTGTATTGCTTCGTAGATTGAAGGATCTAAGCGCAGCTTCTTGGTGCCTTTGTAAGATTTGAGACCAATGAGTAGATGGCTGATTGTTTTTCCATAGCCTCCTAAAGGGTTGTCGGATTCTTCTGGCGTGAGCTCGGTTACCTCTCCTTCGTAGACCTCCTTAGTCTCCCGAACTCGTAGACCTAGGCTCCTGATCAGCTACACAATGTCAATGCCAAGGTTAAGTACGAACCGATAGCCCTCCGGAAATTTTCCATCAATGCTTCGGTCTTCTTGACCTCGGTCGAGTAGACCTCGCTGCCGACTATCGGGCAAAATGGCACCTTGGTCCCAAGCTCTTGTGAAACAGCCAGAGCCAGTGCTGTTTTTCCTGTGCCCGGTCCACCAGCTAGTAGGACTGCGCGCCCTGACATCTTCTTGGACTTTATGAGATCCACCACAACGCCGCATGCCTGTTGTGGTTCGAGAAGATTAGCTATGTTCATTATTTGCAAGCCTGCAACGACTGAATGGCCTTGACATACTTCTCTTGCAGCCAGCTGGCCGACAAAGCCACCGCTTGCGCTCTCTGCGTAGCCATCGCTCCTTAAACCCAGGCCTTTGATGTGGGTATGAGCTGCAGTTCTGTGTTCGCGCGAGTTGCCCTTGACCTCGCTGATTGTGACCATTACGAGAGAGGTTGGAAGAGACGGCAAGCTCTTGATCGCTTAACGATCTTGGCGTACGAGTGCTTGGTGTAGGCAGGAGAGATTACTCTGAAGTGTCATGGATGTTGGGTAATTTGTTTGGATTGGTATAGGTATGGTTGTGCACGCGATTGAAGCACAGAGCATCTCGGAGTTTTCCGAGGGCGCCTCGCTCACTCAAGCCCTGCCGCTTTTAATGACTGAGCTGGGTGATTACTTTAGGCTGAAGTACCGCCATAACCTACCTTAGTCTACAAGATTTATTCTATGTTTCAAAATATCTTTGCACCGTCCCACCTATATCATGACACCATCGTTACAGCTGCCAAAAAGAGAAATTTCCCACGGGAAAGGAAAGATTTTGATGAACAGAGAGGGATTCGAACCCTCGCCACTTACGTGACCAGGATATAATGTCAAGGTAACCTTAACCTGGCGCCATAACCACTGGGGAATTGTTAGTCTTTGATCACAATTAATTCCATTGCGAAACAACATACACTCGGCCATCTGTCCAGGATGTTGATTATGCAGAAATTTCTTATTTGAATATATACCACACATTATAATATGGGTGACATCAATATCTCGAGATTCAAGCATTCCCTCGCCAATAACAGTCAGTCGATTTGGGATTTTGGATCACTTCATCAATCTTGTAGGGTTGCAACCTACAAATGTTATCGAGTGTCCTTTTGCTTACATAATCACAGAGGAATGTCTTCGCTGCTGCTATGTTTTGATTCTTAACATGATTGGTTAGAATGTTCATCATAGTCTATAACCGCCTTCTCTGCTCTCTACCTTCTGTAAGTGTTCTTTCATTTCCTGTGTGTATACAAAAAAAGCACCCAACATCTATATGGACGTTAGATGATACTTGCTGTTGCAAATGCGACGATCAGGCGCGCCTCAATGATTCAGCAAGATAGGACGTGTCTCGAGGGAATACGAAGGCCTGAATATCACGTTTTCACCTCTCATTCATGTGTGCACGAGGCCATCTACTAGTATCCACTGGAGTTGGATGAGGCAATCCCGTGGTCATTCATGAATTGAGCGTAATGTGTCTCATGCTCTCGAAATGTTAATGCTGTGGTAGATACTAATAGCTCGCTTGTTTTAGACAAGAGTGCGAAGAGATGAGGAAAGCTCCGACGGCTTCGTACTATGCAATCAATTGTTACCTGGTAGTGGGGGTTCGGTGAATTGGAGTGTATTTGCAATAATTGAGGATTTTGACCAAACATATAGTCAGTTGGCTAGTGAAACGTTCTATTTTCCTTGCCATGCCGTCAATTATCTCGGGCTTCCATATCTTTTTCAGGCTGACTTGAAAACACTGCCACCTTTTCCTGGGATCTCTGATTTTGAGCTGATCCAAGGCATCTAAGAGCTCATCTGCTATCTTCTTGCAGTCTTTGGCTCTCAGCATGACGTCGACTTGGCCACAATATTTCTCAAGCGCCTTTGCAGGCCCAAGAGGTAGGATATCTTCCAATATGACATCAAGCATCATCTGATGAAGGTTAGTTCTCGAACGAATGCTCAACCACCAGATCGTTACTCAAGCGGCCAAGAGACTGGGTGATGCTCTCGAGCTCCACACTTTCATCTGCTAGACCATTGGAAGACATGTACAATTCTTGGTTTTGGGATACTAGCCGGCAGCCAGAATCCATGAATTGGACTGTATTGCTCGCAACGCCAAGAGCAGCAAGGCCCTCGAAAGCCATGCTGAATCAAAGGTTCCAATTTTCTAGGATCTGAAGGCAATTGCAATCTAGAAAAAGACTTGAAAAGAGGGAAGGCATTCAGATACAAAATCAGCTTTAATATACAAAAATATGATATCCACAGGACTAAGGGCAACAACGCCCGGCCAGTTGATGTTGGCAATATTGATCAAAGTCCTGCTACCGGCATTTGAGAACTGTAAAACGAACGATGCGGGGCTTTCTGGACTTTTCAAAAGGGAGCTGTTCCTCGATGCGCGCAAACATGAGGCGTCGGGGTAAGAGCAAGGGTTGGTGCAGCAGCACAGCCTACCACATGCATCAAGGACGCGAAAGCCTCATGCAAAGCTTACGGAGGTCAGCACTAAAAGTGCTGCACGCCAAGATCTCGAATAGTGCTCCGCCTGAAGGGTTACGTGAATAATGCCAAGTCCGACAACTAACGGCACCCTGTCACTGCCTGTCCTTGTGATGATTGCTTTTACTCTCATCCATCTCTTTTTGAAGCCCAAGCTCACGAACTCGAAAAGTCAAGAAAAGCCCCGCAAATTGCTGTCAGAGTGGTTCATGGAGGCAAGCAGTATGTCGCCAACTCTAGCTTCTTTGACATGAAAATTACTACCACTCCCTCATCATCGATACCAAGTAGACTCTGCAGCCATAATCATGGATGGACTACATGCTAAGGTCATGGGTTACACATGTTGACCATGGGTATGCGTATTGATCTTTCTTCGAATAATAGTTAGTTGTGACTGATGAGCAAAAGCACATAAGCACTCAAATAGGACGGAAGGAGGTTGGTACTTACGAGGAAAACTGAGGTACCTAAGATTATCTTCATCTTGCTGAGGATTGGATCTAACCCCTTTCCCGCTAGGCGAAGCCTCTGACCAATGATGGTGGAGCTGAGTCAGACGTCAAGTCATCGCCCTACAATTGCAAGCCACCTTGGAACCGTAGAATGCTAAGCAGGCATTCTCTCCGCGTAGCAAATGCTAATTACTGGAGCTATGTAGCGCCGATTCAAAGAATTCATGCATCTGCCTATCATTACCTAGTCCCCAATGCCAAACACTCGCGAGCCGCGGGGACACGCCGCTCGTTGAATCGAACGTTTGAAAGGCTGTGTAATCTCTTCCCGAGAATCAGTCAATCTCACCGACCAAATATCAGATGCAATCTTCTCCTTCGGGGACACAATCAGCATTCTCGATACAAGTCTCATGGAGATATCGTCTCAGACTGATGCCGACGGTTCAATTGGCGATTGGCCGCAGAGGTTGTTGCACGTACCTACCATGACTTCCTATGAATGGCAAGCCGGCCACGTATACGGGGGGCACATCAAGCCCAGATACAGCGCAATTTCGTACACCTGGGGTCGCTATCGACTGAACTCAGCCCTCGAGAGACCTCATGTCAAGCCCATCGAGCTCGATGGGGTGGACTGGGAGATCCCACGGATTGATGACTCTCATTTCACTGTAGGGCAATTTGAGGAGCTCATCCGTCGAAGTATTGAGCCCAACTCCTACTCCGGTCACAATCCTGCCTTCACCCCTTCTAAAATCGAGTTCGTCTGGCTTGATGTTGCTTGTATTAATCAAATACCCAGTCATCCTCAAATGGCAGTCGAGATAGGGCGCCAAGCACGAATCTTCAGAAAGGCCAAACATGTTATCGTGTGGCTCAACCAAGCCACACTGCAAGGCCTTGAGAGAGAGATTAACGGCATTGTTGCAGCTGCAGCAACTGCTGAGCCGCGCCTGACCCAGACTCTTCGCCCTGAGGATCAATGGACCAGCATACCAGGATCAAAGTTCAAGATGACCCTGCTTAGAAATGAACGATGGCTAGCCTCAATGATAAAAGAAACCAAGGCAAAGATCAAGGAAAACTGGTTTGGAATAGTGGCAAACACCCGTCGGATGCTCCTCCAAGGTGATGAGCAATGGCTAGCCTCAGCACTAGAGAACATTACTTTGTTAACCGAAGAACGATGGTTCAGCTCGTTGTGGACGCTACAGGAGGCCTTCCTCAGCCAGTGGGCTTATGTAATCTCTGGAGAAGTGGAAGCTCTTCGCGTTGGTTCTCCACAGCTCAGAGATATCTTCACGGCATGCGAGACTCTCAATGCTGTATGCAAAAGAAGTGTAGCTTATAAGCAGGCGCTGAGTCTGCCGACAGCAGATACAGAAGTTCGCCTCATTGACATGATTGAGCGGAGTGGTCTTGCGGCGCTTGCTATGGAGAATCCTATGGCTCTTTACACTGTGGCATCAAATCGCCTGACTTCAAGACCCGTAGATCGCGTTTACGGAATCATGCAAGTTTTTGATTTTCAACTGGGCATCTCAGCACCCCACGCAGACAAGGGGGCGAGCCCCAATTTGCCAGAGCTGGAGTTACAGCTTGGACAGGATTTACTTACGAAGTATCCTATTATGAGCCAACTGCATGTTCACACCCAGCCTGCAAGGCAAGGTCAGGCCTGGAGAGTCAGCAGTGACTCGAGAGTTCCTGAGCTGGCTTCCAAAGTAGGTTATTTTGTCACTAGCAGCTTTCTAGGGGATCACAAATGTTTATGCCAATTCTCATCTACAAAGGTTGATGGCAACTCTTGTGCCTCATTCGTAGGCAAGATCTGCTCCTTCGAAATTCTACAAAAAGCCTGGAGCTCCATGGATCGTCATATACTTCCTAGGAGGAGAACTGGGAAGAAGAGCACACAGCAGATTATAGTGGACTCATCGGCGCTATTGCCATTTTCTCTTTTCACTGATGACCCCACACAAGATATACCAAGAGATGAACGACAGCATAGACTGGCAGCCGAGTTGGTCACCCTTTGTTCCCGGCAAGGGCTTTCGATATATGTCTTACTATTAGGCCGTTTCAGCGACGACCAGCATACTGAAGGTTGGTGGAAGCTGGCGGGAGGTAGTAACTCCGAGTTCAATGGTGATCGCTTCAATATTGGCTTGATACTGATCCAGAAAACGAATGCAGAGGTGTGGAGTAGGTCGGGAATCTGTATCTGGGACCTTGGTCAGACAGCCTCCGGCCAGAATTCTGCACTACAGAATGACTTACTGGAGGGTAATGCCAACGACTGGAAATTGCTTTCAGGACTCTTTGAATAGATCGCTAACGCTGTAGTCTTCCCAAAATCTGGCAGTCCCATTTTTGGCAGACTCGACATGTCCTCAAGACTGCATCAGGAGTTTGCTGCGAGCCCAGACCGTTGATGCGCTTACACAAAGGCAGGTCAAAGCTAGCATCATGAGGAGGAGGCTGTCCAGCTCGAATGCACGTCCAGGCTCTATTCTCTTTCAAAACAAAAGGGGCTCCATCGAATGGAAGAGAGAACGTTTACCAACACTTGAGCAGAATGCTTCGCAAAGCAACTGCATTCTTGTCCCGAATGCATAGGTTCTCAAGAGTTGTTCATTGAGCCCCAGACCTCCCCTCAAGTCTTCCAAGAAAATGTCAAGGAAAGACGGCGAAGGTACTTGGGGAGTTTGGATATTGAGCTCAACACGTTCGTTGATCCCGCCTCTGAGTGGTCTCGAATATTATTACATTTCTCAATGGCGTGTATCGGAATGTCGTAGAGTATGAATGGGACTCTATCCATGGTAATGTATGGAGTTGCAGATTAAGATCCTGCTATAGAGCTCCGGATGGATTCGCCAATACCAAGCAGGTATCGACGAGCTCGACTCACCAGTCAGTGAAACGAAACACCGAATTTGTTGACTATTCCCCGGGCATTGCTGGGATTCAAGCGGGACGTAACATAGAATACGGCTGGATTCGCTGGGTAAGGCTTACAGTTCGAGATGACTTTTGAATGGCGTATCGTGCATGGATTGATCCTTTGGGCGCAGTCGACAGGTATTCCCAGTTACGGAAGTGGCGCGATTATCATCCTCAAGCCGCATCCCCGTTGATATTTGACAAGGGAGCGTTGCGCCCACAGCATGTAGGTAGAGAGAGAAAGGTCTCGTGCGCAAGGCAGGCTATTGGTGCAACTCGCTATTATCGCCTGCTCTCCGAGGGTCAGATACCAACCCGCGAAATGGGAAAATCACAGCGTTAAGCCACTCGACTATAACCCAAGTGTCTCTATCGTCGAAATTGCAAGAAGCTTCCTGAACCACCTATACCAGTATAACAATACGGCAATCGCTTGGAAAAGGCTTCAAGTCTGCTTTTTGCACATGGCCATCGCATCGGCTACATATTCGGATCACTCGTATCTCCGAATTGCAGCATGGTATATGGACTCCCTGTCTTACTCCGGAAAGATTTAGCAAGCACGGGTGAGGGCATATCAACGGGGAACAATACTCGATGGATCATGGCTAGTTTAACTGCTACATGGGTCGTTTTGTTAATAACGGTCTCTGGAGTCAAGGACCAGTCCTGGTTCTTAGTCGGTATTGGGGCTCAGGGGATGATACACACACTTGTTGTGGCAGGCAAATCTCGTTCGCCGTCTGCATTCGGAATTCCTCTAACATACCGCGAATACTTTCTCGGAGAATAGGCCATGGGCTCTCTGAATGGCGGTCAAGAAAGAATATCCAGGCATTGGCGTTACATTGCTGTCCATTTGCTTTCCTGGAAAGCTGGGGGAGGATGAAGATGACGATTGAGATCAGTAAAGGCGCACTGAGAAAGAGAGGTATAAAGCAGAGGAAGCCAGGCTACAGGAGCCTTACGGCTCAGATGTATGAAAAGTGCAACGCTCTAGCTGCAGGATTACCAAGGAAATGTAGCACATCCAAGTGGTCCGTCAATTGGACCAGCTCTTCTTCTACCTGCTTGGCATATCCCTACACTCGTCTTTTTCCCCAGCCCTCCTTCCCTTGAATTCTCATTGAAACAATCGACACAGTTCTGTACCAAATGCTCCATTCCTTCAAAGCCTAGGACTGCAGAAGGTTTGTCTACCCATGGCTGCAATCATCTCGTTGCTTCACGAATTCCTCAAGACCTCAGTGACTCTTCTGACTTTGCGGAAGTGTTGGTGCAAGCGAATAGATTATAGACTATACCGAATGTCTGTTATGGCTGGAGATATGTGACTGGTCTGCATCAACATAAGGAGGGAAGGCGTGCAGGCGGGCATACTCCGGATTATATATGCAGACCCACTTGAGACTTTTCCCCTCTAAGCAGTCAGTCTGTGGCTCACAGTAATATAGGCAGCTGCAGGGACCGCATCTCAGCCTCCCTGGCGCCTTGAATCCACTTGAACGTCGAGTGAGCTATCTGTCCCAAGCCAGGGCTAGTGGCCATAAGCCACCAAAAACCAACACGAAGCTCGGTCACAATCAAAATCCCAACTCTGAGGAGCAAGTACTCCTCCCCTCATGTACACAAGACGAATCATTGGTCCACAAACAGAACAATCTCCGGAGCAGTACCCGCAGAACGTTTGATGCTATCTTGCCCTCAACGGGTTCGCTCTGCGTGAACCTCTTCCTCCAGCAAAACTAGCCGCGCTTGACCAACAGACTCCGTCGCAGATAGGACGCCGTCAAGTCGAGCATGGATGGATGAGATCCCTTGAGCCGACTTGCATATATCTACATCCAAGGCGGCCAGAACAGTGAGGCCATCGTCGATGGACTTGGTTGAGGGTTTTGTTACGTCCTTCAAGTTGGAGGTAGAAGATTTGACAACCTCAGGGGTTGTGATTGATTGGGCTATTAGGGTCTGACTGATGTTGCCAGAGATGTGCAGTCTACAAGCCTCTGAAGATGTTGGCTCAAACGAGTGAACTCTATCGAGTACAAACATAGTAAGTGAATGAGGATATTATAACGTTCCTTTTCGTTCTCGCTTATTTTCCTTCTTCTTTCTTTCCGAAAATCCAAAACCTCAACTATATGATCTGTCAACTACGAAAACAGTCCTTTAAAACGCGCATCTTTCGAGATGTGGCATTCCTATTCTCTTATGTAGATTGCCATCATAACTGGGACATGTCAGTCAGTACCACGCTTGTAGGATATCTCCCCATCAACACGCGCTCAACAGCAGCTTGACCGCCTCGACAAGCGCATTTCGCTTATACGCACTCAAAAACCCATGCTTTTATGGATCTCTAGGAGCAGTCGTGACCATGGACTCATTCTCCATGTCCCGTGGTCCTCTACTTTGAACGCGAACCCTCTTTTCATTGCTTCATCAGGATGATCCCACGCTTTCTCCTTGTTGTAGGATCTCTAGCATGCACGAGCTCTGCCTTCGTTCCTTCAACGATCAATATCACCAGAAGCTCAACTGTCTCGAACCTGACATCCACGCATCTCCGAAGTTCCTCTCATACTTCCGTGGCGGAAAGTAATTTTCGGATGCAATATTGTACCAAGATTGAAAGTTGGTCTCTCCCGAAACTGGAACCCGACGACTGTTTGGGAGTGCTCGATTATTTCTATCTCGAGACATATGACGAAGGCCACCGCAAATCAAAAGAGTTCAGGGCTCCAGGCGCAAAGAAAACTACACATTCACCGCCGCAACGGACTCCTCGAAAATACACATTCCGTAAGGCTTATCCACCAATGATAATGCTGTCATTTCACTACTTCTTTGGCATCCATTCCACCACGGAATCATCATGGTTCCAGAGTGTCAAGGTCGAATTGTTCCAAAAGCCACCGTTTGCTGCTAACATCCTTTCCTTGAACTAGGCACATGTACGCTGGCGATAGTCATGCTTTCAGATTTCCCAGATCCCGCTCAGCTGCCCGGGGGCTCGAAGACGGGATTAACATCGGACACGACGACCTACTATAATATCTGGAAAGTAGCCAAAGGCTTGGTTAAAAATTGTATCGAAAGTCAGGGAAAGGTGGGGTGGCAGCTAACAGGTGAGATCTCTGTCATCCACTCTCCCGAATTTCTTGCTTCAATACTCTCACGGTCCTTGTCCTACATGTGTTGTTATGCATCTGTACCCGAGTTCACGGCTGACATTCTCATCCTCGTCTTTGAATCGGCGAAGGCGCATATCAGAGCATTGGAGTATTCATCTGGTCTACAGGTTCTGAAGAAGATCGACTAATTGAAGCTGATGAGCCACGGTTCACATTCCCGACACTGGAAGCGCCGGTCAATGGCTCCGCAGTGGACCTTTGAGAATCGAACTCGACGATTACCGAAGCAGTCCGGAGACGTTGTAGTTTCAACGGTTCACACAAGGTTACCTCTTACGAATAGGGATTACGGAATAGAACCCTAGATGGATCGAAAACAAGAGCACGCAATACCGAGATTCGTCCGAAAGAGAGAGCAGAACTCGATTTTGAGACTCCCACATTACGATGTAGCAAGATACAGTCTCACTCATATTTTCCTAGCGTTACACATTTGCTTTCCAAATCCAACAAGCCCCCGGAGTGCTCTAAAAAGCTTCCACTGTTGTATGCCATTTGATTGATGTCACCTTCTCAACCGCCGTCAAATCCATTATCGCTACCGCGATGTCTTCACCATCATCCAATTTTCCCTTTATCTCAGGCTCTCTCTGCAATGCCCAGAACTACCCTAACGCTTCATGGGTTATCCCGCAACGAAGCGCTTGTTCTCAATCCAGTGCATCGGTCCAAGAAGGTTTCCAGGTATCACCTCTATAGAACCAGATTTGATACCCTAGCAGTGCGGCCAGAAAATGTACCAGCAAAAATGCATACCTGCAAACCAAGCTGCATACCTGCAAACCAAGCTCTAGATAGCCCGCTTTCTCTCGGCTCAAATGTTTGCGGAACCACAAGATTGTGCTGGCGGTCATCGCAAGGTCTCTACCGCCAGTTGTGAGCTGTTGGGCAAATCCGCCTTTACCAGAAATCTCAACCAATACAGTGACATTTACAGATAGGGTAATTGGGCACAACAGCACCAAAGCGAACTAAGAATTGCTTTCAAATCTCTTGTCCGACAAAGTGAGTTCGACTACCAAAGTTACCGAAAGACTTAGAAGGTGAAGGAACATGCTTATTTCGTCTTCGTAGCTATCTTCTCTGTGGGTCCTCTGAACTAACAAGCTCGGAAGACCCATGAATGGCGTCGCGCTGACGACGAAATAAGTAAGGCGACCGGAGATTTCGGTTTCAATCGTTTTACCCGAATTGATTTGGTCGAAAAACGGAATAGACTTATGCCAGTTTCCCTCGGACATTCGAACCATAAATTCGAGGACGACGAAAGAGCTCAAGAATATACTGCCTCACCATGGCGTTGTCGGAACTCCACTCACGGCGTAGAGTCAGATCATCTGAGGGACCGCACCGAATGCGAACGATACGAGCCGAAAAGGGGTGTTTCTCTGTAGACTAGTGAGGCTACCCTCTTCAGCCCGATCGCCCATGCCACGGAATCGTAGTTCCATCACATTAACGCTGATGCTGTCGAAAATAACACGAAACACCATACGGAGTGCGTCCAAGACGCGGATGATAGGCGAAGACCGTAGGACGAAGCCATATTTGGAAGGGAATAACCTGAGTATCATACCCGAAGGTTGGGCCATGGTGTTCAGCGCGATAGCTGTCAGACACCAAAATACAGATTGCCATAATACTCCATTCGGCTCGAATTCCACGTCAAGATCCGGCACATCCTCGATAGAGCCCCTGACCCAACCAGAAAAGGACCTCCTTCCGATATCACTCAAAACCACAAGCCAAACAAACCATTCCGCCTCCCCCTGGCCACTTTGCAGGAACGAGACCAGCTCGTCGTCCTGATCGCGGCGAAGAACCGGAAAAACGAGCGTGGAGCCGTCCGCCTCACAGCTTCCTGCAGGCGGAAGATTCGATGGACTCTCACCCCCGATAGTCCCAGCCGAGGAAACCGACCGCAGTCTTCCATTCGCGAGGTACGAAGCAGCAGACTGCCATCGCTACCGACCCTCTACACCGAGTCGAAGTCGACGAGGGAAAAATCTCACAAGGAAATGAAGACGCGGTCCGTGATTCGCATCAGCGCCCGCAAGCCTGCGAGGTTGAACGTTGTGGGACATCTCGCAGGCGTAGCCATCTTGGGGCTTGGAAGATGATATCGGCCGACCGGAGCTGCATGATGCTTCTCGTTATCCAAAAGAAAGGCCGAGACGGATTCCGCGAACCGTTGCGACTGGAGCAGAAGGGTGGTTGCTAAAGGTCTGTTACTATCTAAAACGTAACGTATACTAGTATCGCCACATAGCAATACACAACACCAAACGATACAGTCAGAGATCAGCGTAACGTGGCCAGGGAAAGACTCGGCTACATAAGCAGCGTTGTGATGATGCGAACGGGAGTGAGTAAAGGGGCGAGGGAGAGGAAGCAGAGCTTCCGAGTATAGACGGCAAGATGTCACATCATGCGCACTATGCCCCCCACGTTGTGCTCAAACATGAGAATATTAAGGCGATGGGACATGAAGAGGTGTTTTGGAGTGGGATACTCCAAGAGCGCGACATGCCCTCATTACTCCTCTCGCGATCAACCCTCTAACAAGAAATGTCCCCTTCAAACTAAAAGATCAGAGCCATCACTCACGATCATAGTCAAACTCAACCGCATCACCGCCCTTAGCACCCTCCCGGCTCTCAGCGTCCGCGGTGCAGCCATCGCGGACGAGGCCAACGTCCAAAACAGTCGTCAACCCCGCCCCCGGTTCCGACGATCCGAAGATCTGGCGCCCAACCTGAACCCAGAGGGCAGGAGATGCCTTGAGCGGTTCCACCGCCATGCTCGACTACTTCACCCGGACGTACCGCACCGGCTTTGCCGCGGCCGTTGAATCTCACCCTCAGTGCCGACCCGCCGTGCCAACGAGACCCCCCCGGGAACTGCCAGTGTATGATCGTCTAGGTGATGTCCGATGCTCATCTCACGTCCTGGAACGGGGACATCCGCAAAGGGTCGTCCAATCAAATCATCAGCACGGGTGTTTCGAATGCGGGCGGATTGGAGCTCCAGAGCGCGGGAACTCCATGGTGGGTGCGTTTGGGATTCAGGGGCCCGGGCGGCAGGGAAAGGGGGAGCTGCTGACTTGAGGCCGTACCTCGGCATGCCGGAGTGAAGGTCGTTGCGATCATAGGCCGGTGGTGGTGATGGCGGTGGTGAGCAGTGGGAAAAGCATCTCGGTCGCGGCTGGCCTAGTCGTTCATCTATATACAGATAGCCAAAAATAGAATTCCGTCTTCCCTCAAACCATGAGGAGTCTAGTACCCGTCTGGACTTGACGCCGATCAAGCGGTGCCCGGTCAGAAAAGCCAACTGCCCCATCCGAGGAGGTCCGTTGAATCTTCCATAGCCACACTCAACCCCCTCAATCGCTGCGTCCCCAAGTCGCCGCGATCCCAAACGGGGTCATCGCACCGTCCCACACCCAATCACATACCGTTTCGTCAACGAGAGCTGACCAGTCTCGCAGGATATGGGACCCTTCAATTCGAGAAAATCCCCTCCAGTTGCGATGAGAAATCCACATGGGAAGTATCATTCGGCGAGGCGGACGCGCTGACAGCTCCGCACGAAAGGGTCTCATAAACCATGACTATTCCACATCTCGGCGCCCCAGGAAGACGGAAGTCTATTCACGACTGAGTTGGGACGAGGGGATGTTCCTTGTAGGGTGGGGGCTGCAAAAAGGATATCAAGGCTTGGCACCTTCGTCTGTCTCCCACCCGCACTGGTCTATATCATAATATCTGGCGCTGAGACAATCAATGTGTATGAGACAGAGATCGATAGTATACACTTGGTCTGTAGAGACCAACAATCAATGATTAGTAGAGTATTCTAATTGTGAGATTATTTCCCGAGGGAAAGGGAACGAGTACTTTAGCATTGGAGAAATGTCTATCAAGAAGATGCTTGAGCTTACCGTTGTGTTCTTCTTATCGTGAGTAGGGCACTGATCAAAATCTTGGTTATCATTGTTGTAGGCGGTTTGGCGGTGTGGGATCAAATCAGGATGCCAAGAATTATAAGCATCCTGCACACGCTGACATCAGACTCGGAGCGCGGGGTCTCGCATGCAAGAGCGACTTCTTGTCCAATCAAATGCACTGTTGCCTGTTTGCTGGTCGCGCACGTCCGATGCTACACAAGCACTCGTAGAATTGAACAATCCTACGGACATCATCCATGAATTCCACAACATCGTCGTTGCAACACAAAACCTTCCCTCTCGAATAAACGGGTGGCTCACAGAACCACAACTGACCGACGCAGCATGGATCCTGAACCAACAACATGTCGGATTCGAGTCAGATGGGGGAGCGGTGATGTTCCCCATGTACACGCCATACGAAGCTTGAAAGATATCAAAGATTTACCCGATATGACAAAAGAATTGCAACAACGATGGGCTGAAGAGATCGTGAGGTTATTCTTATCAAACCCCGGTCCAATTGCGGCCATCAGACCCTGGGATATCCTTCTGCACCAACATGGTTCCGTCGTGGCATTGTCGTCAGAAAAGGGAGGTCGGAGCTTCTACCCCTCTCGTTTCCGGATCCCTCCTCACAACGTCCTCGGGCTTGACGAGGGAGAGAGGGTGACGCGAGCGGAGAGGTTTGCATTAGGTACTCTGCTCTACGAGGTCATGACAGCAAAAGAACCCTTCGAGGAGCTGAGCGAGGAGGAGGTGCAGGACCATTACCGTCATGGCATTTTCCCAGATGACGTCTTCTACATGGCGATGGGGCCTTATATCCTTGGGTGCTGGAGTCTGGAATTCGAGAAAGAGATGGAGAGACTCCGTAAGTAGTTCGTGTAGGCTATTCGAGCATTGTTGACGTTCCCTAGTCGCTGAATCCGGCCAAGTACCAATTGGTGGTCGATTTCGTGCGTACGCCAAAGCTCATCCCTTCCTTCTTGCCTCCCAGGTCGTAGGTGGAGTCGCTATGACAGCTTCAGTCATTGCACTCCCTGCCCTGGGACTAGCTGGGTTTGCAGCAACTGGTCCTGTTGCTGGTACAGCGGTGACCGCTTGGCAATCGTCCATCGGAATTGCACAAGCCGGTAGCTTATTTGCGTGGTGTCAAAGCGCGGCCATGGGGGGCGGAGCAGCTGTTAATGGGATCATTGCCTGTGGCGCGGTAGGTGGAGGTGTAGCATTGGCAGCCACGGGTGGAGCGATCGCAGGTGGGCAAACGGTGTTGACGCCGGAGAAGATGAAGGAGATGTTTCTGATGGCGTACCGCAAGGAAAACAGCGGACTCAAGCCTATTGAGGCCGCGGACGAGTCGACAAGCTAGAGTATGACAACAACAAAACGACAGCGCATATATGACAGGGAGCTCCAGCACTAGACGACACCTGTGAAGTATTCAGTAGTAGAATGGACTTCACTCGATCATGACCTGTTGCATGCCAAACATTCCACGCAATCGGGAACCGTCATCGTAAGCGTCCAAGATGTTTGTGCTGATGTCCTGTTCCGGGTCGCTGGGGGTTATCACATTTACGCAGCCTCAGGACAATTCTCATCTCTCTCTTTCTGACTTCGACAAATGGCTGTTCTGGACTGCTGTGCGGAATGGTTCGCTAAAGGATGGCATTCTATCAGGTCAGCGTTAGCAGTGTATTTTACACAGACAAATGCTTTTAGCTCACGTCTGCGGTCCTGTAATGCCTGATGATCGAGCTATGCTTATGCTGCAAGCCGCAAGACCGTGAATTTAGGTAATGCACGGTTCCTAGACCGCCATTGAAGAGCTTCAGTAAGCGTACAGGTAGCATGCCCTCTGTGATAAAAGGCAATCAGTCCATAAAGGACAATGTAATTGGGCAGATAAAATTGGAGCCGTAACCTCCTCCGAGGCTTCCCAAGAATAACTTAGTTCACCATAAAGAAAGAGATATCCTGATCACAATGGTGTTCTTGCAGAAAGCGATTCTACCCTCGTGTCTTCGTTCCTTTTACCCTTTCCTCCCTCGCTGTATCTTTATCATCTCCGCTTCCTCCGCTTTCTCCGCATCAGTTTCCTCTTCCTCTCTATCGCCTTCATGCCGCTCTAGCGCTTGCCGCTGACCTTGAGCCGGCAACTGTATCAGCCACAGGTCGTGAAGAAAACGGTCCAGCATTCGTACCGAGTATGTTCTTTTGCATAGCTTGGCCGGAGAACGAAGAAGAGCTCGGGATGAAGAAGTAAAGCCCCGCCATAGTCAGTATTGCACCTGCGCCGATAATCCTATAGGAAGTGTTATCTAATCAGCACACCAATATCCTGAATGACAGCAGCTCGATCAGTGAGACCCACAACGCTTCTGGCCTTAAAATACCGGCTGGTGAGGGGGCCCGGCTTCAGTTGAATCTAGAGGAGCACCGCAGGCCCGGTCGATTTCTGCCGGTCGTAGCGGTGGCTGTTTTGGATTTCGAAGAGGCGGGAAGGTGGAAATGTGTCTTGATGACGTTTGGGAGAGAAAGGGCCTTTGACTGGTGAGAAGAAGGCGTCTGGCGAAGTAGAGCCGGGTTGTATAGGTTGTTTGGGGGGACATGCTCTCTCAATTGCTGCGGAGCATATCATCCCTGAGGAGATGCGGGAAATTGTAGAGGTTGTGGAGGTCAGGTATGTAATCTGGGATCCTTCTGTAGGACAGTGGGGCAGTGGGGCTACATAGCGGCGTCGCAGATGTTTTGGTTGTGGCATCCACGCGCAACCAAGGTGCCCCTCGCACCATCGCCGATTCAGTACTTTAGCATCCATCGCCAATATTGTTGTACACTAGCATCCGATAGCTCCGCAAAGTTTAAAACATGAGATTCTGAAGTGTGGGGTAGAACACGCTAGAGTACGTTCCGAGCCTTCCTCGTAGCCTCCGGGGAAGCCGGTAAGATAAACGGACCCCTCGGATCCAAGGTCACTCAGTGGTGGTGGCGGCGTCGTCATTGCGCATCTTTATTATTGGTAATTATTGTTATCCAGGTATTAGCGTGTGTAGAAAACATTGGAATACTTGGTCAGTTGGAGAAAAACTTCTTATTAGCCATGGTAGTGGTAGCTATCTACGTCGGATTTATCGGGTTTAAGATAATTACGCAAATCCTAGTAGATTGCAAATCCTAGTGAATACTAATCGTGCTGTCAGGAGAGTTACCGCTTAATAGCGCCGGAGAGTTGACCAATCAAACTACGATTTTCGCGGAGAACTGAGTAGTTTGATTGGTCAACTCCCCGGCGCTATTAAGCGAGACTCCAACACGAGTAGGTGTGTGTGCGATTTTCTTAGTGCCAAGTATTCCAACGTTTTCTGCACACGCTAGTACGTTCAATCATCCACATGTCGCAGATCAACTCGCGGAAAAACTATTATCATCCTCCTTAAGACTATGATGCAGCCATACTCATATCTTCTCCATCACCCTCCGACAAGGTTCCCAACGTAAGATGATTCCCTCACTCGCTGGCACAAATGGTCAGATTCAACATACCATTAACCAGTCAAATGCAAAGGGTTCACCCTTCACAGCTGCCTTTCCTGATATGTCTCAAGATTCTCTCAAAGCACCCGTAGCGCAAGATACAGACTCCGACCAGGAGCCAGACTGTGGGCTGCAGGCATCGAATGCTGAATTTCGCGAACAAAAGGCCGAAGAGTCGATAGAAAAGACCAAGGAACAGAGGGGCTGGAGAAATGTTATCAGAAACTTCACTCCATCGTGAGCTCAAATTTTGATATATCCCCCGGCGTACCTTTGGGCAGACGAGTTGCCTTTCGTCGTTCCTTATATTCACTTTCATGACGTGGTCTGAGAAAAAAATTGGCTGAATGTAGATTATTCAATCAGATGGTTCTCGGTCATAATGGGCACCGGCATTGTATCGATACTACTCCACAATCTTCCCTATAACGGATCATGGCTCTACTGGATATCTGTCATCATTTTCGCCTTAAACGTGTTCCTCTTCAGCGTTTTCCTCCTCATATCAATCCTGCGTTACACTATATATCCGGAAATCTGGTTCGCAATGGTTCGCCATCCAGCACAGTCACTCTTTCTTGGCACCTTTCCAATGGGTCTTGCGACTATCATCAATATGATTGTCTTCGTTTGCGTCCCCGCATGGGGAACCTGGGCCATCTACCTCGTAAGTGCAAAACCGTTGTGCTGACATGCAAGTCAAGATTCTGACAGCATTAGGCTTGGGCATTGTGGTGGGTGGACGCTGTGATGGCCGTCTTCACCTGTTTCTATCTCCCATTCGTGATGTGAGTAGCTCTGCGCACTTCCCCATATCTCAATGTCTCAATGGAAAAGCTCAGCCGGCTTATCACTTCCAATACAGTATGTACTTCCACAAAACCGAGCTTTCTACAATGACAGCGGCTTGGCTGTTACCGATTGTCGCAACAATCGTCGCGGCAGCTTCCGGAGGTGTTGTCGCTGAAGTCTTGCCTAACCCTAATCACGCTCTGTGGACCGTTATAGTATCTTATATCCTCTGGGGCACCGGTATCCCTCTCGCCATGGTCGTCTTAGTAATATATTTCCAACGCCTCACCGTACACAAGCTACCTGCACGTGAGGTCATCGTTTCCGTATTTCTGCCGCTGGGTCCGCTGGGCCAAGGCGGCTTTGGCATTATGCAGTTGGGGAAAGTGGCTCTTCGCGTCTTTCCAGAGACCCACACACTTGACATGGCTGCCGGAAATGCCGGAGAAATTTTGTATGTTGTGGGCTGGTTGATAGCGCTCATCATGTGGGGCTTTGCCATCGTCTGGCTTTTCTTTGCCCTCGCCAGCATCAGCCGCAGCAAGTTTCCGTTCAATATGGGCTGGTGGGGCTTTACTTTCCCGCTCGGTGTATTCACCGTTTCAACGACGACACTAGGGAAAGAGATACCGTCGATGTTCTTCGAGGTGCTTGGTACAGTACGTATTCCCATCTGAATTTCCTTGGCAAACAATGGCTGGCTGTATGCAGCCGCGAGTAAGACGAGATCTTGATTATGACACAAATTGATACGTGACTGTGGTCAGATCTTCTCCATCTTCGTGACGCTGCTCTGGATCATGGTCGCTTGTGAAACTGTGCGCAAGCTCGCTATGGGAAAGCTTCTGTTCGCCCCATGTCTGAAAGATCTAGAAGGCATCCAGCAGGCGCAAGCGAGAAAGCACTTCGGAGAAAAGGCTGTGTGAGGGAGCATAAGCAACGCCATTAAGAACATAAGGAAGAAAGTATGAAGGTGGTCATGCTCCGATTTATATACACGGAATCGCCCAGAGGACCTTCCGTTGATTCTACCTGGTTCTAGGGGTTCTGCCTTACGAAGCTTGTGAACCCACGGCGATTCTCAAATCTTCTATTGCATAAAAATCAAGCAAAGGAACTGCCCTTTTTTCAGCAAGCATGCCGAGGATCTCGCCAAAATCAACGCCGCATTTGAAATCAAGGTCAAAGCTCAATGGGAGTTCGAGACGGGCGTACGGCATATGGGCTTAATGAGCCCTTCTGGTAAGAGAGCGCGAGTGGCGTTTCACTTCGAGGACTGGAAAGGTCACTACCACGGGAAAGGCGGAATCAACTGATATCGCTATCAAAAGAAGGTCCGTATCCTCAAACTCCTCAAGACCGCTCAGGAATACAAGCGTTACCGACTCGACAGGAAGGTAGTGGAGGGCAAGGCTTCGGCGTATGCCAAAAATTAGTCTTCTTATCAGTCGATATTCCCAGAATGCCATGAGGCGGGAATTAGTCCGATCTCAATTGCATTGAGTTATGCTAGCCTTGAACCTAGCGTTATGTATACTACTTAGGATGGCGCATCCAGGATTTGAAAAGAGGCCGAGGGGGGTTGGAAGAAGTGCTGGACACAGGAACCCTCTCAGAAGAGAATTCAGAATTGGATAGAGCTTATGCCCAGGCATATAGATCATTCGTCTGAAGGGCGGCAACGCGTATAGGGTAGGCAATCAGGGAGGGATGATATGACCGTATGATTCGAATGTGCGGGCTGATGAGTACATACGTAACCACATGAAGCATCTCCATTAGACAATGGTCTACGTGTCTACGCAGAAATGTTTGCGAAGACTGCCAAGCTTTTTAGCGTATCTGCAGGACTTTTGGTGCCGACCTCCGTAGTTTCAGCCCTAACTCATCCGATCAGTCGATGAACCGTATTGCCTCCTCCAAACAACAGAGACACATATTCTCACGACTCGGCGCAAGACCACAACCAAGCTCTCCACCCACCCAGCACACGAACCCGCCCCCGCCAAACACCACACCACACCCACAACCACCCAACCAAAGCAACCATGCCTCCCACCCCCCCCCCCCCCCGCCCCCTCTGACCCTCATAATCCGCTTCACGACCTCCCTCCCCGACCTCCCCCTGCCCATCGCCCACCCCCGCGCCACGACCCCCACCACGCTCGCCACCCTCATCCGGCCGCACCTGCCCCCCGCCCTCGCCGGCTGCCCGCTCCGCCTCATCCACGCCGGCGCCCTCCTCCCGCCCACCGCCCCCCTCCACGCCTCGCTCCGCCTCTCCGCGACCGGCCCCCCGCCCGCCCGCCTCTACGTCCACTGTTCCATCGCGACCGGCGCGCGGCTGTCGCCCGCCGAGCTCGACGCCGAGGCCGAAACCGCCGCCGTCGCGCTCTCCCAACACGACACCGATGGCCGGGACGAGCGTGCGTCGTCATCTGCTCCCGCCCGCACCGCCGACGACGACGACGACGACTACCGACGACCGAGCCTGCCGCCCCCGGCGCAAGGGTTCGACCGGCTCCTCTCCGCCGGCCTCTCGGCGGCCGAGATCGCCGCCCTGCGGTCGCAGTTCCTCGCCGTGCAGGCGCACACGCACACGCCGGACGCGATGCCGTCGGGGGCCGAGCTGCGGGCGCTGGAGGAGCGCTGGCTGGACGCGGGGACGCCTTTGGACGGGGGAGGGCGCGCGGACGGGGACGAGGAAGGGGGCGGCGGGGGCGGGCTGGAGGACATGCTGTGGGGGAACGTGATGGGGTTTTTCTGGGCGGTGGGGGCGATTGTGTGGTTGGTGCGGGAGGAAGGGGTGTGGACGAAGCGGCGGCAGGTGGGGGTGGTGACGGGGGTGTTGGTGAACATCGCGTTTTGCATGCTGAGGGTTGGGGTTTGATGATGATGATGATGTGAAATTGGGAAGCATTCTATGTGCTGTGAGGACTGGGGTTTTTGACGACTTTACGCAATTGGATGATTTGCATTGCATGGGTCGCTGGATCAGTGGGCTTCTTTTTGTTTGGATACATGATACCCAAGGACAAACCTTTTTGGCTCTGGGCGTCTGGAACACTTCAGCATAGCTACGAGGAAGTCGCGGTTGAATTGCTGTTTGTTGATCATATTTCTGGTTCTGCAAGTCAACCAGCACGTGATGCTGGCTATAGCTGAAGCTTCACTATAATGCATGTGGCTCGAGAGCTTCCACCCAACTCTAACCCCAAACTCAAACCCAAAAAACAGGACACTGCCTCCTGCACATTTCGACAACGTTGTGATGGTATTGTACACAGCGAAGCAGAAACTCAAATGCAAAACCCAAGCGATCAGCCATCAAGGCTAACGAGAATTAGATTACTGTGTAAGAGCCGTTGTATGTAGTTTCGTTGCACTGATGAATACGCAGCCATGATGATCGTGTCCGAGGACACGAGGCCGTTAGGATGGAAAACGCCGACCCCGCTATGCATATTGTGGATAAGATTTAGAGAAGTTGGGTCAAAGGGTTCATTCGCAATGCTTGAAGCAGCGTCCTTTGGGAGAAGGGACAAAGGAGGCGCAGTCATTTACAGTCGTTCACGAATGTGTTACTTGGCCACGAATGTGAGGTTTGATGCCTGACCACCAGCGTGTTAGCAAAGCGCAGCGAGCAGTGTACATTCACATACCATTGTGTCAAATTCGGATTCGTGTAAGCGTTCATGTGGTTGGCGATGTAATCCGTTGTCTCATACCCTTCGGGATCACACGTGACACTGGACGAAGAGGAAGGATCCTGGTAGATGCGGACGTAGTCAAAGCGCATGGTTGCAGGTAGGGTAGCTTCAATGCCCGGGAGATCGACGTTAGAAAACCCAGTGGACATGCCAAAGTTCATGACGACTGCCATGGGCTCCACTGGTATGACTCGTTGTCCCACGTTGCCGTTGGGGCCAATAGCTCGAGCATCCAGAGTCCATGCCTCAATATCGGCTACAGACCACGTTACACGGCCAGTTGGTCCGGGGGTGTAGTAAAAATTATACGTTGCATAACCATTGCCGTCGTACCAGTCATTGTTGATATTCGTCAGGCCGGACAAGGCTTGTTGGAATGGCGCTCCCTGGTAAGTATTGAGAAGTGTGATAGAATTATCATAGACTTCGATGAATTCTGTGTCTTTGTCAGCTTCGATGCAGAGGGAGAGGAATTACACATAAGAATGGAATGGCGTCACCTACCAGTATTTGGCTGGTACCAGATGTCGAAGGGAGCAAGCTGGCAACTCTGAGACACCACACCTGTCATATCGGTGTTATCGAGGCCCAGGGGGGAAACCGTAGCTTCGAGCACGTCAAGTTCAGGCGCCGACCGTGATTTGCCTGGTGTTGGGTGATCTTGGCCTGCGCATGTACAAGCCGGCAATCGCATTCCTGGCTGGTAGCTGATCCCATCATTCGAGCTCTGATTTGCTGTTATCCCAGGGTCGCAGGTATTACCATAACTGAATGGCCACATTCCGTCCGTCGTAGCTGCATAGCCTGGTCTCCCCAGGTTTCCCATAGCCCAGAACCCAGGCCAGAAGCCTTGTACGTCTCCTCGCCCAGGTAAAGATAAGGAAGCCTCGAGAAGCCCACCAGTGAAACACATCTGATTCCACGACTGTACCATCCCCGAGCGATAGTTCAACCCGTGGTTCTCGAAAGCATCAAATCTGAGCTCGAGAACACCACCTTTGGTCGTGACGGCGTCTGGGTCGTACCACTCCAAATCTTGAGTTACACCATACCACAAGTTCACGGCAGTAAAGAAGGGGTCGTCTCCAGGATAGAAAGTGCGGCCATCTGTGTTGAACTCGTCCGAGAAGACCAGATTCAACGTCGTCCCGTCTGCAGCCGTCTTTGTCTTCATATCGCTCGGTGTGTCCGGATCTATTAAGCTGGTGCGAATGTTTTTCAACAGAGGTATCTTCCCAACATCAATACAGTCTGGATCCGAGGCGCACTCATTTGGTGGAGGTTCGAATCTTTGCACGAATGTTCTACGCACTTGTCAGCATAGGCGCCAAGTACGCGATAGATCAATGGTTCCTACAGTATAGGATAGCCAATGAAGAGGACCAATAGTCCTAGGACCACAAGACCAAGACCACCGATGTTGGCTACTCCTCGTTTAGTGAAGATATTACACTCCCTCGACTCCTTCTCGTTTGGATCAGGATTATGTAACCAGTCATCTTTTTCTACATCTTCTGGGAATAAGAGAAGTCCAGCCGAGGGCAATATGTTATACTTTTCAGATACTGTTTGGGTGTTGACATGCTCATCGTCGCTGCCCGCTCTTGATGGAGCTCGTGATGTTGCTCTTGAATCTGCAAAAGGGTCCCTTCCGTAACCTCTGCCATCTGAGCTGAAACTGGTTCTTCGCGATATCCCCTCCACCGGCGATCCGGGAACTGACTCTTCGTCTCTGAATCTGTGTGTTCTTGATCGTGTTGGTGGAATGAGCAGGCTCTCGGCTGAATCCATGGGACCGCCATTGTACATGCGATTCAGAGTGGGATTGTTTCTTACTGACGGCGCCGTCAAGGGTCTTGGTGGAGGGAGTAGGGATCGCGCGGACTTCTGCCTGCTTGGCCCTGTCGGTCGGTTGTTGAGGACATCATTTGCGAGGAGATTGTTTTGCGAGCTGTTGAGGCGCACATGAGGCATATCTCTCTCTATTGGGGTGCCAGGCGGCGATGTTGATCGACTGTCAGCCATCTTGCGAGATTGATCGAAGCTCGGTCAACGAAGGTCGCCTTCTAGGGTCAGAGGATTAATAGAGAGCCCCAATATGGCGAGATGGTGAAGGCCAGCCTCCCCCCCGCCTTGGCGTTATCGTTGGAAAATAGCTGGGTGGGAGTGTGGTAAGATCATCGGTCTCGGTGATAATGTCAGACGAACAGCAACAATAGGATCAATGGTATGATTGAAAGGATGAGACAGCTGTGAAAGGGATTCGAAGGTGCAGATGAAGGCTCAAACGAAGGTAAGAGGCAAGAGAGCCGAGTACTGTAGAATTTGTATGCAAGTTGTATGGTTTTGAGGTGGTACGTAGAGTATGTTTTTTTGGTAGAGTGCGCGTGACAGCAGTGTGAAAAGGAGTGCCAAATCAGTGCCAAGGCTCAGCAAGATTTGACGGTGACTATCACTACCTTAGTCTATCGAAATGGGGCCCGGCTACCCGGCCCTAAGGTAGTTGGACAAGCGATCATGCCTAAAGTAGTGGTGGAGCCTCATTTCTATTTATACATGTAGTAAGCAGCATAGCAATTAGTACTGTATTGCCACTCCAACAGCATCTCCAATCTACTCTACGTGCGCAAGCAGATCTGCTGGCTAAATATCATACATCTACGGGTACCATCCCTCTGCACGACATAGAAAACTAATCCATCCCAACGCCTCTTCCTATCTATGTTTCTGACTCCTGGCCATCACATGTACATGTGAAATATGGGACATTCCTTTTTCGTTTCTGGAAGCTTTGGTCTGAACGAGATTTGAAGGTGAAAAAGGATTGGGAAAGTGGAAGGAAGGAACAAGAAAGAAAAGCAAATCAGATCAGAACAACAAGGACAAAGAACCGGAGTTTGTCAAAGGTCCTCCCCAGGCCATGGCACATGCTTCGTCATGTACCGCGCTTGAATAGCTATATTTGCTATCCTCAATCGTTTGCGCCCTCGATCCTATAGAGGTGACAATCAATGTCTGTGCCTAGCAAACCTTAATTGACAGGATACCTCAATCCCTCAGCTTTCTACAGCCTTAGCCTTCAATCCCACGACCCTTCCGCCTTCTTTATCGAAGCCAACGACATAGTATTCCAGTCTCGTCTTGCCATGCTTTACCCGATATATCCTTGTCTTGCCATCCCCCGACTGCTCGACTGCTTCCATGACCTTCTTGTACTCTCCCTGCGGGTCGAATTCTTTCGCGGTCAAGGTCGAGACCTCGGAATCGTGCTCTATGAGTTTCCCAAACTCGTCTTCAGGAAGGCGCTGTTAGCGTACATTCACGTCTGTCCGGGCGTAAAGAGGCTGCCTGTTGTGGCTGCATACTCTCTGATGGCATATTTTTCCCACTCCATTTCAAGCTCACAGGCTCAAAAGGTTCGTCAGACTCAGACGTGTAGTACTGATCCACCTTCTGCAACGTGACCGGCACATCGGTGTCCACGGCTTTTGTGGCTGCCGATTTGGATCTCGTAGAGGCTTTGCTCGCACCAGTGTCCTGGTTGGCTTGGTCGAGGAAAGAAGAGTAGGCGTCGTCAGACATGGTTCTCAATGATTCCTTGAGGTGACTTGGCTGATGCCGTTTGAACTGCGTGTGCCTGCAAAAGAATTGGGAATTTGCAAATTGGACACTGCCGGCAAGTTCTACGCGAGCTATGATATGACGCAAAGAAGCGCGATTACCCTTAGTGCGCTTGATCAAGCTTCGAGGACAAGAGTTGATAGCACGTCGGGTGAAGGAAGATACTAACATTCAAAAGCCTCTTTGCTCATGTCAGGGCATGGACTTTGAAAGCGAGTAAAATGGCTTTCAGCCTGGCCCCAGAGGTCTTAATCTTATCGATTAGGGCTTGGCTCACTCGAAACTCTAGAGCACGAGTAAAGATCTCATCAGGCACGCAGGGTATTCAAAACCTGCAAGGAGAGATAGGCCTTAGAGTCTTTTATTTTGCTGTACTCTCTTATCATGCGATAGTTATTCACCCTACGACACTCTCCTATCCTGTGATACTCTCTACTCTGCAACATTCTATTATCCAACGGTGCTCTTCTACCCTACGGTATTTTCTTGTCCTTACTCAACAACAACAGAATCGAGGGACACTATCAAAGTTCTTCATGGCCTCCACTTCCGTACATGCGATACAGTTCGGAGGTCAATGACCAAGGACCAACGATCTACTTGGTAATATGATTGAGATCTCCATATAGCCTGATTATTTACCATTAGCTTTCCGCTTTCCCACGTCTTCAACGTGCTTGAATGTTTGGACGTTCTCTCCAACGCTAGCCTCGAGGTACATCTGATATCACAACGATTGGCTGACGAGACGGCATCCGAGGACTCGCGCATGTTCGTTCAAAGTAACCAAACAAGGCAGCGCTATTTTCCCAACCATTACCCAGAGCTCCTTCGCATCTAAGTACCCGTCGCAATTTCTGCACTAATAGCGAGATGGACTTTCACAAATGTAATCATCAGAGCTCCTGCATCATTCTCTAGTCATCGCCAAAATTGTTTTCACAGCACATCAGAGACTTGAGCGTCCAAATACAACACGAACACATGGAGCCACAACAGCCCTCCTGTTTCTTCTTCTCTGGAGAAATTTCGTGATAAATATTGATGATCTGAGGCGGCTAGCCCGGCTGACTCGGTTGGCTCTGTATTATACATATTGCATCTGAGGAATTCATTAGCGCACGCCTTTGCTAAGTGTTGAGAATCTGTCTCACGGGTGGCGACGACTGATGACTAGTAAATAGAAGAAGACCCAGTCAGCCGAAAGGTTGCGCCAGTAGAACCCGTTTGCATTCTGGTGGTGAAATTGACAGATAGAAGCTATGCGAACCTCTGCTGGGGCGATTGGAGCATCTAGGGCGTGGGAGGCTGCGAGGAGCCTTTCTTATCCTTTTTTGCCCAATCTTTGCTCCTCAAATCTTTGAGCCGTGAAACTAGATACATACGAGCTTGTGAGGATGTAATAACGAGCAAATCGATTGATTACCCTAATTCGGGCTTTGAAATTCAAGCAATAGTGTGCCAGAGCAGCAGGAGGCCGTCCTTTTGAATCCCAAGTACACATGCGAAGTACGAGACGAGCAACGGAGCTGAAACATTGCGGTCCAACATAAAAGGCAAAGGAAGCAGACATCTTCGAGCTTGTATGAAAAGGGTACGCTACGCCGTGGAGCAGCATGGTATCGCAAGGGTTCAGGGGTGTAAAGTCTTGACACCATGCAGGGCTTTTGAGACCTCGGCTGCATGTAGGACATGTAGCAACAGGCTGTTAGTGAAGAAGGCAGGGTTTCTCGACCGATGGCTTGGAGTCTGTCAGGCTGACGCAGCGTGGTGTTCACTATCACGGCATAATGAAACCCGGAAATGGATAATTATACGTCCGTCCTCTTATGCAGTTTCCAGATCAATGGGTGGCTTGAGGGTACTGCATTGTTGGGTGGCAGCCGAAGTGAGAGAGGAGGGTGTGATGTACTCGATGAAGGCTTACAGAAGGAAAGATGACTTCTGTCTACTTACAGGCGGAAAATGTCACTCCAAATGATCATTTAAAATAGACATTGTGATGCTCAAGCCGAGCACATGCAAAGGGACCTGTGATCCACGGGAATTTCCTCATTGAGAACATAGCAGATTAGGCTAGTGTACGTCGCATGATTGATGTTCGGCGCGCTCACCCTACCTAGGCCGGGACAGATCTCTGTCAGCTTGGCTCGTCAAGCAGACAAACGTGTGATAATAATCATAGAGGCCTGAATAGGATGAAGGCCTTTGCTTTTTTTGTGTCATCTTATTGACCGACCCACTAAAGTGGATTTCCTTTCCATTCCAGCAATGCATGTGGTATTCTCGTTCGACACTAGCTCTGAGTATGAAGTAAACACAAGGAAGGCTAAGCAGCAATAGGCAAGTCCTTCTTCAACTTCCCCAGGTATTGCTTCTTCTCTGCTGGAGTCTGGTATGCTCCGTGTCCGAACTTGGACGACGTATCGATCCATTTGAGATCTACCTTCTCCAGCGCTTTCCGACTCGTGTGGACGAACATCGATTTGCGTAGCGTGACGATTCGCTTCTTGACGCCAGGGATTGCACCCTTGAGAATGATGAAGTCGCTCTTGACCTCACCATACCGCACGAAACCACCCATACTAGGTATTGGTCAGTTGAAGTCTGTAGTAGTAGCAAGACTCGGGTGACTTACGGAGTGATCTGCTTCTTTGAGACATCGAATTCAGTTGAAGCATTGTCAGCTGCTTCTCCAGAGCCAATGCGGTAGACTTTATGATTGACGGAAGTACGATGGTGATATCCATTCTGACCAGCACGGGCGACAGTCCATTGCACGTGCGAAGGATGCCACGCTCCAATACACGCAACCTTGCGCAGACCCTTGTGCGTCTTCCTCGGAAGCTTCTTAGTACCCCATCTGGCCGTGACACCTGTAAAGCCATGTCCTTTTGTAACAGCAATGGCATCGACCATCTCATCCTTCTCGAAGACCGAGTTGATCTCCACTGGCTTCTCGAATAGGCCCTTGCCAAAGTCCACCTTTTCAGCCACGCTACCACCGTTGACCTGGATCTCCATCAAGTGTGCCTTCTTCTGCTTGAGAGGTGTCTTGCTGATCTGAGTATGTGCGAGAACGCGGACAACGGTACAGTACTTCTTGATGCGCTCGAGTTCGCGGTTAATGGGCCGGCCGGACTCCTCTGCGTGCTTCTTGGCGTACTTGGTGAAAGCCTTCTTCTTCGATTTGTACCAGTTCTTGTAGAAGCGTCGCTTGACTTCGTCGCTCAGATGCTCAGCCCAGACAGTGGTAAGAGAGCGAAGACCACGAGGAGTTTCGATGTAACCCACGAGACCGACGACCATCATCTGAATTCTTCGTTCAGTTCATGTAATGAAGGAGAGGGGTTAAGCCTACGGGAGGTGTCTCAATGACAGTGACGGCTTCAACGACCTCCTTCTTGTGCATCTTCGCACCTGGACGATCAAGATCTCGGACGATTGTAGTCATACCAGCTTTGTATCCCATAGCGGCGGTCAAGTGGACTGGCTCCTTGGGGTTGTCTTTGGGGAAGCTCTTGACCTGGACATCAATTTAGCAAAGATGGCCGTGGGAATTGAGCCCATTGATTTTACCTTGCCACGGTGTCTGCTTGCACGCTTCCTCGGCAGGAAGGCCAGGGAGCCATGACGGGGTGCCTCAAACTTTCTATGCGACATCTTGAATGACAATCTGTTGTAGTCGAGTAATAAGAGTGAGGGGAGGAAGGTTGTCTATCAAGAACTCGCGTGTAATTTTTGGTGGCCCTCGCTTATTTTTAGCCCCACCAGCCTTACTGTAGGGCTGACTTTCAAGGTGTCCCTCCGAGCCCTCTCACCTCAGCTCGTAGATACATTAATATCTCTTGTTTCTATTGAAAAATGTTTTAGATCAAATAGATCATTGTGTGGCAGATCAAATCTTCTCTACAATAGTGCTACTGTTTTCAGATCTCTAAGGAATTTGAACGGCGGAAGCTGCCACTTCTTCTAGGAGCTCGCCTGCTCTTTCTCTCATCTCCTCCACCCCGGCAGATTCCCTGCTACGATTACTCAGTCGATGAACGTAAGATGGCAGCATGTCTCTCCATTATATCTCCATTGAAATGGTCCAGAATCCTGAGTTGCCTGACGAGGTTTGCAAGTCTTTCTGCCTCGCCACAAGCTGACACTACATTCCCCATACCTGGGGGACTTGATAGCTGGCCAGTCAGTTGTAAGGCTTTCGCAGTGGGACGTGAGGGGATGGGCTAGGCCATGCGAGAGCATTGAGTTGAGAAATATGGGGAAAGCTTTCGTGTCGAGGTCCGTCAAAGGCATTTTGTGTTTTGGTTTCTTCAGGAACAAAAGGTCTGCTCATGAAATCCAGCGGGGTACTAATCCCGACGTTGCATTGCTTGGAAGAATAAAAGAAATTCAGCGACATCAAACAAATCAATGCAGGCTGAACCATGTTACATCTCAGCATAGGCGCAAGTGATGAGCAATCCTCCAGCATCTCCGGCGTACACCGTTGGAAGCAATTTTTCATGCCTCTTCCTGACCCAAAACATCTATGTTTTTTACTGTATCCAACCTGTCCAATGCACAGCTTGTTTACCCGTCTTTTATGGTGCAGGGTTGCCCGTCTTCGTTTGCGGCTCGATATCTACGAGATTACCATTTTGGAACGCAAGGCCTTTGTACAATAATCAGCCGAGGAGGCCAAGGTAAGCATTGCCTTCTGCGTCTTTCCATGCCGAAAATCCCAACGATGCCGCGTATCTATAGCCTAAGGTGTTTCCCGTCAAGACACCACCCTTGAGATCCAGAGTTGCACCACCCACATTGGTGTGCGTCATCTTATGCAGCAAAACCTTCTCGAAAAAGGCGTGTAAATCGATAGTGAGTAGATATTTTCTTTCCAATATGTCCTTGGCCTATGGTTTGGTGGAATTATTATCGTAAATCCTAGATATTCTGGTTTTACCAACATCCGTAGGGACATCGACCAACCATCTGACAAGAACGATGGTGATCGGCAGTTGATGCACGCAGCCGTATGATTCTTAGCTAAAAGAAAAAGTATCTTACTGAGGGTCGACCTTCGAAGCATCCGGCCCCATCTTTTCTGCAGCATATGATGGAAAGGGTGGGCATATCCTGATGACATCTGGCCTGCGCATCAGTCTTGTCTCATAGGATGAAACGAAGAGTCTGCTTACCAGCATGCCTCGTCGGTGCTACGTACGCATTGACCATCCATCCTTGGGATATATCGCTGTTTTTGCACTTCATGAATATCCCCTCCGGATCCGCTAATTGCCCAAATCCCAGCTTCAAATTGCACCATTCTGTCTTGCCCTCCTTGTTTATTGTTTCAGTCAGGTCGTTAAAACCGCAGATGATGATCTTGAAGTCTGAGAAGAGCCTTCGTGAGGTGACGCATCACTCACGAATTCATCTTTGCCCATTTGCGCCAGCTTGACAGAAGCAAGAGGGTCTCAGCTTTCGTATTCCGAAGCCTTCGCAAGACCCCGCAGATGACCTATACATGTATTTCAGAGGGAGACAATCCCTTGCTGTTGATCTTGGGACTCACCCAGCGCCTTTTTGAGATATTGGCTCTCCTTGAAAAGGTTGGTACCACTTGTTCTGAGGTATGGGTTGCCCTTCTTGGCCAACTTCACAATTGTATCGGCCCACCGAAAACTTTGCTCGACGGATGACCAAGAATGGTATGGATTGGCAATTTGGGTGCAAGTAACAGGCTTGCACGCCTGCGATCAGTACTAGAATTGATGACAAGCCGGCTCAGATTTCACTATCCTGCGCGACACCATTGTTTCTAGATATGGAGTGACGATGCTACGTCGAGGGAAGACGGAGAAGCGATACAAAGATTACACTCTTATTTCACTGTTGCCCGGTAGTCACTAGTCTCGTGTCTGCTCTCTGACAAAAGACATACGCGAAGACCCAAGTAGCGAGGGACCAAGTATTGTAGGTTGGAGGCATCCTAAACAATTGAATGTTCCGAGTTGATCGCCTTGATATGCCAGCAAACACCGACATATGGTATCAGAATAAAGTCCTTTGCGTTGTCATAGAAAGCTTGAACAAAGCCAACGCGCTTTGACTATTGGTTGGTGCTACAGTAGTACTTCCCTCAAAGTAAGCCTATCTTGAAGCTTGATGTATCTGATGCGAACCACCTCTGGAAAATTGAGATATGGGTAACGTGAGCTCGAGTGAATACGTGACTCTTGTCGAGAACAAATCACTTTTATTGCCCGCTGTTTCTCAAAAATTAGAATAGACCGAAACTACCTACATTACTCAAGAGGTCTGAGTCGCCATCGTTTCAGGTTGATCAGTAAACAACCATATCAAATATGTTGGAGGTTTCCAACTTGCTGCAATACCTTGTTGCTAGATAAGAGGGAGCATTTTGAGGCTTTTCATGTGATGGAAATTTGTACAAATACTTCTGGCTGTCCGCACAGTACAACAGAACTTTCAAGGATATCTCGTTCATACCCTTTGCTTGCTGCGGACTCTTGGTCATAAAGTGTTCGCAAGTGTCCAAACAAGTACCGTTTTCTCCTACCCTTGATCGGCAATTCTCCTTCCCATACAACAACACGGTTCTACCTCTTAACATTTGATTTCCTTGCGGGCAGGGAAATATGCACGACCTTGTTCGCGTTCTCGTAGGTGCAGCACTTATTCGCTTTGCAGCCTGCTCTGTGGCTAAGTCCTACAACGTCGAATCACATCACCTACCACGAGATTGTCGGGCCTAGAGAAGTGACAGGCCCCGTTTATCGTCAACCCTTGCACCGAGTTTTTTTTGAGAGGGACGACAGTATTGCTCATACTGCGAAGGAGACTCGAAGGTGAAAGGAGTTTGTGACAATGCTCGGTACACTCAAAGCGTCCCGCTTTTTTCTTCCTAGCTCAACTGAACAGGAGCACAGTCTAAATGGTCTGATAACGCCATGGTCTCGAGCCCAAGGACTGTGTGAGATCTACTATCTATGTCGACCGGATATGCAGCACAATGGACCTTCTAAAATGATTTAATTCATCAGTATTATCTGCCCCGAGAGGTATGGCCTGCAAATGCAGAAATGCTCTGACCCTAAATTTGGCGGTGATGCATACTATGAGGGTATCTGCGATAATATTTTAGTAAGTGGTGCTCAAGGACCTGGATGTCCCCGGGGAGGCTGCGCCAACCCTTAATGATGCGACTTTCTTTTCTTTGCCTTAGACTTGTTCGTCAATGGCGATTCTCATGTCCCAAATCTCCAGTGGCGACACTACTATCAGGGCTATCCAGACACCATTCAAACTCTCGGCGAATGGAACATCTGGCTATCAGTGGACTCGACATCGCCGTCTCCGCGGCAGAGAGCTCCGCAACCTGTACGGTAGTGACCTGCAGCCTAGTACCAAGTACAAAGCATCCAGGTGAGAGCGGGACAGCAACGCATGCACTAAGGAACATGCAGAAGAGCAGCACCAGGCAGGCGAGGAATCCTCGCCTGTGTGGTTCTTGACGCGCGCCTTTTGATGCAGCCGCATTCTCATGGCCCATTGTTAAGACAGAAGGTCAGGAATGGACTCCGAGCATCAGCGCCCAATCCTCTTGGAAAAAGGCTAGCGTTGATACTGGCAGAAAATTAGCAGCCAAGCCTTTCGCTTCGATGTGCGGAGCGGCAGGGCTCGAAGGAGGAGGGTAAGTCTACGGACGGCAGGAGATCACCTGGGCGAAATCGGTTCCTGTACAAGATCGCTGCCCGAATCGCAACATGCCTTAGAGGAGAGGAGAGGAGAGGAGAGAAAGGATAATAACTAAGACAATGATCTTAGTATTACGCTGTTCAATGGTACCCTGAATTTGGCTTCACATTCGATCCGGTGCAATAGCGATGCTGCGGGTTGGATTCAAGCTTTCGGCACTTTGCGCAAGAACCGTGTTTCGGTAGTTGGCTGGACATCTTGATTGTAGTTCCACCTACGCAAGGACCATCTGTACCTCCCTAGATACCGTAGGCCATAATCAAGTTCGCTTGGCGTGGGCTCATCAATGGGCTAAGCAATTTCCTCGCCTCTATGAGGGGAGTTTTGGTGCGTGGGCTTCCCTTGCTATATCTGCAAGAGCGGTAGCTCAGTACCGTAGGTACACGAGACATCGCTACCCTTGCAGATTATTCTCCGCTAAGATTTGTGCACTATCATTGCTCAGATGATTGCTAAGATTTGCTGGAGGGGCCTCAAGCTCCCGCTGTCCCTCGAGGCACGAGGTTTCGTAGCGAGAGGTCATAGACGACGTCTTCGATCTTCTTCACCTATGATTTTTAGGTCGTATGGATCCCAATTGACAACTGTACTCACATTGTATTTGATACTATCGCTTCGCTTGCGCAGCGTGTCGTTTTTCAGGTTCAGGATTTGAAAACCAGCGTGGAGGTCCTTGACGAATCGACTGATTTCTAGAGGTCGGTGGTAGTCGCCAAGCGTCACGGAGTTGACAGCTAGGCGTGCCAGCTCTTCGATGAGACTTATAAGAGAGTGAAGGTATTCTTCGATTGTCATGTGGAAGACATCTGAGCACAAATCGGAGTCAGCATTGCTTCTTCAAGCCGCGAATCTGAGGTATGGTCCTACTACCACAGGGATTTCTTTGGTCACGAAACCTCGCAACTCGGGTTCTGATCCTAAAAGGAAGGAAATCATTGCGATATGTACGAACCTTGTGTTTTAAGGCTAACCGGCACTGGGCTTGCGTCAGTACGATTGGACTTTGCATGATTGCGGCGCTGCTTACCGTAGAGCAGCTTACCCACCTCCTCAATTGCGAACAGCTCCCCCTTCTGCCCATTGTAGTCCGGCATATGGCTGCGAAGCCAACCCCAAAGAACGATAGCGAAACTCTGTTCCTGGTCAGTACATTATTCGAAAGCTGTGTTGCTGGCCTGCATACTGCATTCTGCATTTCTCTTGACCACATGTTGTTGTATCTGTAGTATGGATGCTTCGATGCTACCTCATTGAGCTTGCCAATGGTTTCGACTTGTTTGCTAATGGATTCCCAGGCCTCGGAAAGAGTGCTGCTAACTGCTCATGTAGATCAGCAGTAGATCACGGCGAGATGATGGAGAGCTATAGCTGACGGTCTGCCTGAGGTATGGAGTGGGCTCGAGAGAGAATTGACATTGTAGTCCTGTCTTTGAGAAGTTTAGTAGGCATGAAGCAGGTCGCAAGCTGTAGATTGGCAAATACCTTGCCGTTCCATAGCCTGTACGATATTGCGGAGCTCTTCACGAACCTGAGCATCCTCATCGAGCTTTGCTTGGAGATGCTCGAAAATCGCCGGGCTAAACATGCTCTTCGGCACTGAGTCTGAGCTTGCCATGACAGTAGTCGAGGAAGCTGAGAACTGCTAGCTAACTACAAATGCAGGGCATTTTTTAAAGGCGGATTTTTAGGATAGCAAATGTCAGTGAAAATCTGCTGCCCATCAAAGAATCAAGGATAGGTTGGGAGGTGTTTTGGGTCACTCAGCGGAGCTCACGAACAGGGCTGCAGGCTAGCTTCTAGCGCCAATCAAGCGAGCACACGAATTCCGCCATGATTTGCCTTTCTCTCCATAGTCAACGAACATCCATATCAACAACAACAAGAGCGCAGGATCAAACCTCTTTGCGTTCAAGATGGCTGGAGCTACAGTATGTATTGCACTGCTTTGCTGTTCTCCCCATGCCTAGCGCTGGGGCATTAAGAGCAGTAGGCTAAGTGTTACCTCCGCAATGTAGAAAACTCAGCGCACCAGCGCTCTGCGACAAGCACCCCCCAAAGGCCAAAAGCCTGGCAAGATCACCAAGAAGGTATAGCGAACTCTCATGCTCTCCCATCTTCAGCGTTCCCAAGCAATCGCTAACGTTGCGGCTCCTTTTTTCAGTTCATCATCAACGCCTCCCAGCCCGCCTCAGACAAGATCTTCGACGTTTCCGCCTTCGAGAAGTTCCTCCACGATAAGATCAAGGTCGACAACCGCGTGGGTAACTTAGGCGACACGATCCAAATTAGCCAGCAGGGTGAAGGGAAGATTGAGGTCATTGCGCACACTCAATTCTCCGGGAGATACCTCAAGTACTTGTGAGTGCCTTCACCTCTCATACCTGGGAAGAAAGGAAAAGCAAAAGCCCACAGGCCACGAAGAAGATCTTCGGGTTGGCTTACACTAGGACTCTAGGACAAAGAAGTTTCTCAAGAAGCAACAGCTGCGAGATTGGCTCCGTGTGGTCTCCACATCCCAGGGTGTCTACGAGCTGAGGTTCTTCAATGTGGTGAATGATGCAGATGAGGATGACGACGAGTAATGTACTCTCATGTCGTTGGAAAGACGAGTGTTAGATAGAGCTAGAGTCCACAAAGCCATTCACAACTTAACCTTGAGACTTGCAGAGGTACTCGTGCTTTTCTGATAGGTTTGCGGTAGCCCCGGATTCAAAAGGTTCAAGAGGTTTTCCATACGTAAGACCAAGCTTTCGATTGGTCCATGAACGCCCGATCCTTTCGCCTTCGCTTTTCGCACACCAACGTTTGTTGTTTTATTTTTCCATTGGAAATTATCCGTCCCTTTGCGGATGCTTGTGGGGCCGGCCGCCGAGCTGAGCGGGTAGCTTGCGCACACCCGACCTTCCAAAAAGCGTCGAAGTCCGCTTTACTGGATACTTCGCTCCGGCCATCATACTGCTTTGCGCTTTGTCCTTGATGGCATGTGCTGCTAACCTGGCCACTGACTGGCTTCTCGCTGCCATGCCTCCACTGCCTGCCATTCTTTTGCTCCCACAAGATCGACGACATACGTCGGCTTTGGCATCCATTCCGGGCAATGCCCACCGCGCTGAGTATGTCAGGAACACCTGCTATGACGTCTCAGGGGAATGAATGTTCAAGATTATGGAGAAGAATAGCATATAAAGATGCTGAAGCTCCCGTAGCTTTGGGCATGGTCAATACGCGACCAGCACTCGGACAACAGATTCACAAACCAAAGAACGAATAGCCAAATTTCCACAACATGCATGCATTTAAGGTATGTATGAACTCAAGCATTGCTGTTCCTCTGATTCTTCCACCTATCAACAGTCCACAGGTTCTCGTCGCACTGGCCTTTGCCGTGCCCGTCCTCACGAACCCCCTCCTTCGTGTTCGTCACCCTTTCTACATCTCCCTCGCCTCGATCTAACATCGACCAGCGCCAATGCGCTGAAACTTGCGGCAATACATGCTACTCGCAAGATGACATCAACGCGGCCGTGCAACAAGGCTACGGCTACTACGAGGACGGGACCACGGTGGGCAACGATGAATATCCTCACCAGTACAAAGACTACGAGGGCTTCACCTTCCCAGACGCTGGACCCTATTACGAATTCCCCGTCCTGAGTGATGAGCAGGTGTATACTGGAGGCAGTCCGGGAGCCGATCGGGTCATCTTCACCGGAGATGGGACGTACGAGGGCGTGATCACACACACTGGGGCTACTGGAAATGATTTCTTGCAGTGTACTGCGGATTAGAGCAGAGCATGGCTGTTGGCTTAGAGTCATCTCCCATTGTTGCGATTAATATTGAGTGAGAGAGTCTGATCCTAAAGCGCTGGTCTCCGTGGTCTTGAAGTCGTATACGTCTTTGGCGAACGCCGTCTTGTACAGTACTGTTTGTACCCTTCACTTTTCATGCCCTTACTACTATGCAAGGCTTTGATTTTCTTTAGTTGCCAGGTTATTAGCCCGGCTCGGCCTTGATCATAGCGACATGCACGCAATTCGCTACTACCTTTATGCGCATTATGCGATATGAATATGAGTCTCCTTATTAGACTGCAGAACCATCCTTCTCCAGGATCAAAGCTTCTTCAGTCTTCACACCAACATCCAACATGCTCATGCGTCTCTCTACCCTCGGCTTGCTAGCATTAGCAAATGCCTCGCCAGATGCGAAACGATGTTTGTCCGTTCCAGGACCACAAACTCTTCTCGATGCTAACTTCGAGGTGTCGCAGCCAACTACGACATGTTCATGACCGGCCAGTACACCGTCGCCAACTGCGGAGGAAACACGTCCCTCGTCGTCCACCTCCTCGACAGGCTCTACACCACTCTCCTGCCCGTGATTGAAGACGCCAAATCCACCAACACAAGCCCCGCCTACGCCGCGTTCTTCAAAGACCCTTCCTCCGCCCCCTTTGTATCCGCGCTCCTCACCAACGTCACGAGCGGCGTCGCTTTGACCCCCCCCGCACCCTATTCCCTCAACGGCGCGCCCACTCTCCTCTGCGTGACGGAACCCGGACAGTTCATGTACAAACTCGATGGCCAGAAGGACGCCTACGCCGAGTGCCTGGCCAACCCGACCGCGACGTCCAACTACGTCGGCTTCCTTCCGCCCAAGCAGTACATCATCCTCTGTCCGTCATTCTTCACCAGCGCCATCGTGTCCGTCCCGCCGCCCAACACCTGCTTGACGGTCAACACCTACATCAACAGATTCCACGGCGACGGGCAGAGTTTCTGGCTCTACAAGATGTGGATCGTGCTGGAGATGATCACGCATTACTACCTCTTCGCGTCCACGGGGCTCCTGACCATCACCAACACGAACGACGCGAACAAATGTTTCCGCCTCGCGGCCGAGCAGTCGAGGTTGAACGCGAACAACTACGTGTACTATGCCGCGAGTAAGTCTTCTTCGACTGGAGATATGCGTCGAAGGATCGACAACGTGGAGAAACGACCTAATCCTTTCTGAATAGGTGTATACGGTTCCTGCACCGATTTCCCAGCCCCTCCCACGAGCGGCCGCGAACTGTTGGAGATTGATATAGAGGACCCGTCGGACAATGGACCCGATGATGCGGGTCCGGCTGCTGTCACGTTCATTGCGACGGATTTGGAGATAGGAGTGGAAGACACCACAGGCACGCCGTGAACACTTGATTGGGAGGGCTGATTTCGTGTGGGAAGGGTTGAGGAAAAGTTATGATCGTAGTTTAGAGCGAGAGAGAGATAGATTGTCCGTTTCCAATTTTTCTGACAGACAGATGAGACTACGTATAATTCGAGCAGTCTTGCCAATCCTTCGTGCCCAGAAGTTTGAGAACATGTGCAGTGCTTGTGCCTTCATTTGTGCTTAGGTTTCTCTGTCTGCCACTGCTCTATCCCAGAGAGATGACTATCTCCGCGAGCAATAGGTTACTAGAGCTGTAGTCCCTTTCTGTGGCTCTTACCCCGGCAAAGGGCTTTCTGGATTGTATATTTGCACAGCAGTTACAATAAAGACTTGCATCTTCAAAATCAGACGAAGAAAAAGTACAAAAGATCCCCCTCAAAATCCCCTCTCTAACCCGCCCTCGAACGCCCCTTCTTTTTTATCCGCATTTCCAGTATTCCAAACTGGCAAAACGACTCTTAACCAGTCCTGAGGGGTGGGAAACACAGGAAGTAGGCTTCTCAGGAATGATTTATCGCCAGTTTCACACCATTAGGTATGTGCACTCAAAGGACCAGCACAAGGCGAGACGGATGCCCTCTGGTGGCCAGAAAGATTCATGGTCACTCCTTCACCATTGCACTAATTAGGCCTTCTGTGGAAGGGATAATGCTGTTAGGAAACTTAGGGGATGGTTTGAAAGAGTTGGAGATCTGGGGTGAGGGCCTTAGCGCAGAAGAGTCGGAGGGATTTTGGGGATGCTTGGCTTGGGGGGCACTTTGGTAAGGGGAGAAAGACGCTGCTGGGTAAGCACCAAGCTTCAGGAGTCTCTCTAGCAGCCACGAGATTTGCAAAAAGAACTCATGGGCAAATATTGGATCATAGAAGATAAGTGAGAAAGTAGGGGTAAAAAAATAATGAAACCAAAAAAAGCCGTCCACAACGTAGACTCGAACCCTCCGCCCCCATTCAGAACTCACAAATCCAGTAATTCAAAATGGCAAAAGGATTCCCAACCAGCCCTGATTCAGGGGTGGAAGGTATAGGAAATTCAGGCTGAGGAGTACTACTGGCCCTTTTTCGCTGCGGTGTGCGTACCTAAGTAGAAGAGGCGGTGGGATCTTTAAACGCTTTCACGTCCCCGGTGCTTTCTTAGGTAGCCAGGAAGATTCGTGGTCACTCCTAACCACTGCACCAACTGGACTTAGAAAGTAGGGCCGCTATTTTCATATTTAAACCAACCCCAAATTCGAGTGTTCGACCACAAATTGTTCATGTTTTGCTCGCCGAGTCGATCACAGCCGCTTCTTAACTAAAGGTTTCTGTCATGTTGTATCTTGCAATGCTATCGCTCATATTTGATTTTGGAAGCTGATGAGCTGCGTGAGAGGCACCAAATTATGTGCTTAAAGCTCCACGTTCGAACAGCGTATATACTTTTGTCTTGTTTTACGAGGTCATCACATAATCTCAACCATGTCGCAAGTCACATTCAATCATGGGGAAGCAGGGTATGTGTTTTGCGCAAGAACGCAGTGCAATATTCAAGGAAGGAACGGTCAATGGCATGTCCAGCACAAACTGCAAGCAGGAGCACCTTTAGGAGGTAGCAATTGTTAGCGAGCTTGCCTAGTACTCAACCCCTTAACTTCTAGCCGAAGATCATTTGTCTTTCCAGTGATGGTTCATGTGCGTTGTTAGGTAGGTCAGTCTGAGAGGGATCATGGCTTGACGGCAATACAGAATGGGCAAAGATTGAGAGCCCATGCATCAATGTGGAAGCGTATTTGAGGGAAAGATGACAGAATCAACTCGATTGATTCTTAGTATGCTGGGTTGCTATGAATAAAGACTTCTATCATTCTCTGATGTCGGTTTGGATCGAGGCTAAGCGCCGAGCCGCCGGCTTTCGACTTCCGAACCCCCCGAGCCCCCACCTGCTTCCTCTGACTACTCACTTCCTACCCCCCTCAACAATGAAGATGGCGGGCATCGTACCGAAGACAATTGGTCAATATGAGCCCCCCGAGAAGATAAACAGCACAGTGTTGTGCTTCGAGCCCACGTTGGAGAGACAAACGAAATACAAGATGATAACTTCAACCAAACGTACCCCTGGAAGAACCCCTCTATCACTATCACATGAAACAACGGTCCATCTCTGTCATGATCATAATCGTGGACATACTCACTGCCATGCGGCCTGACTCAGCGACAACAGATTCTGTACACAGTCCAGGTCCTCCACTCCACGCGGTCCGGATTCGTCCATGAAAGCTGCAATCTCATCATCCACTTCGGGGCCACTATTTTCCTTCTCTGCGCTGCTGGAGCTCTTCGTATTGGAGCGGCGAGATGTGGTGCTCTCACCGTTCATCATAGCGTCTAGGCTAGAGGACTGGCTGGGAACCCGGAAGCTCTCTTCCAAGATACAAACAGCCTGGTGAGAATGTCTAGGTCTGCGCCTTCGAGGGTTGCTGGACTGAGTGCCGGGTTCCCAATTCTCTTTGTCCGAGTCGTCTTCATACTCTTGCCACATCGCTGACTGCGAGGCTCCTTTCAACTTCTTCTCTCCCTCCTTCATAGCCTTCTGTGTCTGCCCACTGCTGTTGGCGGTCTGCAGTCTAGCAACCGAGGAAATGGCGCGAGCAAGTTTTGGTTTGTCGGTCCTTTGAACGTCTGCTTTCAATCTCTTGGTTGAGTCAGGCTTCTGGGAGTGGGCATTGCGCTTGTTGGGGTTGGGAGTCATGACTTTGTTGTTGTTACTTTGTGATCTAATCAATCCAATGGCCGCTGTGGCCGATCCGCTTTCTTCGCGTTCGGCTTGTTCTGTCAATGCGTTGCGAGCATCGCTGTCGCAGTAGAATTCCCAGGTTCTAGCATCTCGCGACCTCCCAGTCATCGATCGCCTGGTGTATAGAACAGGGACGACGTCAGAAACAGATTTGTTGGGAACGGATTTGTTGCCAGGTTCAAGAGCACTGTAGCTGCGTTGGAGGCTAGTCTTCGGTCGAGGGACTGGATTGATAGCTGTTGGTACGGGCTGAGAGCGTGGAGGAGATGGTGTATTCCCTGTGCGGGTGGTGACTTCGGCTTTTCCATCGAGTGACATCGACAATCTCACATGCGATGAGGCTCGTTTGAGGGTCTGTGCAGATCCTGAGACATCGCTGGCGCCTTTTGCTGGTCCAATCGAAGGTAGGCTAGATGCCAGCGACGATGGAGAGAGGCCATTCCTGCTTTCGTCATGGATCACAAAGGAAGCACTGCGGCGGTTCGCGAGATAGCCAGGGCGTCGTTTAGTTGAAGCTGTCTGGGATAAAGACCGGATCAGACTTGTGATCGAAGCTTGACCATTGTCGTCTTTGTTGTCGAAGGAGGCTGACGTGTACGAAGGCTTCGCAGAACCTTCAGAAATGTTTCCTGGGCCTCGTGCCACATCGTTGCCTCCTAAGCTTCCTCCTATCTCCGGGAGAGTTGCTGACTCGTTGACAACCGCGTCTACCGGTGCCTTGACTTGCCACGTGGTATGGAGACTCTGCACCGTTGACTGGCTGGGGAAGGCAGTGCTTTGACTCGAAGAGTGCTGCTGCTCACTGCTTTCGTTTGCAGACAAGCTCGAGGAACTTGCGTGTCCAGCATCCTCTTGGCTCGACTGAAGGTTAGAGAAGACCTCGTGTGGCAGCAGTGGCCTCGACTTGCGACGCGTCATTTGACGACGGTTCTGGAACCAAATCTAGGTACCAAGAATCAGCTCATGCCCCACCAGAGGTGCCTCGCGAATTTGGATATGTCCTGAACCACGATAAGTGACCGCAGTCTTCGCTTTTACTAACCTGTACCTCCTTCTCTCCAAGGGAGACCCGGTTGACAATATTAACTCTTGCAGCTTTATCAGGCTTGGAGTTACGCTCGTACTCGGCTTCGAGGATTGCATGATCTTCAGGGCTGCAGAAGTGATCAGTCAACAAACAGTGTTTTCTTTATATTGGACTATGAGTACCTTGTACGGCGGCGCTTCTGCCGAGCAAGACGCTGATCCTCAATTTGTGGAGGCGTAATCTGACCCACAGAGTCCTGAGAATGAACAAGGAATGCATAGCTGCCCTTAGGACCCTCTGAGCTGCCTGTTGTTGTGTCTTGTGAGGCCGATGACATTGGAGCATGCTCGTTGCTCTCCATAGTGTTGGTAGACAGACCTAACGTAACAAGGTACTAAATAAGTGATAAACTAATAATCCATACTGGTGTCCAAGAAGGTGAAGGTGAAGAAGAGTCGCGTCGCGTAGGTTGGGATATCTTGGCGGCGGAATCCTCGCTTCGCCTCGCTGTCGATCCCTCGGATGATGCCGCTTTGCGCCATCCTGCCACTCTAGTCTGCCCTCTCCCTGAAGCGACACGCATCAATGAAGCTCTGTCGAACTCCTACGTGTACCACCGAATTATGGGTAGTCGCCTCCGTGCCCTCCGCTCTCTGAGCATATTGGCAAGACTTCCCTTGCAAGATATCACTCCCCGCAGAGCTATGACATCCAAGACGAGCCATGAAGAGCGAACAGCAGCAGATCGCCGTGAGCCAGGCCTGCATACGGTGGTCCTCGACAAGATCGAACAGGTCAATATGAACATTCGCTTGTTGAAACTGGGACCCCGCGGTGAAAAGCCTAAGGCAAGAGACCTGATCCGTTGAAGCGACCCACGAATTTAGATCGAACCTCTACAGTACAGTTCCTCCCAGGCCAATGGCTTGACGTCCACGTCCCCCGTATACCTCAAGCCGGAGGCTTCACTATCACGTCTACGCCTGACGATCTTAAGAAGGACGAACCGTATCTAGAACTTGCTGTTCAGCATTCACCGAACAATCCGCCTGCTGCGTGGCTTGTAAGCAACCTCCCCAGCTCTTTGTTTTCCAATCCATACTCTGACTTGATCCGCAAGAAAAATTACGAGAGTAAATTGACTTCCGCAACTTCTTATAACTCAAATTTTGATCTTGAAAAGCGGATAACTGACCGGAGAACTTGTAGTGGCAAAGAGAGAAAAAGATACTGGGTACAGAATTACAGATCAGAGTTGGAGGGAGCTTCGTCTGGCCTCCACCAGGAATCGATACGAATCAGGTCCACAAAGTGGTCTTGGTTGCAGGTGGCGTGGGCATAAAGTACGTCTTGCGTGCACGAACAATGCCTCAATATCGTCCATGCTGATGCCATGCCACTGCCAGCCCTCTGCTATCGATCATCACCCATCTTATTCTGCACTCGGACTACCACGGACAGATCGAGCTCCTCTACACCTCGCGGAAAGGCCCCTCCGGCAACATATCATCGATCCTCTTCGTGAAGCGGATCCACGAGTTGTTCCAAAGAGACCTTCCTCAAAAACGTCATCACTACACTCTATTCTGCACAGCCCCATTCGCCCTACCTTCAACATCTCATAGCGGAGAAAAACGCTCAAATGTCATTCGGGAACGGAGCGGAGATATGCATTACGTTGGTGAGCACCAAAGCATCGAATACCGCCGCTTTGAGCAGAAAGACTTGGAGACAGCACTGGGCCCTGTAGAAGAGAGAGGAAACACTGTAGCATATGTTTGCGGACCACCGAGAATGACCGACTGGGCCGTTGATGTGCTGAACAGGTCGAAAGGCATGGATCAGGCGAGAGTGCTGTGTGAGAAGTGGTGGTAAGAGGATCGAGCAAAAGTCATGCATAGAGGTGCCATTACCCCGGCGAAGATCCCAAATTCCACTGAGTCAATATGAACAGTCGTTTCATTCTGATTGTTACCCACAGAAGTATGCAAAAACCAAAAGATGGGAGCTCTCAAGGTTGCCACTTTCCCTGCCGATCTGCCTCGCGGACTTGGAATCTTGAGCATCCATCCATGCATGACTTCTGCCACAATCTCTCAATTCGCACCGATGTGATCAGATCCCCGAGGCCCAGGTCGTTGCGATCCGTCCGATGACGGGAGCATTCTTCTCGTGTTCCAACGTCTGACCGGTACCAAAATACCATGGACTCACAACATCCTTCCATTACTCCCATTTCCACTCTCTCGAGGTTCATCTCCAGTCACCCACACTCCACAACCCGCACGACCTTTTCCCAGCCCCTCCATCACACTCTGCCCACCCCCCCGCCGTTAGTCCTCCTCCTTGAACGTCCATCCCCTCGAGCTTCTCAAAATCCCTTGCCCCCAAAGCACCAACCCGTCTCCCAACACTGCCATCCATCTCCTGACCTGCTCCTTTCCCCTATCCATCTCCCCCACATCCAACCATCTCCCCCTCCCGTCCGCGGCAATCAATCTCAATCCCAATCTACTTTCCAATCGGCCGGATACCGACGACGACGACGACGACGAGCGCGACGCAGCAGGAGACGAGACGAGACGAGACGAGACGAGACAGACTGTGGGGATTTCGGAGGGCCGGTTGCGTTGCTGGGGGTTTGTGCGAGGGGGGGAGAGAGAGGGTGTGGAGGAGGAGTTGGTGTTGGGAGGGAGGGAGGGAGGGAGGGGTTGGGAGGGTAATTGAAGAAGAAGAGAAGAAGAAGGGGCTTGGGGTGGTGTTTTGTGGGATGTGGGATCGGGGAGACGGATATATTTTGAGAGGTCGAAAGGCTAATGGGATGGGAGTATGGCGTAGAAGGTACCCAGCCGAAAGAGCCCATGGGTGGAGAATGAATCGCCGTCAAGGCGACCACCACCGTGGTATATTTATGATGGGTACTACATGCGTCAATGTCTATGACATCCTAATACAAACCTCACCCAATCTCCTGCCAATGATTTTCCAAAAGGCCCTTTCCATCAAGCGTCCCCTTTTCCATCTTCCCCTTCCTTCCTTCTCTCCTCCCGCTCTTCCCAAACACACCTCTCACAAACACAAAGGCCACCCAGGGGTCCCACCGCCCACTCCCTCCTCTGCCTCACACCCAGCTCCACATCACAGTAATGCGTCAGCACCTCATCTCCCTTTTTGATACCACCCTTCCACATCCCCTCCGCATCCATATCCTCACCCCACCTCACAGCATCATCTGGTCCTCTCGCCACTAATCCCATCCCCCCTTTCTCCCACGCCCATCTCATGTTAGGTGCGCAGCTATGGTTACTTAGACTCCATAGCCAGTGTACACCTGCAACTTCTGGCATACCGGTGCGCTCATTCATTTTTGCGTTTGCTACGCCTCTGAATTTGGCGAGGAGAGTGTTGATGACCCAGGTATCGTATCTTCCAAAGATCTCAGGGGCGAAGGGGTCTCTGTCTAGTTTGGATAGTAAATGCAGAGGTTGAGCAATGTTGTTCTCGAAGCTGAAAGGCAGGGTGCGGACGGCGGGAGATCCGGGCGGTGTGAAGTCACCCCAGAGGTATTTGACTTGTGGTAGATCGAGCGGGTGGATATCTTGCGTTTCAGCCATTGCGAGGGTCCGGGCTATTAGAAGAGTATAGAGGGCATTTGAGGCGGCGAAGGGGGAAGGGTCATTAGCAACGATGTCGAAATCTAAAAGTCCGCAGACGGCGGGATGGTAGAGATCCTGGGCGCGAGTGAGGCAGGGTTCGGAGCAGAAGACGATGTCGTCGCAGTCGGGACAACATGGTAGTGGATGGTCTCGATCGACCACGGGGAGCGCAGAGGAGCAGGCGTCGCAGAGAGGGTCGAAGAGGCGGGTGGATGACGTAAGGACCGAGGGCTCAACGAGGACGGTCTCATTGGGAGAAATTTCTGTAGTAGCGAAGACACCCAGTTGAGTGATTGTCGCTGGCTTCTGGTTTTCCTGGTACAAGGCTTGCGTATTGAGAACCGGGAGTTCTACGGCGCGAACCTTGCATTTTGGAGCCGCCTTCATGATCTCTGCGTTGAGAAATGACATGCTGTCTTCTGAAAAGCGATCGATCTCATGCTTGTTCCACGGATAGATCTCTCGCTTGGCCGAACCGTTTTCCGGGAGTTCTGTTCGAGGATTGAACTCCGATTTGTCCCACGTCGGGTCTTTCTGGAGTTGGCTTTGGCGGTGCTTATCCATTATCTGCTCCTGTAGCCCCTTTAATATGTGGTGGCCCGGGAAGACTTTCAGACTCCTTTCTGTAAAGTCATAGGCAGCCTTCAGGTCCCCACAATCCGACAGCGTGCGGGCCAGTATCTCATAACTTCGTCGTGCATAATCCTCTGCTATCACATTGTACCATAGGTCTTCCTTCTCCTTGCCATTTACTCCCTTTGAACCCTCCTCATTTCGGGTCCCCCCAGAGTGCCCATCCCCGGTCATTGCTCCATTTCTATTCAATCCATTCGTAGCGCCATTGACCAGCACCCCGTCCTCTTTTCTGGCGCTAGACTCGATAGCCTCAACAGCCAACTCATGCCATTCTCCTGACTCATCCAGCAGCTCATCCGTCAAAAGTAACGCCCGATAAGCATCGCCGGCGGCAAGATCAGGGTATCCGAGCTTCTCATGGCACACAGCTCTTCGTACATACGGATCGCAGTCGTAAGGGCTTTCCTCAATGTGAACAGTACATATGCGTCTCTCGTCGAGCCAATGGCGTTTTTCGTCCAGCATTTCTGAAGAAAGAATGACCCGCCATGACGTTCGAGAATGGCAATGTGAAGTTTCTGCAGACGCTAATTTAGTGAGTGAGGCAATTGGGCTGTTGTCGGCGCGAGGGGGAAAGTCATAGTCGGATTGTAAAGGCTTGATTCAAGAGCTTTAGAAGAGATATCCTCTCATGGTGCGTTGGTAGAATCTTCCTCTACTCGTATGTAAAGTCAGTCACTGCGAAAGTGCGAAATCTCTAATTCAAAAAGCCGGAAATGAGCTTAACTGAGTTCGGAAAAACCAGAACGAGAGGGCAATTAAGGCTAGAGTACAAGTATTACACTCTCTCTTTCTCTTTGCGCCATATCTCCATTTGTGAACATCATGTGCAGGCGTACTGTAGCAAGGTTGAACTTGTTCTGGTCTCCATATATTACATGCTTAACGTTAATGCTGGTCATAGACTTCTTCGCCTTGCCTGACCGTAAATGCTCAATCTGATAGACACCTAACATCCATGCCTGCCAAGTTCTTTACCTGACCTGACCCTGACCTGATCTGACCTGATCGTATATGATCGTCCATCTGATACCATGAGGTTCACTCATGGGCCGTGTCACATTATCTGCCTTTCAATTAGCGGCCATTTAGTCGTCCTCAGCAGCAAAGACCAAGCTTACCGTGCAATTATCATCCATCAAAATTGCTTCCCCGTCCTCTCCCAATACCACTCCCTCACCCCCACCTAGATCTCCAGCACCGCCCTGTCTAGCCCGCAATCTCGCAGCCAATTGCGCCAGCATATTTCTCTGAAGTACCAGTCAATCAGTCAACGAACCAACTGACCCACTCTGCGAACCCAACTTGTACTGCTCGCATTCTCATAAAGGGACCATCAGCACGTACCGTGATGAAAGTATCTCTCATCCCGCCTTTTCTTTGCATATCATTCTGGCTGACGATCTGATAGCTTTGATGCATCCTCTTTCGGCTCGATAATCCTTGTTCTCGAGGTTCGTCCTCGTTGTTGGAGCCGCGGCCAGCTCTCCGTCGGCCGGTTATAGAAGAAAAACCGGACGAGCCATTGGTGGCTGAGCTGATGTTGATGCCTGCTTGAGCGTCTTCTTGGGCACGGTGGTCCGGCGAGAAGATTTTAATGGTGTGATCGATGCCGGAAACAGCTAGAACAGGCTCGTATGGGTGGCCTAAAGTTGATGGGTGTTAGAAATAGACCTCCTTGTAGAGCTCTTGATAAGAACTCACCTTGCACAACGTTCACGACCTCATTGTCTCCTTCAAGAATATTGACCAGCGCAGACGTCTTCTTATCCCAGATGAATAAGTGACCACCATCACTGCCGCTCACAACATATTCATCTTGTAAACCAAAGAAATTGGCGTCCTTAACGGTCTTGACGTTGCAATGCCCACGATACTGGCGGCTATGGGTCGAGCATGGCACACCATTCTCGACCTTTTCTCGCAATTTGCCCCTATCTGAAGCGGACTGAAACATGAATTGTCGCTCTTCCGCCGTAATGTCTCCATCGTCGTCGTCATCATCGTCCGCATCGCTATCGCCGCCGTCATTATCGCCGTGGTCTTCGTCATCTTCGTTGGCGTCCTCATCAGCCATGTGCTCCGCAATCTCATTATGCAGATCATCAATCAGTATCACATCAGCGTCTGAGCCAGCATCTTCTATGTCGATATCGGATCCAGAGGCTCGCACGGAGGATGAATGCGAAGCATCCACGGCCATACCGTCGCCGGCGACGGGGCTCTCCATCATTCCGTCGGGACTTGTTGCGGTGCCGCGAATCGTCGAAGCTTCTCCAGATCGTCTGATCAGGCTAACTCCTTCAGCAACATCTTCCTCTTCATCAGGATCTATATCCTCTTGCGCCTTGTCTTCCTCGATTTGGGCAGTACCCAGCCCACCGAAAGCAGTGTCGGCGAATTGAAAATTGACACCCTCTCCAGCATTCATCAGAAGGCCCCTTCCAACCTTAAAAGCCCAGTACTTCGTGGCCGTCTTCTTGACTTGAATATAAGGCCTTGGCCCGTTATCCGCGCTTCCAGGCACGGGCACAATCGCGCTCGATAGATCTTCTAGGGGCATCTTAACAGCATTGGCGAAAGCAATAACTGCAGCGGTATCAGTCTCAAATATCTTCCGTGTTTCATCTCTTTCAAATCTTGATGCATCAAGATTCGGGATTGCCTTTCCTGTAGCCAGACCGAGTAGATAGGGGATGAGCCATTCATCAACACCAGAAAGCTCGGCGCCGTCTGGTATTGGGTATCGCGGGTTATGCCTTCGCTGGTTCTGTGGTCTTTTGAAGCCTTGCAATAGAGCGTCAGGGCCTCCCTCAAGCCAGAGCATGATCGCTCTAAGGAAATCATAATTGAAGATCTCTCTCTCGGACGGATTTGGTCCTTCATGTGGCGCAGCACCAATCTCTTGGAACAAATCGAGAGCAGGACTTGGTATCGGACTAGCGGTCTGGATTTTGCCACCAAGCATTCGCGCCAAAGTCCCTGCGGCTTGTACAATGCGACGAGACGAATCTCGATTCGCTCGGAGCGTTTGCTGCAACATTACGTCCTCGTGGAGAGGATTGACCGGATACCTCCAAGACCGTGAGATCTCATCCATCTCCGGTAAGCAAGTAGCAGCAAGCCCGAGGGCGGCCGTGAAAGACGGGATGTGATGAGAGGGCTCAGAAGATGGTGAGGCATCACGAGATGCTCCAAGAGAAAACATTAATTTGCGTATCTTAACAAGGCTTTTGGCAATTTTGAAACTCCTCTTTTGAGACTCGCTCAGAACGGATTCCCTTGCCTTTTCAACCATGTAGAGAGGAAGACTTGGGACAGCATCGCCCACGACGATGTCTTCACTTTGCCCATTTTCGTATCGTACGCGCAGTGCTAGGTCACCGTCTTCATCCGAGTGCTCTTTTGCACGCCTCGACTTTGAGCTGGTCATGCCCGCTTCGAGTGAAGTTGTCGATCCTTGCTTCTTCCGCTTGCGCTTTCGATCCTCAGATTCCCTAACCTTGCCTTTTCCCTTTCCACTCATCGAAGCATTGACACTATTTGTTTCCCCTTCTCTCACATCTGGAGACCGAACCAAATCAAAGCTGTAGATATGGTCTCCTGACCAACTAGCAATCATTTCATTGGGATTAGCATCACTAATTTTGCAGGCCGTGATATGGCCGTTATCCGTTCTTCTCATCTTCCTTCGCCCCTCAGGTGCAAATTTGCGAACACAACGCGTGGCCTGTCCCATCATCTCGTTTTCTTGCGAAGACATGCTGTTGGCCGGAGAAGCTCTACCAGGAATCCCATGCTCTTCCTCTTTGTTCCTCCCGAGCATTCTGCGGTCATGTAGGAAGCAATGGAGATGTGCGCCGCCTAGTGCGATGTAGTGAGGCTGGCTTGCTGAGCAAGAAATGGTATTGAGGTCGAGATTGAACCTTTTGTAGGATATCAGGGGTGGAGGAACGTTCGTATTGTCATGGTCTGCTCTATGAGCTAGGAAGCCTCGACCACCTCTCGGAGGCGGATACGAAGAGGAGGGTAATCGTAGATCGAATTGGCGTACCTGTCATAGCCTTCAGCATATACTGTTTGGTGGCAGATCTAAGGGTCTGACCTCCCCATCTTCTGAGCAAGTCAAGAAGAGATTGGGAGATGACTCCGTCACAATCCTCTTCACTCGATCAGCATGTGATCTATAAATCCTTGCGTTCGTATTTCCATCACTCAGATATTTCACACCCCTGTACATATTTTGGAACCTTTGCCCACGTCCAGCAGTTGCCATATTGGGCCCCATAGACGGTTCGACAGACCTCCCACTGTACTCGATATCAAAGACCCGGACTTCGGCGTCTCCAGCTGCCGTAATGAGGGTGCGGTCGTTAGAGTGTGGCATGAATTTGACGGAGAATATGTTGGCAGTATGGCCCGTGGCGACTGTCGTAGTAAGGGCAAACGGTGCTACTGATGAGTCCGGTTGGTATGTGTGGATATTGAGATGCTGGTCATCACTGCCGGAAGCCAGGAGCCTTCCAGATGTCGACCAGCTGCAACGGCTATGTCAGTACCGTCTTCTTCCTTACCGAAGCAAGCAACAACAAATTACTTGCCTTAATGCATTGACACATCCTGAATGTCCACCGAGTTCGTTGACAATGTCTAAATCATTTATCCAGCTTCTGTCTCCATACATCCCACTGATAGCTGAGTAATTCGACCTATTGCCAAGCTCCCGCCGCAAGAGGCGGTCTTGTAATGTAGGCTGCATACTGAGGTCTTGCAATGACGAAAGTATGGTGTACGAGAAAAGCAAAGGTCGAATGGTCAGCCTATACAGAATTCTGGGCACCAGCAGATGGGGATTATGCGTTCAGTCATGGCATGGACGATATCCTTATTTTTAGCTCATTGAATTCTCGAGGTTGAAGTATACAGCTCTTTTGGAAAGAGGTAAGACGGTATTGGGCCGCTCTCGGTGAATCATTTAGCGTATGCAAAATCCTTTTCCAATCTTGGCACTGGGTTATCACGCAACGCATCGATCCAAATGATCAACTCCACAACTATAAGTCGGAGTGTAAAAATCCTAGCGACGTTGTAGTCGCAAGATATGTCTCAAAATAAGCTGGTGTATTGAAGGATAAATTTCGAATTACAATCTTAGTGGAATCTAGAAGTTAAGAGAAAGGAGATGCCCTCGAGTGAAGTGATCCGCTTGACGCAAAATCCTTAGAAATTCGTAACTATGGAGACATCACTTACTTACTGATTTTCTTAATACTTTGATAGCTTTGGAGCCGCGGCGATAAGGAGTTTACTTTGTAAAGAGCGATTTAAACCGACGGAAGTTGGGGAGAAGACCAATGCCAATAAATCCGAAGACTTTTTAAGACGCGAAAATCGGCTTTTAACAGAAGCCTTGATTGCAACAGGGGTTCTCGGGTGCTCAGTAGAGCATAGCGAGCATGTCAGCATCTAGGACTTATAAATATTCCAGCTTGTTAAAACTGCCGTTGATCCATTCATCTGTCACCTATACACTTTTTGGAGATGGTGAGCATGGTCATGAATGTGCCAACGTACCCCTGATTCCCTAAATGGAGTATCAACCGAGAGTTCCATCCCCAACTCACATCAAGGGCCAAGGTTAGCTTCCTCCGTCAATCTTCACTTCTTCCCCTTCAATCCTCGTTCCTTCGCCGTCGCCCTTTCACCGTCGCCCTTTCACCGTCAAGAACGTCCATCATGCCTCTTGCGGTCTCCACCCTCTGCAACTGCATTTGAATGTTTCTCTCTACACTGCCCAGCTTCTCAATATACTCAGCAAGCTGGGCATTATCCCCTCGAACCCCGGCTAAAGCATCTTCCATCCTCGCATTGGCACGTCCGAGTGCCTCCATTTCTGCAATGAGTCCATCTGACAAAGACTTGGCTGCCAAATCAGGGTTGCATTCGATTCTATTGGGATAATCATCAATATGTGAGGGCGTTAGGTCGGTGAATTGGGCGTAGCTGGCCTTGCGTAGACACTTTACCTCGTTTTTCAGGGAGTCGATCCCACTCTGCATGCTCTTCTTCTCAGAGCACCACTCATGTTTTTCCGCCTTTCGGGCTTGAGACTCTGCTGCACCTTGAACCTGTAGCCTCGTGGACAATTCCACAATACGTGAGTATTGAGCGTCCTTAGCTGCTGTATGCTCTTGGGTCTGCTGTATGCTTTGCTCCAGTTCTTCCAGTTGTGCGTCAAGAAGCTCTATTTTACTTGTCAAATTTTGTCGTTCAATGGCTAGTTTCCCATTCTCCGCGCGAGAGGCTTGAACCCTTGCGTCCAGGTCTGCTATGTGAATTTGAGCTTGGGCGTAGGCAGAGGCCAGGTCTGTGTTCTCGCGCTGTAGCATCTGGATGTTAAGATAGTCCGTTCCAAATATGTGAGGCGGATTGCCAGAGTAAGGTGTGTATGATGCGGGTGTGGATGATGATAGTGCTATAGGGGGGAGTGCGAACGTAGCAGATGACGTTGGCGATGGGGATGGTAGCCTCATCTTAGGCGACGAAGCGTGAAAGGACGGATCTATTCGGGTCGGGACCACGTCAGACGAGATCCCCTGTCGGGTCGTGAGAGATGACAATTGCCCAACAGCCTTTGGCGTCTGTCCTGCTTGGGAGCTGTGCGGGCTTGTAGATGCGTCGGAGGACTGGGAGGTATGTGATTGTTGCGGACGAGGCAAATGGTAGCTTCCCAGGCGTCCAGGGTCAGTGAAATCAGACCTCCTCTTTAGTCCTGAAGGCAGGCGGTTCGGTTGGTTCATATTGGAGATGTGCGCTACGCCCAGCATCTGGAATATCTCACAATCTGTGGGGCACGCGCACACTCTGAGTTGGGGGGGGAAGGGTTTCAACAATACCAGCTTGAAGGTTTGAGCCTGGAGGACGAAACAGATTCTACAGGAGTGCTGGATATTGGATGTTAGTGGGCGCTGGGCTCGGGCAGATAGCTGATAAATGGATCAGCGCACCTGCAGAAATGTACGCCGGCGCAATAGCAAATAAGCCCGGCAGACGCTATCCCGTCACGAACTCCTCAACTTCTGGGCGAAGTCCCCTCAGGACCGATATAATTCGCGGCCATGGGCCTCCATATCCTCTTTCTAGCCGCTGCGTATGTATGAGGTATCAATTCTAGCCCCAATCTGCCCAGGTGGAGTCTCCGAGTAGGAGGATACTCCCGCCGGACTAACGCTCCAAAGACCATCAGCGTTGAAGCTTGTAATGCATGTCGATCTCTTTAAGAATATCCAAGGTATCCAAAAGGGCTAGATCGATGTACGAGGCGCGTTGGGATTCCTGAGTAATCAGCTCGTTAATTATAGTGCTGACTCAACGTCTGCAGGCTAAAGCCCACGCCGTTCGAAAATTCGACGAGATCTTTGAATGCCTGGTCAATGAGAGGGTGAGCCTGACATTAACATCCAGTATCGCTTGTTACGTCTAGTATCGCTTGTTACGTTATATAGAGGATAACTCGCACGTCAAGCGAGCCCGGCGTGGTGGCGTGCCACTAATTGCATCTTTCTTTAGGGTACTCTGTAAGATGAGCGACGCTGGTGCGGGGGCGGCTAGCCATAGTATTGCCATGGTTCGGATGGTTTGATAGTTGGAGGGCAAAAGCGAAAGTCGAAGGGGATGGGCGGACAACCCGGATAGTGGGCGCCCAGGATGGCTAGTATTGGAGATGTGGTCAGGATTTCAACTTATCTGATTACTGCTCAATAATGTTCAACTTACAAAAGCGAGTCCATCCCACTCAGCCCCAAGTCAACGGGGCAAGTGCTGCTTGGGTGCGACCGTGAAGGAACACATTCTTTTCATGTCCAACGCGTCCTTCGCCTTCGCGCATGGGCCATACTCTCAATATTAGGCAGCTTTCCGGTCTGGGCCCATAGAAACGATGTTCTCGCTAACATTGGAGGCGAGATTGCGGATTGTGCTCTCAACCCACGAGGTCTCCCGATTCATGACCTCATTCTCAATCCACTGGATGAGGTCGAGTTCCTCAAGCAGCCCAATTATCAGCTTTCTGTACATAGACAGTATTCGGCATAGGTTTGAAGGACTTTGGACCTCTCCAAAGCTTTCAAGATCGCGGGCAGAGTATGTCAATTCCCTTTCCAGAACCATAGCTTCGGCCTTCCAACCATCCCCAATGCCTTCAATGAAGTCGAAGTCTCTACCGGTCTTTCGACCATTAGATTCACGTTGACCACGGACTCGTAGAGCTTGTGCGAACCACGACTCAAAAATATTGAGGATGTGAGTATATTTTCCTTCTGAATCCAAGAGATTACAGATTTCCGAAAGGTTGTGTGACAAGAGCTGCGCCTTCTCGGCAATTTGGACACCTGGTCTACCTTGAGACCATTGGACTAACGATGACTGGTTAATAAGGCTCTGTTGCTGGTGAGCGACCTCCTTGAGCTCAGTATGCTGTTCGTAGAGAGCACTGAACCGGTGCTCAAAAGACCTTTTGGCGCTTTTCTCCCATTGAACTTGTACAGACATGGCGGAACGGTGCAAAAGGTGCAATTGAGCCATCTCCATTTGCAGATCAAGAACCTCAGCAGATGGAGTCTCGTCCTTGCTCGCCGGCTGGGACGACAGGATAGGGGGATCTGGCTGTCTGTTTTTCTTCGGGCTAAAGTGCTGCTGCATGGCCGAAAATGCAGGTCTTGGATGTTTTATAGATGACTCTCTGTGAGTGAAGACTTTCGAGGGCAGAGGGTTCGATGTGGCAGTGGGTCTCACCTGCTGGCTCAAGGACCGGCCATGATAGGACTCTCTGGCGTTTGACTGCGGATCTGATCCCGTAGAGCTTGTCCTTACTGGAAGACGTGGCTGGGACAGATTTCTGTGATCCTGACTTGGATATGCTCCATTGCCATTGCTGCCCCTGCTTGATTTGCGGCTGGTTGAAGGTTGCCTCGGAAGATGGCCAATTTTTGCAGAGTCTCGTTTCGAACTTGTTCGTCCGAGACTGACAGGCGGCGGCATACCAGCATATGGCAGCAGTTTTCTGGATGGCAGCATAGTAGCAGCCTTGTTTTGAGCCGTGGGAGATACTGCCGAAGCCTGTATTTCCCCGAATGCAGCAGGCTGCCCTTCAGCTTCGTAGCCGTCTTGCTCGGGAAGAGAACCCATCGGCTTTGAGAATGGCTTGATGCTAGTCTTCTGAGGAAGCATACTTCTTCGACGCAAAGGTCGATCACCTTGGGCTATTGCTTTGTCCATGTCTTGGGAGGCTATTGTAAACACGTAGTTTTGCGGTGGTGATCAACAAAGGCACCAGTCTTATACCCCCTGAGTCAACGCAGTATGGCAATGAGGCTCTTGCACAAGGCCGCTGGTTAGATAGAGACGGCGGTCATGAGGATTGAGAGTAGGATACTGGAGGTGTGGGAGATGAGATGTTGTAAGAGTGCCCATTTTTGTTTATCTATTTAAATCACGTGCACTACTATCAAAAGCGCGCCACTATTATAACCTACCGGATGATCTGTTTAGCGTCGTAGGGCAAGTATGGGCTGGTCTTAGACATTACGGAGTTTAGAGAACTAATTTGTTTATGGAGATTTGCTTTGAGGATTGAACTGTCTCATTGATTGAATTGCTTTGAGGTTCAACAACATCTATGCTAATTCGTTATTAAGGCTATCCAATTCAACCCGGGGACATCACGTGCCGTTCCGCTATCAAGACAGGGCGAATCTCTCAATCGCATTGGCGTACTGCGCTCAGCATGGCATTGCCTTTAGCTCGTGTCTGTACGCATAACAGATTTTCCATCATCTCATCCGTCATTGCGTCTCCTGCCTTCCTTCGTGTCTGTAATGCCATCACTGGCAGAAGACCGACGTGTATTGCCGGCCGAGCTGATCATCACCATCAAGTATGTATGTTAACCCGATGAATCCGATGACTCCCGCTCCCGATACCCGAGCAGTAAAGAGCGGGAGTACAAGCAGGGGTGTTGGTAATAGCCTTGGTAGGTATCTCAGGCGCATTGTAATCGTGAATCGTAGGACACAGATGGCGTTTGCTGTACTAGAGAACGAGCGGATCTGTTGGATGCAAACGTCTGCACGTGGGGAATGTTCTGGGTGGTGCTCTGTGACGTGTCTCACGTTCCGTAGCCGACCAGTTTCGCACATCGTTGGCAATAGTATGAGTTGGTTCCAAAGCTGACGCCAGTCATTGAAGGAAGTGAGCCGTCGACACTGACAGAGCGATGACAGCGAGAGCAGCGGGCCCAGTCTGTCGAGGGTGAGTGGGAAGGCGATGACTCGGGGGATGATCGTGGAGAAGAGGCGGATGTGCTGGAAGAGCGAGATGTACCGAATTGGATGTCTTTGTCAGGTTGGATTTGGGGTCTCCCGGGTGGGTAAGCCGCTCGAGTTTGTAGTTGGAGGAAGTTTGAGGCGGACATGGTGTCCAGAAGAGTTTCCGTCAAAGATAGGGGAAGGTCCGTGAAGTGGTGGGCTCTCTAGAGGTTGATTGGTCTTGGTTGAAAATGGCGGAATAGCTAATGATGAATAGATGAATAGATGAATGTGAATGTTATGAGATTGGAGGACTTTTTGGCGAGGGAAAAGAGAGTCGAAAAATTGGTATTTAAAGAGATGGATCAAAGATATAATTATATTCGTCACCCTTTTCAATCAGCTGCATTGACCAATTGAAATGTCTTCTATGGCTGATGTAAGCCCCCACCTGCACACCCACTTTTTATCTTTCGCATAAGCCCGGTATGGGACATCCGTCCGGTATGGACATGGTGTTCTCGACCGAAATTCACTCATGATTTCAGTCAGAGGTCGGAGATTCGGAACTCACATTCCGCCTACAGGCTGACACATCGCCGATTCCTCCGCCCATGATGCGACAGTAACACTAGGGTCGGCAAGGGTCCGGCAAAAGAAAGACGCGAGTACGATGACGACCTCACTCTTCGTACCTTGCATCAAACGCCTCTCATACGTGGAATGAAGATGATTCGCACCAATTATTATTATTATTCATAGGACAACTTCGTGAAGCTTTCCACAACGTCCGACACTTTGGCTCCCGGTCACAGTGACTGTGCTACAATCTCTTGGCCATACCATGGGATGTGCGAATGGCCCGTGGCTCCAAATTCGAGGTACTCGTAAGCATTGGTCAAGTCCAGAAGAGCGAGAGTTTCGTGGCTCGCAAAAAGGTCGGGAGTGGCAACGGGATTGAAGCTGACGGGTGATTTACTCTTCTATTCTCCGCGGAAGCCATATACCATATACTCAATTGAATACTTTCCATTACGGTTCCGGCTCTCCCTAGCCATCATTCATGCCATTTCAAATGGCTTTTTGACAGACCTTGGAGTGATCAAAGTCTCGCTAATGGCTCCATACCCCACCCACCGAACACAATTCTTCGATCCCACTCAATATCCGTCTTCCATCTCTCTTCATTCATCTTATCACTCTCACTTTGTTCCCCAATCCACCTTTTTGCAACCTCGCAAGCCACTTGATCTCCATCGCTCGCTGCGTCTTCCACCAACGAGACCGCACATACCACCCCTTCCGAAACCCTCCATAAGCTATCTCCCATGTACCCTCAACTCCTGTGCCCCTCTATTCTTAATATTGGCAACCCATTGCCGCCAAAAATACCATACGGCACGAGAGCAAGCCGCGTCGGCCTTTTCTGCAGTTTTTCATCGCTCCGCACCCGCGCCCACCCAATTCTCCGACGGCCCGAGCACTTCCGCACCCCATTTGCCTTTCAATACGTAGACCGTGTCATCAGCCATAACGTGTCTGTTGTACCTCCCCAAATGTCTCAAAGCATTGGCATCGCGGTAAACGCGTGCGATGTTGGTCTCGACGTCTAGCGATCAGATAGAATCGATATAGCCACTGCCGCCGAGAGACTCCATACATTCCCTAGGCCCGAAATGGCCGCTTTGGCCATCAGAGCTTTCATAGTTGGAGTCAGCACCCTCAACGGTAACATCGGCGCGGGTTTCTTCGGCACGAAAGCGGCTGCGGAAGAGACAGATGCTTGACTGCTGACAGATTGCTCCGATGTTCCCAGTAATGCGACGGCTGAGAACATTAACTGCATGTTCGCTCGATACTCCACATCCCATTTTGCCATCGTCCGGCATCCTGCAGGTAGATCTATCGACGACGTCCCACGTACGTAGCGCGCGCGGGCAAATACCCGGCTGATCACGAGACCGCGGCCCCCCAGCCCGCACGCGCTGACTGCATCGTGTACTCGAGTGGCGTTGAGAATTGTGCTGATCTCCTTTGTCCCTTGGCCGAGGGTCCCGACAAGACCGGTGCGTGTGTTGGCACGGCGAAGCTCGGCGGTCGGGACTGGACGAGTCCCATGTTTACATCCCCGCCGCTGAATCGTTACGCCATTGAGCTTTTGTACTTTGGTTTGAAGAATCCAAGCTCTCACTACGGTGGACAGTCCGCCGCATAGGTGCACAGAAAGCCGAGACGCCTCCTTCTGGCGTCCTTGCGAGTAGAATGGTCGTGTTGGGATCTGTAGCGCTCGAGAACCATTCGAAGCCATTGTCGGCCACGGTCTGAGGGGTGCACCGTCTAATCTTACCATCTCCTTTCGTGGAAAAGACTAACCGCCCATAGACATATCAATGCTTCAGGATGAAGTATTTCATAGTATATGACTTCTCTCCCTTCTTTTGTACACGTCTTTATTTACGCTGCCGAAGGGTCTTCGATCCGTATCAAGGACTTTTTCGTGCTCTGTGTATGCGATCTAGATCAAGTTCTAGACTTCAAGTAAATATACGAGCTTTTCTATTCAGGTGTGTTCTTCTTCCGCAATAGACACATGATAGGCTCCTGGTTTCTTAGCACGTTTACTACTTGCTGATTTCGTATAGAGGTGCGGTTTTGAGACAGAACGATAAGCTGGACTGGGTGCTGGAGAATAACTACGAATTGATTGATATTATTGAAACAGTTACCACGGAGCCAACAAAGGGAGAGGTCTAGTCGTCAGTGTAGTTGACACGTCCACCTTACCTGCTTTTTCTTAAAAGAAAAAGCTCGTTCCCCAGAGTAGGGATCGGAGAGCATAGGACAGACTCTCGGGGACTGTGGCCAGTTGATCATTGCAACTCATTTCCCTCCTTTTATTCTAGTCATCCCCAAGTGTGCGATACAGCTTCGTAGGGTGACTTCTTCCAGAGATGCTGAACATAAAATAAGTGTCGCTATGTTTTCACGAGGTTCGAGATCGAGGAATCCAATATTCGCTTGCTGAAACCTTCCATTGCTTACTTTACAAACGCCCTCGAATCATTTCAACCGCTCGAGATGATAGGACAGTCACTCACAGGCTTATTTCAGCCTCTCGGGGAAAAATATATATCTTGGTGCTTGCTTCCGAGTCTCAGCCACTTGATATCACCCTGAGGGTTAGTGATTCGCACCCCTCCTCTGCACATGCCCTTTAGCGATATTGTTTCGCACTTCGACTTACCTTTTCTTAATTGCGAATCACCTTCTCAAGCAGCGTTCGATGAGGCTAAGAAAGTTTCTTTCGATGAAGATTTCCACGGTCTATCGCATAAAGAGACGTCTTACTCTCAGGAAGCTAGGAGTCGGAGTGTAGATGGACATGAATGAATGGTATTGATATAACCTGCGTTTAACAAGATCGATAGGCCAACAAATCATGAAACAATCATTCAGCAAAAGTAAATGACCATACCCGGTTTCTAGAAAGATTGACACTAAGCCTTTCATGATCTTGATAACCATGTGTCCAGGTTGGCTTCCATCGGTCATCTAGCTTGCTGAACTCGAAAACTTATATTGGACGTCGGTAGTACTATCAAGTCTGCACTCGTCCTAAGCAAAACACGGTCCAAGCGCGGGATTGTCGTTTGCTATGGGCTAAACTTCGGTCACTGGCTACCATATTTCGAGCCGCTTTCAAGGGTCAAGACCGTTTGGTTCAGTTGCTTCGGTTTCGCTTTCCCAGGTCTTACCTGCCTTCTCGTTATACGGTCAACGCGCTTCAGCTTCGGAAAGCCACCTACGAATCCCTTGACACTAAAGACATGAGAGGGTCGCCTGAGACTGGGAAATATTCTTTCACGAAGAGTCGGTGTGCGGTGAGTACGTAGGAGTAAGTATATAGGCATCTCTCAAGGCTCTGCTGCAAGCTCTTTACCTTGGCAACCAAAAGTCATTTCGTATCATCTCGTTCGATATAAAAAGACCGTTTCCCGCAAAACGAAAGAAGTTCTAGCAGCTCATCCCAACAAACTCACTATTGCTTCTCGAACCCTTTCTCACAACTCTGCGTCTTGAGCTCGAAGCCCACAATCCCAGAGCCAGATCATCATTCTCGGTCACCTCTTCGAACGCATTACACACCCTCATCAACCTTCGCACTCCACGAGCCGAGCACCATCCGTCTCCACCGTCTTCAAGTTCTGACATTTCTCGCGTTCCTATCCACAGCCACATTGGCCGCACCTGCCGACAGTGGCATTGAAGCTGCAGATGATCTGATTGCCAGGGCTGTTTCGTGCAGTCCCACGCAGGCGGACTGCTGGTCTGACGGTTACAACGGGGTACCCGTCGGCTCTTTCTCCTTTATCCTAGACTATATGGATAGCTGCTCGGTCACGATCAAAACGCAGGAGTACCCTAACAAAGGGAGAGTATACAAGCTCGATAGCACCCTCCGCTGGACTGACAGAACCTGTTTTACCCTTGTGGTCGCTCGTCCTCATCGGGAGAATACTGACGATGAGCTTCTTATCCAGGATCGAACCTCCCCTGGGTCCCCTCGATCAGTCTGAACAACTGGTTCAATCCCGACTATTGCGAAAGCGGCGACCTCGCATCCGGTCACGGGGTGCTCGATGCGGCGTACTACGCCAACGATACCATCGATTGGGCAAGAACCCGCAGGACCTGAGATGCAGCGGTGTGGGATCTGGTGGGTTACCGGACAAGATGTATCGTTCCCGTATACGCTCCGTCCTGAGTCAATGGTGGGTGTTATCAGGATTTGTTGAGAGGCTGGCTGGTGAACTCTAGATGTAGTAGAGAGCTGATGGCGAAAAGAAGGGCCGATCTGTGTGGGTCGGAAGGCGCGATGTGAGAGTAGAGCAGGGGATTCTACCTGGTGTGAGCTGAGTAGTAAAGATGTGTTGCTCGAATGAAGTGTATGTGAGCTGAAGAGTAGCTGGACATATGGAATCGTGGTCGACTCTACGTATAGGAGCAGTGACATGGCCGTGAACTAATCAACCATCCCACTCAAAACGTGGTGATGATAAGGAAAATTACTGTACAGAGGTCCACGGTGCAAGAATTTTGATACCTTAATCCATTCAAATGTAAGATTATACAGCTTTCCATTTCTTCAATTATCGTATCTGGTCTATCGTTGAACCATGAATTTCACTGTTTCCCAACATGCTGAAACCACCACGAAGATTTAATGCTCCTCAGAGCGACAGCGGTGACGTTCGTAAAACATCTTCAAGCTCACAACCATACCTTGTTCTCTTATCGGCCAACTGCAATCGTGTTATTCGACAGCATCAAGCTCAGATCCGACGACTCGCTCGTCGAATAAAGCGTCAGTTCCACACGCTTTGCCCCTCCCGTGATAGTACATCCACCAATTTCAAGATCCCCGAACTCCACACAACAGCGAAGGACATCCATGACCCTCAGTCGAATGATCCGCCAGGAGGAATGATCAAACATGGAAGGCGACGCCAAGCGAACGCTCACACCGCAAGTTCCCGCCTCCCGGACAAGAGGCAACCGATGGCGATCTTCAAAAGCGTCGGGGCTGAATTCTGGGTAGATCATTCGGTGCCTCTGGAGGTCCATGTGTACGTCCCCGGGTTGGTCGGCGGGGAGTTTGGCGATGGCCGATGCGCAGTCGGACGCGCGGAGACCTCGTCCGAAATCATGGGCGTTGCAATCGACGGGATATTCGGAGAGCGGTGCCGCGGAACTTTGGACGGGCACCGGGACCAGAGCCGGTATGTAACGTACGTGGATAGAGAAGAAGAGGCAAAATGATAAGCGTGTTGCAAGCATCTCTGACGCTGAGAGCTAATTTTTTTTGTGACTTCGGGATAGTTGGCTGAATCTCGAACGCCATTTTCGATCCTTGAGCTCCTCCCCTGATGCCCTGCTCTGCCGTACTCCTGGGCTTAGTACTAGACTCGATCTCAAATCTTGCTAGGTTGGTGCGGGTATGTCCCTTCGGCTGTCGCGTTGACGGCGATCGCCACGATAAATCCGTACCCGGTAGGAACGGAAGTCGTTCTGGTGGCCGCCAGAGCGACATTTGCAGGGGTGTTGTGTCGACAGAGCGTGCAAATCAGCTACGAGCACCAGTGGTCGACAGATGCACGGAGTCTGTCAAGCTGTAGTAGGGAAAGGTGGCTTTCAAGAAGCATCTTATCCTGTGTGGTTGTTGTATGACTTCACTATTGCACACGCAATGTCTTGAATCACGAGGCATTGGATACGAGGAAATACATGAGAAGTTTAACAGCAAGGATGTGGGAGTGATGGGTTCTGAAATTAATGGTCTTATCCATTATGGATGTAAAAGAAAGAAAAGAAAATCAACGGAAACTCAAGACCTCATACTGTCAGCATGTACCTTCATACTATACTTTCGATTCTCAGTAGTCAGAGCCAAGGCATACCAAGACTGTCTCAACAATTTCGTCCATCGATACTCGCTTTCAAAAGGCAAATCAGCATCGTCAGGGATATGATACCGCTGGCACCGCAACTTCCGGCGCTTGAGGTATGCATGAGTCAGCGAAGCGGACGTCCTTGCTTTCACTATTACGAAGTACACACAATTCGCCACTTTGGACAAACGGAAGGGGAACAAAGGTAAGGATCTAGTCAAGATGCAGTAGAGGCACGAATGCAAATCGTTTGACCACTAACACAAAGATAATTGTGTCACTTGTACAACGGAACAAAGCCACCAATTCCCTTTCAGCAATGGACTCCGCCGCCATAAGATCCCTCGTAGCCTCGTGGCAGCATCCCGATAGTCATCGTATCAGTTCAGTAAATCGGCTACAAGCACAGCAAATATCACAGAAACCCCACCGATTCACCATCTACACTTGCACGAAAACATGTGCAAACTGGTCTCCGTCCTCGGGTCCAATTGTCGACACACACTCAAGATTGAGTACGTCTTCTGCCGGGAGGCTCCCCGACCCAACCGGTGCCCCACGATGATCAGCCGCATCGAAAGCTCTTCCCTCGACCCACAGATATCATTCTGTTCCAAATGTGCGGAGGAGTTGAAGAGGAAAATGACAGCTGACTTTCACGAGGAGAGACGCGAGATGACCAGGGTAGCCCGCGTCAGGGATTGGACAGATGAAGAGATTAGCGCGGTGAGGATTGAGTTGCGAGATCAGCTGTATGAGAAGCTCAAGTCTGTTAACAAGCCGCTTCCTCCTTTGCCTGGTGGAGAGGGCAGCGCGAGTCTAGAAGGTTAGAAGGTAAGATGGAAAGAAAGACATATTGAAGAATGACATACTCTGAATAACGATGTAAGCAATGTTACTACGTGTTAAAGTTGTTATAATAATAAGCAGCTGAGGGTCTCGCGGGAACACCCGTTGCCAAGAGATGGAGGAGTAGTAGTAGTAGGCTCAAAGGCTATGCCCCACTAGGAGAGTTCCGGCCCCGGGTGCCAACCCGGGGCCCATTTCTCGATCGTAGAGGCCAAGAGATGGAGGGGATGGATAAAGTACTTATCGTGACTGCAGATCCGACTTATCTACCGGGTAAAAGTACACACCTAATCTTCATACCCCGCCAAACCGATTCACACTTCACACTTCACACAGCTCACATTTCACATTTCACATTTCACACCTCACATTTCTCTTCAACTACCAGAACCATGGGCAAGCAACCCAACCTGTATTCGTTTGACGGCATCGACAGCCTAGCTACAGCCCTGCGAAAGTATGTCCTCCAGTGTCAAAGCGCCGGCTTCGAACGCCACAACGCCTTCAAGGTCGCCGTATCGGGTGGCTCGCTGCCCAAAACTCTCACAAAAGCCCTGCTTGCCCAAGACGATGAAGCGGGGAAAGTAGATTTCTCCAAATGGGAAGTCTTCTTCGCAGATGAACGGGCTGTCCCCCTCGACCATGAAGACAGCAATTACAAAGTTCTGAAAGATGAGTTGTTGGACAAGATACCCGAGAGCATGGGCAAGCCCATCGTCCATCCCATCGACGTGCAATATATGGGTGACGTGCAAGAGATGGCAGACCAATACCAAGACGCTCTCATGAAGTCCTTCGCAGCCAAAGACAGCGTCAAGATCCCCATCTTTGACCTCCTTCTCCTGGGCTGCGGACCGGACGGACATACATGCTCGCTCTTCCCCAATCACGAACTCTTGCGCGAATCAGATGCCTGGGTAGCACCCATCGAAGACAGCCCGAAGCCGCCAAAGAAGAGAATCACGCTGACGCTACCAGTCGTGACGGGAGGGATCAAGATAGCTTTCGTGGCAACGGGTGAAGGCAAGAGGGAGATCTTGAGTAAGATTCTGGATACAGAGGAAGGAAGGAGCCTGCCATGCGGATTGGTCAATGAAGGCGGAGCGGAGAAGGTGTCATGGTTTACAGATCACGGAGCTGTCCAAGGGGTCAGTTTTCCCAGGAGAGGAAGCTTGTGAGTAATCCGGCCGCTATGCACCGGGGCTTTCGACCGTATGGATCCAGCCGCATGGTCAAGAGGTCGGCAACAGTATGTTTAGAATGAAGCAGGGCGTCCCTGGCGTTGACACATTATGAAAGTGTCCCTATACCTTTAACTTCCAATGTGAGTTCCAGGTGTCTAGAGTGCTGATCCTCGTACGTGTGCCTCTCTCCTTTGCTCCCCAAAATCTCCATATTGGACATTTCTCCAGCGCATATCTCTGCTTTTGCCTGAACCTTTTGATTTTTCTCGTTCAATACTTACGATCGCCAGCTAAGTCTCCATGTCTTGACGTTCTTCGTGCCGACACTTCATTGTTCTGCGCGTTTATTGAGTTCGAGGTTCTGCATCTCGCGGTCTTAGGGTTCGACTCCTGCAGCTATGCGTTTTCGGTTCCCTTCGCAAAGCACGATATGACATGCCGAACCGCCAAGTGTTCGTCGATGTCTTGCTTCAGTCCCTCAGAGCGTGCTAAGCTCATTCTTCGCTGGCTAAGCCCCTTCGGGTTAGCCCCTCCTGCTTACCACGGAACCTCCAGGTAGCATAAAGAGTCCCGATGCATAGTCGAGAGGCGAACTTCCTGGGGATATCCTTGTCTCTCGACTACCCCAAGGGTCCAACTCTCTCAATCATTCCCCCACACTTTCTCAATGTCGTTCACCGCCATTTCTGCTGCGCCAATGATTGACGCCGACAATATTTTATAGCCCAGAAATGGATACGGTCTGGCGAAGGGGCAGCGGACCGCTTGCGCCGCATGCTTGATTTCATAGCAAACATGAAGAAGTTCCTTCTTCCCCGGATTGCGTGTTAGGAAACACGACATGAAATAGGAAACAAGACATGAAACGTTTTTATGTCTCGGTAGAGTCACAATTGTGCTTGTGTACTTCCAACTCTCAATATTGCTGCGCTGTCACTGTTGTCAAATCCTCTATCCAGCGTTAGTTGATCATATGACGAGTTCATTCGGAAATGATCAAGTTCTCCCATCGGAGACATGGAAATATCTCATCTGCCGTGTTCCGATTGTTGTCCCAGATGTCCATCACAATTGTACGGCCTTTGACGTGCATGAAGCGTGCTACCCAACAGCTCGGGACACTCCGCGGCCTGCCTGCCTACCTCCCCCAAATCGACCCAAGGCATCAGAGACATTTTCCCGATTGAGGTATTTCTATATGCCCCCCAGAATCGAGGAGCGGGTGCAATACCTCGGACTTTTGAAAAGTCCTCTTCATATATACTGTGCTCCTTGGTCAATTCTTTTCACAGCCAAACTTTGATCCTCCATCCTTAGCCTGACAACTTCTCCTTATGCTTCGAATCGTAAAGTGCATTAACATAGAGCGTTCATCTCTATCCTCCACATTTCTTCGGGCTGTTGTGCATTTTTGAAAAACTTCGGGCATTGCAGGGCTTGGCTTTACACTCAAGGTGAGCAAACGCTCTTCGTTGAGAGTGTTCATCATCGTTGCCTGGTTAGCTTAGTTCTAGGGCTGTAATGTGCAAATAGAGCCTTTGACGAGGCCCAGACATTCAGATTCTCTTATGACTAGGGACTCCCACGCTACAATATGGTTCATGGGCTGGGAGTCCTGTTCGTCCTGTTCGTCCTGCCCATCACATGCCACAATCCATTCCAAACAATCGGGTGTCACCAGCTGCTTTCCTATGTCCGTTCACATTGGAAGACTGACATCGATGCGCTAGGTTGGGTCTATTCGTCGCCGCTCATCTTTCTAAATGTGCTCGGGCTAGAATTCAGGTGTTCTGGCCATCGCTGTGCGAATGTCGGCATTTTAGATTTTGAATCTGCTCTCGGTCTCTCAGTCCGGGTTGCCCAAATCGTCCCCTCAGCCCCCAAACAAAGGTGTCACCTAAGCCTCAAGATTCCAGACACGGTCTCCGAAGGTGTCCGAGCCAAGAAAAGACCGCCGGCCATCGAATACCACAGCATCATAATCCGGGGCAACAACGGAAGCCGCGAGTCCAGATTCTAAGACCCTTTGGAGGCGCTGATTGGCCGTCGAGTCTTCGGCCCCCGCAATGTCTGGGTCTCGAAGTAGTCGGGATTCCAGCGGGGAGTTCAAGTTAATTCTTGCCAATGTAAATTCTGCGTTCAGTATGTTTCGAGAGGTGCGGATTCGCTGATGACTCCTCTTGCGATTAGTTGCCGGAGAATGTATGGCGTTTACCCCCCGAGGTAAGCTTTAAACCGGTCAAGGACCTGATGCGGGGGGTTGTGGATTATCCAGACAACATGAGACTCGACGTCGGCCTGCCAATAAATAACGTGTTACATAAAGATAAGGCAATGTGTCCATTCAGGAACAAAGCCGATGCCTGGGACGCATACTGTGAGAATTTTGCAATTTTCTAAGATAGGCCCTCGCTGAAATTGTTGTTTCAGACAAAATTCATCACTATGTATGGCGTCATGAAGGGTACGAGACCGTACTGCAAGCCTCGCTGTATCTGTTCGACAAGACAACTGGCAACATGAAACCGCTCACTGAATTCGGGTTCGATGGGGCTATACCATCGACGTTTGTATCGCAACCTGTCAACTTCGTACCAGCGGGTACCATGCACGCTCACCCAGGAGTGCGCCCATCAGGTTCTATACAGGGGAATCGTAGGTCCGCAAACCAACGGGGTCCCAGATCAGCTCCTGGCCACGCATTTAAAGCAACCCTTGCGAACCCGTACCCACCCTCGTGGGATTTTATGCCGCCACCCCCAGCTTTTGTCTCTCCAATGGCCGACTCCTCCGTGCAAACTGGCATCATACCAGCATCTCAACTTTCACCCGGTGCTGCTGGTGTAAAATCCTGCCCACGATTTTATGGCCAAGCCCCGCCATATCTATACAACTCACCCGAAATTGCTGGAACATCAAGATCTTCGAGCATCTCGACCATGTCCAACACCCTCTTAGCGTCCTGTGGCTCCAGTTACGTTGCGCTAACAGATGATGGCACCACAAGCATTCCGGGAACCCCTTACGCCTCTCACAATGTGAGTACTTCAAGCGAACGTAGCCACGCGTACCCCGGCACGCCATCAAGTTCCCCAAGTCAATCTGGACCCCTGGGCATATCTCAAGGAACCGAACGTGACCAAGGCTATAAAATCATCATCCGGCACGTCGGGCCTGGAGTGACTCCGGAGGACCTCAGTAAGCTCCTTAATAAAATGATGCCTCGGTACGTGCAGCACAAGAAGCCCAAGCCAGGTGAAGACAACAAGTGGTCTGTTACATTTTCAAAAGAGGCGCATGCCAATACAGCTGTAGAGAGACTGAGAGGATGTTCAGAATGTTCTTTCCAAGGGAAGAAGTTGCAGGTGATACCGGACACTAGTGGGGCTGCTCGAAGACACAAGGGTAGCGGCGCTCCCATCCTTGGTGCGAGCTCTTCGTCCACTGCCCGGGGGCCAACCATTGTTGATGGATCTCTTCCAGGTTAGCCCTCTAACCCAAGGTACCGTCAGTCGCGCTCGGGCCATCACCACAGGACATTAACTTCCCTCTTCTTTTTCGGGATTTGGCGCTGAGTACCAGATTTGAAGTAATGGTTACATAGTTGATCCAACGCACAGAACTCAGTTCTCCACATTACCCTGCAGCTTAATTCTGTCTCCAACGCATGGCGACGCGAGTGCCTATTCTTTCCGGGCCTCTCGACCGTTACCCCTCTGTGCTTCCAGCGATCTCATCATTTCAAGAACCTGACGAGTTTGAGAGGGATAATTGAAAGAGCATTCAACCGCCAACCTGCCTCTGTCGGGAGCAATGATTGACCATGAACTTCACAGCCCACATGAATTCTTCCAAATACCAAACTTTGAGATGTCCAGGAGCACAGTTCTTGTCTCTCAGCCCCTTCATTGACCGCATAATTAGTGTATTGATGCCGAAATGCACAGCCGGCTCAGAAGCGGTTGCATTTATGCCTTGCAAATCCTGTAGATACTGTACAGATCGCACAGAAAGCTCCGATCTCCATCCATATCACACCTCCTCTTTGCCTGTCCCCTAAGCCTTCTTCTTCCCAGCCTCTGCCGCCCTTGCCTTCGCTGTTTTCTTCCGATTACTCCGTATCATGACCACGCTCAAAAAGCTCCCGACAACTGCCGAAGCGAGAAGGATGAGAATGACTGGTATGCGAATAGCCCAGACGCGGGGCGGAAAGAAGTCGTGGAGGGGGTGCCCTTGGTCGACGAAGGGCTAGGGGCAGAGGTATCAGCAGACGTTTATGAAGAGACGGGAGAGGGATGTAGAGTAAAAGACAGAGGTAGCGGTTCGAATCTTCCATAGGGCGTACCATGAGAAGCGTCCATGTGGTATAGTAGAGAAAGACTGTAGTCGCTACAATGAGCATTGCTAGCCCGACTAGTCTGTCAAGCTGGGAAGGAGACGTCAGCGGGTCAGGCGTTTGCGTGGGTTGGGAGTATCAAACCATGGCGGAATGGGTGAAGGAGTGTATGCTATCCAGCAATAGCGAGAGAGAGACCTCGTGTAATGTGTCAGAAAAGTATGCCTCTGTTGAAATTATTCAAATTTGGGCCAGCAAGAATCTCAATGTGCCATACAAGTACTGGTACCTTAGGGCTGAATCGGCACTAGTGCACTTGACCGCCGGCTCACACCAAACACAAGAAATCCTGCCATGGCTCACTAAACAACTTCAAATCAATATCCCAAAATCCCTCACCATACGCTCGGAGCACCATTATGATGCTCTCAGCCGTCCGCCTGCCCACCCCTCCTCCCCAAGACACCTACCCATCATCGTTCAACCCCCGCAAGCGCTCCCCCCCATCCCGCTCACCCTCCCCAGTCCGTCGTCGTTCACCACCGCGAAATGGATTCGGTGGAGGCTCCTTCCTAAAAGATCCCAGCTCAAAGAATGCGGATGAGCGCGTGCGCCATCTCACAGAGCGTCTGCGCCAGCGTGCTGCAGAGCCTGTGGATTCGAAACCCCTTACCGCCGAGGACAAGCAAGAGCTCGCGAAGAAGGAATACAATAAGCTACTGAGTGCCCGCTCTGGAGGGACCTATGTGCCGCCTGCGCGGCTACGGGCGTTGCAGAGTCAGGTTACGGATAAGGCTAGTAAAGAGTACCAGCGTATGGCGTGGGAGGCGCTGAAGAAGAGTATCAATGGGCTCGTCAATAAGGTTAATGTTGGCAATATCAAGAACATTGTGCCAGAGCTCTTCGGAGAAAACCTTATACGAGGAAAAGGTAATTGTTTCTAGGATATCATTCCCAATACCTCATATACAGCGTATTGACCTCATCACAGGGTTGTTTTGCAGAAGTATCCAACGCTCCCAGGCCCAGGCTCTTCCATTTTCACCGGTGTACGCGGCAATGGTAGCTATAGTCAACACAAAGCTTCCTCAGGTTGGCGAGCTCCTAGTGAAACGTCTAGTCGTACAGTTCAAGAAAGCTTTCAAAAGGAACGACAAGCCGGTCTTGCGAGCTTCGACAACTTTTTTGGCCCAGCTCACAAATGTACAGGTCTGCCACGAGATGATAGCGGCACAGATCCTTTTATTGTTGCTTCACCATCCAACAGACGACTCAGTGGAGATTGCAGTCAGTTTGACTCAGGAATGCGGTCAGCATCTTGAAGAAATGAATCCTGCAATTGCCAATGCAATATTTGACCAGTTCCGGCATATATTGAATGACTCAGACATTGAGAACCGCACGCAATTTATGATAGAGGTCCTGTTCCAGATTCGCAAGGACAAATACAAGGACAACGTCAGCATTCCCGAGGACCTAGACCTAGTGGAGGAGGAAGATCAAATCACTCATCGAATCGGTCTAGATGATGAATTGGATGTCGAGGACGGCCTCAACATCTTCAAATACGACGCTGAATTTGAAGAACATGAAGAAGCTTATAGGAAGCTCAAATCCGAAATTCTTGGGGAAGCCGATGGCGAAGACGATGGGGACGAGTATGAAAGCGGTTCTGGCTCCGAGAGCGGCCCGGAGGAAACCGCAGAACGAGAGTTGGAAATCAAAGATCAGACAAATACGGACCTAGTCAACCTCCGCAGGACGATCTATTTGACAATCATGAGCTCCATTGACTTTGAGGAAGCCTGTCATAAGCTCATGAAGATTAATCTACCCCCTGGGCAAGAATCCGAGCTTCCGAGCATGATCGTGGAATGCTGCAGTCAGGAGAAAACCTACTCTAAGTTCTTCGGTCTTCTGGGGGAACGATTTGCGAAGCTCAATCGCCTTTGGGCCACTGAGTTCGAGGCAAGCTTTGAACATTATTTCAGCACAATTCATCGCTTCGAGACCAATAGACTTCGCAACATCGCTCGATTTTGGGGCCACATGCTCTCGAGCGACGCGACTGGATGGCATGTGCTGTCCATAATTCATCTGAACGAAGAAGAAACCACTAGCAGTAGTCGCATATTCATCAAGATTCTGATTCAAGATCTGGCTGAAGCTCTCGGCATGGCAAAACTCCAGACCCGCCTCAAGGATCCTCTCCAAAGCCCTTACTTCGAAGGCTTGTTTCCGCTGGACAATCCTCGCAACACACGTTTCTCCATCAATTACTTTACTAGCATTGGGATGGGCGGACTGACAGAGGAGATGAGAGACCATCTGAAGAATGCTCCTAAGCCTGCCGCGGTGATAGTGCCTCCAGACCCAGAGTCAGACTCAGAGAGCTCAGTGTCCAGCTACTCTTCGTACTCGTCGTATACTGCGTCTTCGCGGTCGAAATCACGTTCATCATCGCGCTCACGTACAGCACGGCGCCGTCAATTCTCCCCAAGCCGCTCTCGAACACCTCCACGGAGGGACTCTGGTAGGGGTAGAGAGCGACGAACACCGCCTAGACGTGGCGCTGGCCGAGCGAGATCGATTACACCTTCCGATATTTCTCGTTCACCTTCGCTCCGAAGAGAACGCAGGAGGCGAAGCCCGTCGTACTCATCTCGCAGCCGAACACCACCTCCTAGATCAGATCGTCGCCGTAGAAGTTACAGTTGAAGGGCCGAGAATGAATGATCGTCAGGGGTTTTCTGGTTCGAGGCTTGTGGGGATACATGGGAATTGATGGTATTGAGTTGCGCTCAAAAGTGCAACTTCCATGTATTCTTGGAAATGCAGATAGATACCCATGAAGAAAGCAGACCAATTTTCAAGATGCCCGTATATGTGCTTGTCAATCATATCAAATCCAACAATTCTCGCTGCTTGACTAGGGCAAACCCCTGCGATGACCTAGTTGCGGAGCACCAGACCCACCCCCACGGCCGAGACTCCTCAACCCCTCATGGTTCACCTCCCAGACACTCTTTGCTTGTGTGACAACACACCCTTCTGCTTACGATTAGATCAAGTGGACCCAGTCGTCACGCGTGTTCCCGTCACCAGCTCTATCCAGGCACCAGCTTTTTGGGTACCTGCATCTGCTGATCGACTCCCGGAGAGAACGACGAGCAGCAATCTCACTCTTCATTTCGGAGCTCATGAACAAGACACCTTTACGCAATTCGTACTCCGAACCCCTCTTTGCAAGTTGAATGCCCCCGTCGTCAGACCAAGCGTCAAGCCAACAGCAGCCGGCTGTCGAGATCGGTTCCTTCTACCAAGAAGAAGCTTCAAGAAGGGTTTCGCCAATTCGCAAGGGCCAGGGTAAGAGTCGGAAGAAGCATGAAGCCAGTGGAGAGAATGCGGAGAGGTCGCATAGGGATTTGCCCCAAGAGTTGTAAGTCAAGATCAATGGAAGACAGCGGACGCAGCAGGGATGGCTTTGTCAACCACGATAGAAACACGCTGACCAGTCTGCGTACTCAAGGACCTCTCCTCCTTCCATTCTCTCACAACTACGTCATTCGATGTCTCCTCCTCTTCCTCCTCCAGTCTCCAACGGTGTCTCGTCCCCTCGTCTAGAAGCTTGGGATGCTTCTGCTCCCACACGTTCATCAGACATACCCGCCCAAACTACAACAGAATGGGCTCAGAATATTCCTTTTGGTCGTAGTCCTCCACATGATTTTAGTAACGGAGTCCGCCGAACCGGATCCCCTCCAGAATATCGCCCACCTCTTGATCCCGAGCTTCGAGGAGGATTCTCTCACACCTCGCCTCCAACCTCGCCAAAAGCTGCCTACCGCAAGCCTATACAGCGGACCAACGAATATCAGAGCTTTGGGGACTATGCGGGTTCGTCTCCTTCCAACCGGAGGCCTCCGTCTATGCACTCTCAGAACTCCCACTTTCCACCACCGCCACACCACCAGCAAGCGCATTACTACGCAGCGCCAGAAATTGACTTGGGTCATCCTGAGCCGGCACCAGAAGACGGCGTGCCTGGTGAGGGTTTCTGCTGTGTTTTTGACAGCCTCTTGTCTTCTGGGCATGAAGTCTCCGGAAACACAGAGAATGTCTTATTAGTGGGTTTCGACCATGGCTTGAATATCTATCATATTGGCAGGAAACGCTTCGACCTTGTTGGTCGCCTAGATGGTCTTAGAGGATCTGTAGTTGGTGCCAAAATACTCCACTCCCAATGCGTCAGTGACCGACCGCTCCAGCCATTAATCGCCGTCATCGTTCATGGTCCATACATTATATCAAGTGCTCCATCCAGGCCTGGAACCAGCCATGCGGTAGAGGAAGAGTTTGAACCCTCGATCTCAGAGATGCAGGCTCTGCAGGCGGCAGCCATAACTCATTACCAGACTACTGTGGAGATCTATTCTCTGAGGAAAGGACAGCATTTAGGGACGCTATTCAGGAGTCCGAAGGTCGAAATCATGGGTGGACGTCTGCATTCTACCATGCCTCATCCTGTAGGAGACCTAAGTATCCAAGCGAAAGGAAGATTTTTAGTCATCAGCTCGGGCATCAGTGGGGAAGTCTTCATCTTTGAGAGGATTCTCCATGGAAATTCCGAGACGTTGCCGAGCTTCAGATGTTTAGGCAAGGTCTGGACACGAATAGGGTCCCGGAAGACTCGCAGCGTGTCCACCTCTTCCAGTGAATCTGGACCCGCACGGTTGCATGATGCACTCGCTGCAGGTACCCGCCGATCCAGTGCTACTATTCTTTCTCTGAGCAACCGATGGCTTGCTGTCGCACCACCATCGTCCTCGGCGCAGGTTACCCTCCATGGAGAAGCCGAGCCTGACGGCCCAAGCCATAAAGCCCCCGGAGTCAGTTCCCATGCACCCGCTGCGGAACCTCAGATATCATGTGATCTTGACACCCCAGAAGGCGAAGGCTTACTCAACAAAGCTGCTCGGGATATTGCACAGGGGTTCTTGAAGACCGCTCAATGGGTTGGGCTTGAAGGGAAGCAGGCATGGAGTAATTACTGGTCCAAACCGTCCGAACAAAGCCAGCAAGGACCCGCAGCTCCTCCTTCTACCCCTGATCTATCAGCGCTATCAAATCAGCAGAGCTTTCCTCCTACTCATGCACAGGACAGTCCAGTCAACCGAGCAAAAAACCGGCCCGCGCTGGTGTCAATTTTTGATTTGGAAAAACTTTCAAAGAGTCAGCACTCAAAAGCCGCTTCAATCTTACAACCGCTGGCCACTTTCTCGCTGCCGACTGGATGTAGTCTGCTCTCGTTCTCTCCAAATGGCTTGCACTTACTGACAGCAAGTGCAAAAGGGGATGTTGAGCATGTCTGGGACTTGATGCGCATGGTGCATGGGGAAGCTGCACGTGCAGGAGACCCTGACGCATCTCCGAAAGGTCCCAGTGTCCGCCAAGTTGCAAAGATAACTCGCATGACTGAGGCCAGGATCGTAGACGTTGTTTGGACGGAACCCAAAGGAGAGCGACTGGCTATCATCACCGATAGAGGCACTGTCCACATCAACGAACTACCGCCTTCCGCATTTCAATGGCCACCACCTCGTCGGATTTTACGTAGTAGCATTTCCGCAAGCGCTTCAAGTGCGACTGGTGCCAAAAACGACGACAGTGCAAGGCCTGTATCGGCTGGTGCTAGCAATGGTTTTTCCTCGGCCTTCGGCATGTTTACCGGCAAGACTCAACCTCTTATCGATGCCGTTCGTGGGCGTCGTCCAAGCGTGGGGAGTGGCTTTTCCGGATTTGGCGGTATGGCATTGACCGCCGGTATTGGTGCGAAAAGTGGAAGAGCCGTGGCAGCTGGCTTCAACAGATCTGTCGGTGCAGCAGCTGCAGGCACTGTGAATACGATCCGCCATCTAGGTGAGAATCGTCTAGCTCTACCAAGTTCCCAGAGTGCTGTGGCCCCGGGTTGCGTCAGATGGCTTAGTGGAAAGGGCCTAGGCCGCATCGCCGTCACTGGTGGAGGCCTTGTACGGATCTACAGTATTCGCCAAAGCAGCAACTCCAAAGCTCGACAGCGACGGCCCTCAGTCTTTGGCGATAGACCAGTCGAGTTCAGTCTTCCAAAAGAGCCAGCCGCAACACAGCACGTTATGAGTAAACAGCTTCCCAATTCTCGATCGTCACCTGAGCCTTCAACACCTCATGGCTCGTTCTGGCATCCACAGCCTGCTTTACCAGTGTTATCGAACTCGAAACTCGAAACGCACCCTCTTTCCTATGCCGAATTGGACACAAGTCTGGCCTATCAACCATTTCATACAGATCGACGAGTCAAACTCTACATCTACAGTGACGAGGTCACATCTGCCGTTCCTACTATATCTCAAGGGACAAGCACCTGGGTATTTGGAGAGACTGTTCCCGCTATCAAGATCAGCGTCGGCCCTACCGGCCACGAAGATGATGATCCAGGTTTGGGACAAGCTACGCCATCGCGGATGGAGAATGTCATTAGTATGAAAGGCAATGCAGAGGAGGGCCAGCAAATCGTCGTAACGACTCGGCGAAAACGCAGCACGAAAGACGAAGGGACAGTGGCGGGCACAGAAGACGAGATCTTCGAGGATGACTGCGAGTTTTTGGATTTTGTGGAAGAGAGGGTTTAGGCAAGATGGCGTTGGAATTGCATACATGGAAAGAGGTGGGCTGCTATGTCATATCATGCAATGATCATTGGTGGTGTCACTTTGGCGAATAGATACAATGTATGATTCAGGGTTGATAGTACATGCCATTGGTGCATTCGACGCCACTGTCGAATTATTCCCAAATCCGCAGATGCAAACAATTGGCATGGTTCAATTCTTCATACGAGCAGATGACCGTTGAGGAAGTCATGTTCATGAGTTACAGAGTCCATCCGTCCCTACTGTGATGAATGCACATCTTGTCAAGCTCGCCCATTCTCGAGTCCTCAAGTTCATTTCGCATAATGCATTCGCATCGTGATGGGTTTCGAGTCCAAGCAACGAATTTTCCGTGGTTCGTTTACCCTGCCAATCGGGGCCAAAGATGCATGCTCCGTGATGCCACCCCTTCGATGACCCGGTTCTCTTCTCGCCCAAAACCACTTTACTGGCTACCTCTTACCCCCTCCTTGTCCTTCTCCATACCCATTAACCTACTGCACTTGGCGCGCAAAGCGCAGCAGCAGAGCCGCAATCTACTTTTAGACTTTTATCCCCTTGCATCGGCATACACATGATAGGACCGTCGCTTCTACGTATATCATCCCCCGCCAACCGCGGGACCGCAGCGGCCAAAGATGTCTCGGAGAAAAGACGCAAGATTGATTCAGTCGCACACGCATTTGAGATCTGAGCTGAGCGCATATCTACGGGGTATGCATGCAAGGTATCCAACAAGCATACATCCGGACTGCATACACCTCCAACACAGGAACGCAGCACTTGCCCGTTGATGATCGGCCGAGGAAAGCCTGAGATGAGTTGAGCGGATATTCGTCACTGCGAGGTACTAGGAAAGTGACACACAAAGACGGAATGAGAGAAATAATAGCATGCGGTTTTTCCGTTGGTGCTCGGCCAAGAGAAGCCGCCCTGAGCGCTGACGGGAAAACCAACATTATCGGAAATTTTCCTGCTCGTACTCTACTGTCCACCCTTTTTTCAGATCCACTTTTGCCTCGCGTTCTCGTATCCTGTCTCGTCCGCCTTCTCTGCGTGGCATCAGATGAAAAAGAGCAAACATCTGAAAGATGGAAGTCGATGCGACTTGTACCTTTCATAGCGCGACTTTCCAGAGATTTTCTGCGAGCACTACGACGTACACTCATGATCTTGCGAGAGATTTGTCCAAACTAAACGAACGTTAATATTACTATGCGATCGATCGTGGCATGCTTAATTTGACTTAGGCACCGCCATAGTAAACATCGAGCAGGATGTTGCAGGCAGCATCCATGGCCAACATCCATGCTGACAGCCAAGCACGGACCAGCTGTGGTTAATCACAAGGCGGGCTGCGGCACGGCAGCTCTGTGGGTCGATGGACTTACCTCGTATTGGTACTATACATGTAGGGAAGACCGATGCGATATGAAAGGACCAACATAAGGCATCTTACGAACTCGTACTACCTATCCTGCCGAGCCTCAAACGGGTTTTGGTGGACCGGGGATGGGGATCAGCAAAGGGAGATCAACAGGGCAAAGCTTGTGGGGATTCCAGAATGCTGACAACTTGGGCAGGCGCACTTATTTTCGACCTCACGTGGTGCAGGAATATCTGTGCCACCGGGACGCCTGAATAACAGTCTTGCCCGAAGCCTAAGCAGATGAGGAGGAGTCGCTCTTTTGCGACAAATGTCCCACGAGTCGATGAGTCCAAGAGTCCCAGCGGCTCGCCTTCATCGGCTGAGACCCTTGCGAAACGCCTATAGGACTCTAGGGCACGCCGCAAGCCACGTTTTATGGACACCAGGAACACTACCAGTCACTACTGAAGAGTCTAAAGAGACACTAGTTAATTTAAACATCCCACGAAAAGAGGCCGATGCTGCAAGCTATGGTAAGCTACGGTTACATGTATGATGTGTGCATGTCTGACTACTGTCTACTTAAATGATTTCTGCATGAAATACCATCTAAATATGCGTCCTAAGCGTGCAAGCGCACGGCGCTCAGCCATCTGTCTAAACTCAATCGGTCTAATCTTCATGCAGGCACACAAGTTCGGCCGCTCCACCAACATGGAGATGACAATACTAATAAACTTCGCCTGCTTCCCTTTTCATCAAGTTTGTCTGTCCTTTCATAGACCTCTTCCTGCCATCAATCAATTGCCCAGCACATTCATGTCCATGTGAACGCCTTTTCTTATACCCAAGGCCAACTCAAGTCACTCTTTTTACCAAAACTTTCCTCACAACCCAATCTCACAGCCGGAAGGAACACTCTTCAGCCAGATCCTTCCACTGTCTGACACCGAATCCACACGAGATACCCCATTTAGGACCTGCGACACCCGCAGACCTACAGCTTCACACATCGACGTCGCTCTAAGACTGCTGTTTGGCAGCCCCAGGGTGGCAATGCTGGAATTGCGGCACATACAACACGAATAATGAATAGATCTGAGTATCACAGAGATGCCGGACTCCAAGGGGTTTTCGATGTCTGCTCTACGGATAATTCGTTTCTATCACACCACACAAACAGCAAAAGGGAAGATATGCAGCACGCGGCGACGATAACAACATCACGCAAAAGACCTCGACCGGGTCGGCGGCGGCTTTCAATGCACCGCTTACCGCTCATCTATACCCAGATGTTCCTCTTCATGGCGATGATTTTCTCGGAACTGTGCATGCCAACCGAGGCAGCAGAACATCCAGGTTCTCAAAGTCGAGCGGTAAAAGGCCATTTTGTGGACGGAAGGATAATGTTCGACCACAAAGCCGCACCTCAGCCAGCTTTGCACCGTCGAGACGACTCAGCCAGCACAGATACTGCATCAACGACTACAGCCGCCGAGGTCGCTGTGACTTCCTCGAGTTCGGATTCTTCAACTACGCCCACATCACTCCCGAGGGCCTTTGACGGAGGGTTCGGTACCAACTTCACCCAACCCAGCTGTCCCACCTTCCTCCGCTCCATGGTCAGCAACGACACCTTCATCTCCTGCGTACCGTTCAGCCTCCTCCTCCAAGTACGTCACCTCGCTTCCCCCCCTCAAAGCCTCCCCCCTCAAACTAACCTCCCGTCCCCCAGAACTCCATGTCCTTCTTCGACGCCACCCGAACCCCCTCCACCATCACCGCCGTCCTCGACGCCTCCTGCTCCGTCTTCTTCCCCGCCTGCTCGGCCCTCATGTCCTCCCTCGCCGTCACCCTGCGCTCCTCCAGCGCGTGCCAGGCCGACTACGGCAGCGAGAACCCGCAGGTGCGCCAGGCCTACGCCGGCCTCCTCGCCTACGACGTCTCCTACGCCGCCTCCTGCCTGAAGGACCCCCCGGCGGCGGCGGACAACCACAACCCCAACAACAACAGCGCCTACTGCTTCGCCAACGCCGTCACCAACGCCTCCTCCCCGACGGACAGCTACGTCTACTACGTGCCCCTGGGCATCGGCCTGCCCTCGGGCAGCCTGCCGACCTGCGACGCCTGCCTCGCCGCCACCATGGCCGTCTACGCCGCCGCCGCCCCGAACCGGACCCAGCCGCTCAACCTCGACTACGTCGCCTCCGCCACCCTGATCAACGAGATGTGCGGGCCCGCCTTCGTCAACGCGAGCGTCCCGGCCGCCGCCGGCGGAGCCGCCGGCGGCGGCGGCGGCGGGGGGAGCAAGTCCGCCGCGTCGCGGGCCGGGGCGGCGTGGGGGGCTTGGGTGGGCGCGCTGGTCGGTGCGGCGGCCGTGGTCGCGGCGTCGTGATGGGAGGGGGTTTCGTTCGCACCATGCCCGTGTCCGTGGGGGGAAAACATCCCTCCCCCCACACACCTACGAGCATCTGAACGTGTACATGGCTACTTCTTCTCTTTGGGGACTTTTAGCGTTGGCGTCGGGGAGGGTTTTGTTGTCTTCTTCGCTTCTCTTCGTATGGTTGACTATATTTTTTACTCTTTTTTTGGGGGGACAGCGTGGATGTATCTATGGCCTCTTTTGTGGATAACGTCACAGGTGTGATTTGTATATAGACTTTTGAAACAAATGATTCGATTGTCTTGATCGGACGGAAAGAGATCACAAACATGCACGTAACACGGAAACGAAATATACGTCTTCAAGATAGGTATTTAATTAATATAGATCGCCCCATACAAATACATTTCACAGTCACTCGACTCTACTTTTATTTATACCGAGTCACCATTCGCCGTTGATAGCATAGCAAACTCCTCTAGAATGCTTTCCCACTGCCTGATAAGCAAGCCAGCCCGGCTTCAGGACCCAGCTTCGAACTTTCGGAAATCGCGTAGAACAGCATAGCAGCATAGCACGCATCATCCCCACATTCATACCCGCCATTTCCAGCATTCCCACCATCACCACCATAAAACGCCCCTTACCCCCTCGTAAATCATAGCTGGCAAGCAAATGTCGCAAGCAAAGGTATCGATTGAGCAAACCGCCTGTCTTTCAAGTAGCTTCTGTCTCCATGTCTCCGTTCATGGCGGTATTTCCCTTTTCCTTATCCTTGTCCTTTCTTGCCTCGCTTTCCCTCTCGGCTGCCCGTAATTTCTCCTTTGCCTCGCTCAGCTCCTTTTGCAAGCTCTTAATGTACTCGATCGCCAATTCCACCGTACTAGCCTTGCTATTGCTCTGCTGTGCTAGCGTTCCGCTCATCATAAGACTGGGACTCGTTCCTCCCGTACCGCCAGATTGACCGTTGACTTGTGGTGTAGAAGGGGGTAAGAGGCCTGCAATCTCCTGGAGCGCGGTGTTGATACGGTTGCGACGGCCTTGCTCGGCAATCTTGTGTGACGTACGCTTAGATGTGAGGTTTGTGGAGAGAGTTTCGGGGTAGGAGACTCCGGGCAGGTGGGTGCCTTCGAGGATGTTCTGGTAATTGGATTTGGATGCGAGTAGAAGGGCAGAGGTTTCTGCGGAGACGATGACTGGAGGCCATGTGTCAGCTGCTGAGATCAACTGGTGGAATGGGAGACCCTTACCTCCTTCTGGCAGCAACGGTTGAATGCTGGGAGAGATCTTGGGACGTAGGGCGGGGCTGACATGCACAGAGCCTTGGCTGTTGCGTTTCTTCGGATCCCTACTCTTCATTCTAGAATCTACACGTTTGATGGCTCCTGCGCTCGTAGGCGAAGCAACAAGCTGGGGGCTTGGAAATGCTGAGGTGTTCGTGGTGATTGGTGCACTTGCGGGGCCACATTTGGGCGTCTTCCGAGCACCCATGGTTGGCGATGATTGATCTAGGTTTGCACCTGCTGTGTTGATTGGTTTCAGAGCCGGTTTCCTCGATGTACTCGTTGGCTCAGGTAGACGAATGTCCTCCATAATTTGCTCCATGTCCGCCTCTGCAAGTGCCGTCTGCTCTTTCAAGCTAGACGTCGAACGATTCATGCCGTTGACTTTTCCAGCCTGTTTACGAATCTTCATCAATGATGCGGGAGTTGCAGGCTCGCCGTTTGTGTCCTGCAAGGGGCCCGCTTGGTGTCCATTTTGCTTGGCATGGAGGTAAGGGGATCTGCTGGCAGAGCTAGATTTGGGTGTAGCAGGTGGTGGCATAAGAATCTCGGACAATGGCTCGGGAGAGACCGAGTCCGGTCCAGAGCTATCTTGACCATAGGGAAGATGAAGTTTTCCATCAGCCTTCTGCTGAGTATTGTTGGTTTGGCTTGATCTCCTCGCTTCTTCAATGATCCCAGATACCTCTTTTGGCGGTATGACTGTGCTGGAAGGCTGCTTCTTCCTGTTTTGTGGCTTCATTGCGGGGGACTGTCTTACAGCGCGGGCTTGAATTTTTGTGGATGATGAAGACGTTTTCCGTTTCGACTTACGCAAAGATGCTGCTGTCGACCCAGTGGTGGGTGCGGAGAACTCAAGACTTGGGTCTATGGGCGACGTCGTATCGGAGGTATCTGAGCCTCGAACAGCTCCATAGACAGATTGTTGGGCAGCTTGGTTTTGCGCTCTCAGAGCCGGCGAGGTTAACGGACTGAAGGCATCTGCTGGTGCAGCATAGTCTGGGTACTGGAATTGCGTATCGAGTGGAGTTACTGCAGGAGATACGAGAGGGGTAAAAATCATCTGTCAAGCAAATTAGTTTCTTCTTCATACTTCGCCCTTCAATAAGGAGGTCCTACCTGATCCTTCTGAATTCGCCTGTAGTGATCATACATACGCAGCTGCTGATGATCAGCCGGCGTCCGATAGTACTGCGCATGTCCTCCGTGCATCTCCAAACTGTTAGGTGTAGGTGGTACCACATTCTGACCGTAATATTGCTGGTCCTGCATGTGTAGCTGTTGTTGCTGCTGTTGATCGAAAAGATCTTGCTGCATAGCAAGATCTGGAAAGGATTCTGTCGAGCCATGAAAGCCGTTTATGGGGGTCGCATGATTCCGCTGATCCACTGGTGGCGGCGGCTGCTGCTGTTGCTGCATATGCCCTTGCCCGAGTCCAAGGATGCCGGCAGCACCCTCCATGGAGGTATCCATTGCCCCAGCTCCATCCTGTTGTAGATCCACAGCATCGTAGCCACCGAAACCGAGGTCAGTAAAGTCGAGAAAGTTTGCGAATTCTTCCTCGGGGCCAACCATGGGAGACCAACGCGGGGGAAGGTTTTCGTTCATATCGATTCACAGATATGAAGCTCCATTCGCCAAAGCCTGTATGCAGCGACCGCGGTGCGGTCGAGTGTGCGACTGGAGAATTGTGCTCGCTAGGGAGTGTTTAAGCGGAAGGGTAGGGTGCGAAAGAGCAAGTTGTGGTTTGGGTTGGAGGGGCGTCCCGTCTGTTCAGCAAGCGAGAGTATGTTGAAGCCGCACGTGGCTGGTGCGGAGCAGGAGAGATGTCAGGCTCTCTTGAAGTGAGAGATTGTGTTTGTCGACAAGAGTGGTGATGATGTTGTATAGGTTATGGAAGCTCGTGGTTGTTGCGGCTTGACGGAAGAGTGGTTGCAGAATAATGCTTTCTGAATGGGACCTGCACCTGCACCTGCTAGTCGCTACTTTGACTACCTTAGCCGGCCAATCAGAGATCTCCGCGGCGGATGTTGCTCTACGCCTTCCTTATTTGAGGTGTGGAGGGGCTAATACCTAGATTCATTTATTGATGATTGATGGGATGAATTATCGTGAGCAGTGAGCACACACTTCTGATGCCTCCACACTTCTCTCTCTCGCTAGCATACAAAAGGGATGCAGATCCTTCCGTTTGGTGTGTCTTGCACAATATTTGCATCAGACGGCATCACCTGGTCTGGACCAAGATAATACCTAGTCAAGTGTTTACTAATAACATGTTGGCCCATATCCTCTACAATAATATTACGCGATTCAAGTGTGGTGGTGTGGGGGTTTCGGGGTTCCTATACGGTATCAATTTTTATCGAATGATTATAACGATTACTCTACTGCCCTCGGCTTGCGCGATCCTACTTTCTTTTGTGGCACGGCAGACTGCATCACTTGTGGTCAACCCCAGAGCCCAGCAGCTTGTCAAACATAAACGCAATTATCATGCTTAAGCACCTTGCAGCTCGAGCAGACCAATCACCTTCAACTCTCAGCCTTTGACGATAAGATGCGTCCTTCTTGCAAGATCTGGCCCACACATCAAGGGGCCGGATCATGCATTACACCCCCATCATGCAAAGAGCCCACACCTCAAACCCCGAGGCAGGGCCCGTCCCCTCGTACAGTCGCCCCCCAGCAACAGTCAGATGCTTCGCCGCAAATCCGGTGCACTTCGGTGTCCCCATGACATAATTACTTATGTCCGGCTTTACACAACAACTTAAAGAGTTCTTCCACCCGACACAGTCGCCGGTCGACCGTCAACATAGAAATGGGCATTCAAGCAACTCCTTTGGTTATATCTTCACAGCAAAGCTGAAAGCGGGCTGTTTCAATGATCTCTATTGCATTATTTGGCAACTGATCTTCAGCTATAATCACCGAGGCCGCGTGAAAGTCATCTAGGTTGGAGGGACACTCCTTCCACATCGCGGTAAGCAATACTTGCAAGTACGGGCTACTGAAATCCGAGCGTCATGCCTATCAAGTCTCACTGGAAGCACTCTTTGAGGATTAGGCTTTCCGCTCCACCGCACAGATAAGGACACTCGTACGCATTCATCACAGAAGCTTTGCAAGAGGATCTGAATAAAACTTCATTTGCGTTCACGGTGGCGGTCGGGCCGAGGGCGTTGGGGGCCATAGTCGAGCAAGTGAGGCTTGTCGGCGTTATAGTAGCTCCGTCATTAAATAGGGCAGCAGCCACTGTTGATACAGCACAGGAGGGAGCATCGCAACATGACTCGAACAGGAAATCCTCCGTAGATCAAATATCGCCGATGACGGCACCTCAAGCGCTGCAAATGAAAGGGCATTCACGTAATGTGGCTGGCGTATACCCGCATGACGTTCACATCAATAAGTCAGTATTTGGTTGAATGATAGTCGGTGTATCTGATCTTGCTGAAGAGGTTGACGTAGAAGTCGTACTAGCTGTGGTAGAAGGTAAGGCACTTGATGTCATAACCCACGGCGGCAGATAATGATTGCATTCGACTGGCTCTTGTCCAGAGATGTCTTCATCACGGAGATGTTGTGCAATACCTGCTCCGGCTTCGCTGCATACTTATGGGCACTGGGTCACAGTAGCATCGAGGTGCGAAAGTCGTCATCCACAATGCGACTCGACAAGCCACAATAGAAGCTCTTCCATAGGCGTATACCTACACTGCCATCTGGCGCGCCGGCCACATGTACATCGGTCAGTCCAACCGCAATCGATACCTCTACATCTCAAGATCCAGGAATTGGCTTGTTGTTCCCGTCATTTTGCGGGGTTAGTGTGGTAGTCGTTGGGTCCAGGCTGTAGTCGTTGACACCACACTAGTAGGCAGGATTTCCGTCATCATAAGATGTCGTGCACAAAACAATCCATTGGTCAGTATAATGGATAGGACAGGGGCGACAGAATAGGCTGCCATGATCAGGACCGAATTTGCATGTCTCCGGAGTAGCTGGGGGCGCAAATTTCCTGCAAGTCGATGATAGGAAGGTACTACTTGCTGTAGACACCTTTGCACTGATGACTTAGACCGATGAACGTGGTTAGACTCCTGAGGCGTGGAGTTTTGGGATGAGACTGAGGCCATCTTCGATGATGCCATGGTTGTCTTGCAGAGAGGCAAGCATGCTGAAGAAGACGACAGTGGAGCGAAAATAGCATTCTTCCCGCGGCCTTTGTCAGTGCTCGTCTCATAATTCTATATCCCTATTAGTCACCGAGGAAGAATCGACATCGGATTCAGGCTCACCAGTGTAATCGAGACGGCGCAAGCTTGAGCAGTGGCACCAACCTAAAAGAGCTGTGACCGTTGTGTTATATTCAAGAGGCTAGATGCCCCTATTAGAAACATAACAGGTTTTGCAGCTCGTTGACGTGGTTGATGAGGTAAGATTCTGACACTGGACAGGCAGATAGAGAAGACTAAGCAAGATAATGAGCGCCGAGGAGGATTCGGCATGACCGTGGGTATTTCCCACAGGCAACGTTTGTATGAGGAACATCGGGGTAAGGAAGTAAGCGAGCAAGGAGGGAGAGGAAATGAAGGCAAAGAGATAAGTGGGAAAGGTACGAAGTCGGAAGAATAGCATGCTAATTACGCTAGCTACGATACTTTAGGTGCTGTTTGTAGCAAAAGTATGAACACAAAGGCTTAGTGGGAATGTCGCTTGCTTTTTGATGCTCTATTTAGGTACTTATCAACGCAAATACTAAAGGCTACATGTGAAAGCCATCGTCAGCGAGTACATCAAAGACTGTCCCTTGCGAGCGGTAATCCTGAGTGTAAAGCTCCACGATGCAAGAATTAAAAGCGAATTGAAGAAGTGTATAAAAGATGACAACACCGGATGATTGCATAAGTTGACAAACACCTGCCTTGAGCATCTAGTCAACTTCCTCCATCGCGCTCTCCCCCGCGCCCTCCTCAGCGGGCGCCGCACTCTCCTCTGCAGCTTTCTCCTCGCTCGTTTCTGCCTCCTCATCAACGTTCAGACCCAGTGAGACAAGCTTGTGGATACGCTCGGCGAAGCCTGCTGGCTCATCAATGGTGAAGCCGGAAACCAGTAGCGATGTCTCGAAGAGGAGTTGAGTAATAGACTTGACGGTACGGTCGTTCTCGCCATCGGCATCGACCTTCTTTCTGAGTTCCTTGATGATGGATGACTTGGGCGAGATCTCAAAGGTCTTCTTCGATGACATATAAGAACTCATCGAGGTGTCACGGAGAGCTTGGGCTTTCATGATACGCTCCATGTTGGCAGACCAGCCGAATTGGCCGGTGCGGATTGCGCAGGGTGCACCAGTGAGCTTGTGGCTAACAACGACCTTCTCAACCTTGTCGCCAAGTACGTTCTTTAGCGCCTTGGCGAGAGGCTCATACTCCTTCTCTTCGGCCTCACGCTCTTTCTTCTCGTCCTCGGTCTCCTCAAGCTCGAAGTCTTTGGTGATGTCGACAAGCTTCTTGGATTCGAATTCCTTGAGCTGAGTCATGGCATACTCATCGATAGGGTCGACGAGGAACAGAACCTCGAATCCCTTCTCCTTGAGGGAATCCAAGAAAGGCGATTTCTGGACTGCCTTCAAGGACTCGCCAGTGATGTAGTACATATTCTTCTGGTGCTCGGGCATACGAGTGATGTAGTCAGCCAGCGAAGTGGTCTCCTCTCCAGACTTGGTGGAGTTGAATCGGAGAAGCTTGGCGAGAGATTGACGGTTTTGCGAATCCTCGTGAATGCCAAGCTTGATGTTCTTGCTGAAGGCCGTATAAAATTTGTCGAATTGCTCACGGTCCTCGGCGATCTCGTTGAAGAGCTCAAGCGTCTTCTTGACGATGTTCTTCTTGATAACCTTCATGATCTTGTTCTGTTGAAGGGTCTCACGGGACAAGTTTAGAGGAAGATCCTCAGAGTCGACAACACCCTTGACGAAGCTGAGCCACTCTGGGATAAGATCGGTAGCGTCGTCAGTGATGAAGACACGTCGAACATAGAGTTTGATGTTGTTCTTTGTCTTCTTAGTCTCGAAGAGATCAAACGGCGCACGCTTTGGCACGAAGAGGATAGCGCGGAACTCAAGCTGACCCTCAACGGAGAAATGCTTGACGGCCAAGTGGTCTTCCCAGTCACTGCAACCATGTCAGCACACTTTCGACAGTATCTGGTAGAGAGCAGACTTACTTTGACAGTGTTTTGTAGAAAGATCCGTACTCCTCAGCAGTGATGTCTTGGGGATTCCGAGTCCAGATGGGCTTCGTCTTGTTCAACTCCTCTTCCTCGATCTTGCTCTCCTTGACCTTCTTGGTCTTCGGCTTCTTCTTTTCTTTCTCCTCATCCTCGTCTTCTACCTCCTCGATCTTAGCCTTCTTCTCCTCATCTTCTTCTTCGCCATCCTTAGACTCCTCGGCGTCCTCATCTGGGACGTCCTTCTCGGTCTCTTTCATGACGTGAAGGTAGATGGGGTAAGAGATGAATTCGGAGTGCTTCTTGACGACTTCCTTGATCTTGCTCTCGTTCAAGTAGTCCGTCTGCTCATCCTTCAAGTACAAGATGATCTTGGTACCACGGCCGAGCTGCTCGCCCTCCTCATCCTGTGTCAGGGTGAAGGTACCACCAGCGCTGGACTCCCAGATGTACTGCTCGTCATCGTTGTGCTTGGAAACGACGGTGACTTTGTCGGCAACGAGGTAGGCAGAGTAGAAACCAACACCGAATTGGCCAATCATGGAAATATCAGCACCAGCGGTAAGAGCTTCCATAAATTGCTTGGTGCCGGAGCGGGCGATCGTGCCAAGGTTGTTGACGAGATCCTAAGGACATATTAGCTTGATGTGATTGCGGCAATGCGAGCTTTATACTCACGGCTTTGGTCATGCCAATACCAGTATCACGGATAGTCAGGGTCTTGTTCTCTTTGTCGGGAATGATGTCGACACGGAGGTCTTTGCCTGAGTCGAGCATGCTTGGGTCGGAAAGAGCAGAATAGCGGATCTTGTCAAGGGCATCGGAGGAATTCGAGATGAGTTCTCGTAGGAAAATCTCCTTATTGCTGTACACAGTGTTGATGATGAGGGACAGGAGCTGAGAGATTTCCGCCTGGAAGGCGAATGTTTCTGCGGCCATGATTGCGGTAGTTGTGTAGATTTATGATCAGGAAGCTAGCAGGAGTTAGAAGAGCTCGATGTGAGATAAGACTGAGGTAAGGTCAGGAGGTTGTGGTGTGTGAGGCTGGAAATTGAGGAATAAATAATTGAGAGGTCAAAAATTCGAGAAGCTTCTACCTTAAGTTCGGGCGCTGAGATACACTAGCGCGTGGTACACGTGACACGTATTATTGGTATTGGGAGGAGACCACTGTTTACTCTCATCAGTGTTCCATAATCCATGATGAGACTTTCGATTCAGGAAATACCAGTGGTATGTCCGAAAGAGCAATATCCTTCTCCTTCTCCTTCTCCTCTTCCCTCTTCTCCTCTCCTTCTCCTCTCCCTTCTTCTCCTTCTCTCCCTTCTTCCCCTTCTCTCCCTTCTTCGCCTCCCTCTACGCTTCCTTTTGCACTCTGCACCCCAGAATCCACAATTGCACTTCCTCTCATAAGAAAGGGCCGTAGAGTCCGCAGGCTCTGACACAAGGCCTGAACTACTCTACAAACATTTCTCAATTGCTCCAACGCCAGTAGTTTGAGACCCGTCTATACTGATCGGCCGACGGCCAATTGTCAACTTGACTATCTATCTCACACCAAGAGACCATCGCTCACGCATTGACCGGATCATGGTATCGCAGGTCGAAGGAGGCCCAACGTTACTTACATCAGGATGCCGACATTGATTGCCTACAAATACTTCTGGATCATGTTTATAAACAGATGTCCCGAAGTGAGGCAATAATATGGTCTGGAAATGGCTAGTACTGCTCTCGAAGGCAATTCTGCAAAAGCAGATGCATGATTCTGTGGGCCGCTCTCTTTATGGCAGCACTTGAAATCAGAGCTCGAGAAAGACGGTGCAGGATAGTTTGTACATATGATGGCAGACCCTTGCATCCGAATACATTATTAAGGCTGGCTATCATTTCCCTGAGCATGCTATGCCAAATGCAAATGCTAGCCCAATCCATCGGACTCCTTCCCTTCGTCGAGCTTAGGATATCCCCCCAATCGTGCATGCGAATCTATGCTCTTCCTGCCAGCCACCCCCGATTCAATGTCGCTGAGTACCCATTATCGCCAGAGCCCCATGTCCTCCAAACCCAGACCGCCATAGCGCCCAAGATCCCAACGGATCCAACGACTTGGAATGCAATCCAACCCTTTCGTTTCATGACTTCATTCCATCTCAGTAGCCCAAGTGGATCTCCGGGATCTAGCAAGCCACGATGGCCTGAAAGCCTTGGGAGTTCCAGCTTCGTTGCTTCCAACCCCTTCTCTGTTCGTGCGGCCAAGGATGAGTCTTGTGTTGGTACAAGAGACCCGTCGTCGATGCACTCGCCAATCTTCTCTGTGAGCCAGACCGCTCTCTCGCCACGAGAAATGGCCTCGTATCTAGCTCGCTCGTTTTGAAGACTCCTTTGAAGTTCACCCGCCCACCTGGCCAGTCTGATTTGCGCTAATTTCTCTTCTTGTTGAGTATGGTCCGCTATCCTAGATTGAGCATATGGTGACATTCCATTAGAATATGAGACTATCGCCTGCGATGTAGTGGGAGAATAGGTTGTAGATGTTACGGATGCCAGAGGACGACTGTGCGCAGGATTTGGAGTAGGGCGTGGAAAAAGACTTGGTTTAGTGAGAGCCTTCGAGCCTTGTGCGCGGACAAGCTTTCTTGCCGCTAGGTGCCTCATACATGCAATGTTGTCTTGGTCGAAGACTTGCTGTACCAAATTGGCTAGCTCGGATGGGATGAGCGGTCGAACGTATTGAGGTGACATTAACATGCTGGCATCCATGTTATCGTTGTCATCTGAAGGCGCCGCGCACACTGTGTATGGATGTGATGCAATAGCAGCTTCACCATCAAAAGCAAAAGGCCTGATATCCGCATGCTGCAGCTTTTCAAAGATAGAGCGTCTTAGGACCTCAGTCTCTTCTGGGGATAGTGTGTCTGACTTTGCGATTAGAGGAACAATATTGGTAAGTGCTGCTAGACGTTGGAGGAAGATAATGTCCTCGTCTTTGAGATCTGTAGCAACTGTCAACAGGCATTGTTTCAGGAAATGAACGAGACGACATGCCTTGTGCTATCATGTAAAAAACCACATCGACCATTACACCACCGCTTCCGCTCAACAGGCTTACGAAATCGCCTTGACTTCCAACAGTGTCTGCAAAAGGCTTGTTGAATTGCGCCTCCACGTACTTTAAGACGGACTCAATGCTCTCCATCCTCGACATTCCGTGACTGTAGCCTGGCGTATCAACGAAGCAAAGATTCCGTTCAAGCACAGTATCGCCCACACTTTTTCGACGGCGGAGGACTTTGGTTTCTTCGATATCTGACCACCATGTTGGGTAAGGCTTGGTGCTTGCGTATACCTCTGTGATCTTATTTGTAGACCTGATGTTGGCGCTGCTTGGCTTGCTCTTGGATTTTCGAGATGAAAGCGGGTCGATGGAAGGAATATTTGGTGATAAGGGATCTACGTGCACGATGTCTTCGCAGGTCTGCACAATTGACTTGATGAGAGACGTCTTTCCGACTCCTGTAACTTACTATAAGCATCAAGTAGTCTTGAGATCCTCCTGGGATTTCTATTCGCATACCTGAGTCTCCAGCGATCAGCACCTTCAGCCTGCCGAGACTTTTTCCCCGCTCAGTGAATGGCCTTCGGCTGGGCATCTTGATGCTTGGCATGATGAGCTGAGGGGCACTGTCTTGCATGGAGGATTGATGTTGAGGCTCAACATCATCATCCTCGCTCGAGGCTATGGCTTGACTACCGCCCTCGTCCATGGAATCCTCATCCGAAGGCCTGAAAGAACGGTTCGAAAAAGACTTAGGGCTGCTCGGCATCGATGACAAAGGAGCTTGAGATGAGAGTGATGCAAATGATTGGGACATGCTAGGGGCCAAGTGATCTGCCTGACTCGGATTGTACGGTGATGAATTCCCGGTATTGACAGGAGCTTGCTCAACGCTTCCGCGAGAGCTGTCCCGAGTCTTTGGCCTGGGTCTCAGTGTAGACCGTCGTCTCCCCTCGTGACCATTCCCCACATCCTCGTCATCTTCCTCGTCGTCGTCCTCTGTCTTTATAGGCGGAGAGGCCTCGGAGATTGTCTCTTGCAAGCTTCGTACACCGAATGTGCTGTCACTGCCGGGCCCAGACGCTTTCGCAGACGAGCTTTCTAGCTCATCCTCACTTACCATACGGAAAGAGGTAGGCGCGTTGTGAGCGAGGCCTGCAGTGGAGGTGAGGCCCGCTGCATCGAGGTCCTTTCGGGGTCGTCTCCCAAGCACATCTGCGCCTGGGCGCATCTTTGCATCCGACGACACAACACTCGTGCAATATTAGGATTCTGCGCCGATGGTATGTTCAGCTGAGCAGGGTGGTTGCGTTGGAGGTTGCGTGTATAATGACGCTGTTTTAGATTGTAGGTGCCCCTCATGCCCCACTTTCGCTACCGATGAAATTTTCGAAGTCCCAGAGATAGCAGAGGAGGAGGCTTCAGCCAGCAAGGTCATGTCAATATGTACTCTAGCAAGTGGCGCCTGTCAAATTTTGGTGTCTGTTGAAGCTATCCTAGGTAGCGAGTGTACCCTGCAGCCGCTCGTCACTAGTCTCAAACAGCTGATCACGACCAAGAAGGGTTGGTATCTACTATAGCGTACGATCATGGTCCCAGTGAAAGTGAAAGTGAATATAGATCAGATCCGGACATAGTCTTTTGTCTCTACTTATGTAAAGGCTCTCAGTAATACTATGTACATCCAAGAAGCGTAGTTGGCAAGAAATTGATGACCTAGAGATATTGACAAAGCCAGCTACCCTTAGTCGTGCAAAGATGGACGTGCACCACGCAAGTAACGACCGAGCCTGCAGACCTGAGCGCATCTAGGTATCTTCGCGACTGTACTGTACCAAGTAACCAAAGCCGCCGTTTATAAAAGGAGAATCGTAACTGGATGCAGTCTGCAAAACATTTTCACCGCACTCGCTATGCTAGACAGGAGTAAAGTCAGAAGATCATACTGAATCGACGGCTTGGTGCCTTTGAATGTTGGTATCGAGGGTCGAGATCCGGCGTGAATAGAGATGGAAATTGGGCTTGAGCTCTCGCCGGGTTGGTGGTTGAAAGGCTCGTGTTGTTGGAGATGCCTCACCAGCGGGTCATGCAGCAGGAGGCTGACCACGGCCTCTCGGTCCGCCACGAGAATAACCACCGCGGCCTCCATCCTTTGGAAAGCCACCCCTTCCCGAACTGCTTCCTGGACGGCCCTCGTTACCTCCACGACCACCACGCATCCCCCCTCTTCCCGCAAAGTTGCCTCCATACGCGTTCGCACGGGGTCGGCGCTCTTCGACGTAGATCTGCTCGCCTCCAATAGAATGAGGGTTAGCGGCGACAGCAGCAATGTAGGCAGCTGCGTCGGCAAATTCCACAAAAGCACAATTCTGCTGAAGAGTTAGAATTCCATAGTCATGATAGGGCTGTGTCAGTAAGATACATACCTTCGGACGGCTGACATCGAAATACACCAATTTACCATACTGAGCTAGCGTGGTCTTGAGAATAGACGCATCAACTTTGTCGGTGACGTTCTTCACGTAGCCCAGAACGTTCTCCTGGCTCCCAGATACTGACTGAGAGTGCTGACGGCCTTGCTTCTTACTGTTGTCAGAACCTGCCATCTGCCAGCCACTATTGGCATTCTGCTGTGTCTTGGCTGGAGAATCCTCATTTGATGTTGTTGGAGGAGTGACTGATCGGTTTGTGGAGGATGGAGCGGCTTTGGACTGAGGTGCAGGAGGTGTGGCAGTCGAATTGCTGGAAGAGGCACCGTTCGGCACAGCTGGTGCAGCGACGCGGTTAGCAGCAACCAATTTTGCCCATGTCTTTGGGGCAGCAGGCTTTGGAGGTGCCGCAGCTGTTGCAGAGGCTGCAGACTCCACCGGAGCTGCTTTGGCAGGCTTAGGTGGAGAAGCAATCGGTGTAGGTTCTGGGTCCCGAGGTTTTTCTGGCTGTGCTTCGTCCTCGACGGCCGCTATCTCTGCTGTCTGCTCAGGAGCATCTGCAACTTCTTCGTCCACTTCCTTTACCGCTGGAGCAGCGGCAGGGGCGTCCTCAGCAACATCAACGGCCTCAGTAGGGGTATGGCCGTTCGCTGGTGTTGCATCAGCGGGGAGAACCTCGTCTGACGTTGGTTTCTGGAAAACTTCCTCCTCCAGCTTCCTGTCAATCTGCTCGGCATCGTGCTCTTGTTGGACCGGATCAGCAGAGCTAGTCAAGGTTGTTGATTCGGGCTCAGGCTCGAGAGCCTGACTGGGGGCAGCCTCCTCGGGTACCTCCCCGTTCTCCATCTCCTCTTCCTCGTCTTCCAGAATGTACCGAAAGATGTCGTTGAGTACAAAGTACCCTTTCGGTTGCTCTGCCAGAACGAATGTTTGGACAAACTTTCGATGCGCGGCCGCTTTGTTGCTAATCTCCCCAATAACCTGGACGACAATGTTGTTGAAAGACTCCTGGGAGTCTACATTGGATACTCTGACCTTACAGTCTTGGAAGTCCAGTTGCTTTATGCGGTCATTGATGGCCTGCAAGTGAAGTCAGTAATCATTCTACCTTGGGCAAAAAGGAAAGCGTACCCGCTGGCCGACGGAGACGTCAACTTTCTGCGTTTCGACCCCCGAAACGAATTGAGACCGTTTGTTGTAGTACAGCTGAAGACCTGTGAGCTACAAAGGATCTCACACTTTAGATCGCATGGTGTCTTACATAGAGCGTTTCCGGGTTCTTGCTGAGAGTCGTGTAATACGATTCCACAAAGTACCATCCGACCTCATCCTTGGAAGGAGCTTTGTTGGCTTCAACGGCGCCAGTAGGTTCGGAAGAAGTCGGTGCTGTCGTAGCAGCCGCATCTTCACCAGATACTCCGGCTGGGGTATTGCCATTCGACGCGATCAGGCCTTGGGATGGGACGAAGGATTCAGCCTGGCCGTACGGGTATTGAGCCCCATAGTTGCCGTTGACGGTCTTACTATCGGCCATTCTCGGTTTTGGGATGAGCTGGGATGAGACGGGCGCTGAATATGAAGTGGATGCTCGAAGGTAGCTTGAATGATCGCGGAAGGTAATGAGGCTAGGTGATGAGGTTGCACGAAGATAGCAGGGCGGCAAAACTTTTTTACAGCTACATCATTGAGGATTAGCTGACGAAATTGGCCGATTCGAGGGTGTATTACCAGGAAGAGGATGAGAATAAACAATCCGAAGCGCTTTTATGGATGCAATTGATTTCCTAGCAACGAAAAATACGTCCAGTTAATCGTGCGAGGCTCCGAGTTCGTGGAAAACACCCGAGTAATGTCTCGGACAAGTGGTGTGAGTTATGAAATTGCGTCCTTCCAAGACCTTGTGATTAGAGAATTAATATTTGAGTGTCTACGTGAAGTGTCAAGTGAGTGCCTTCAGTATTTTTAATCAAGCGCCGACGAAATTTCCTTAAAGTACCTATCCGCCGCCTGTTAGCGGTGCGGGACGTTTACTGTCGAGACTGGACACTCTGACTTTATATCATGATGACCTATGTATTTTTGATTATGAACACTAGGGAAACACTTCGTGGAAAATCCGGTTATATATGCTCGCCCATGAATGCTCCAGCAAAGATCTACGTCGTTTTCTATGAAGCTAGATGCAGGTCGTATACAACAGTCGGCTGGCAACAGTCAAGAAGGAATTGTGCCGTGTACTGCATCCATTTTACCACCTGTTTGATGCTGCAAGGTGCTACTATCCAGCCAGACCATACTGTAGATGTGTGACTGAATCAATGAGTTTCTTGTCACTGAATTGACATTGAGCAGCACGCCGGTATGCTTGCCACGTTCGACGAAAATGCAACAGGAACATGTCCTCCCAAACTCCACGGCTTGCAGTCTTCTTACACCAATGGAAATGCTGGGTATTGGCGTGTACACAAACGAACAATCAAGAAATATCGCTGGAGCGGCGACCCGGTGACAACTCAGGCGCCAGCTATCCACACGAGTTGCAAAGACAATGAGGTACAGAACATCATCGTAGCCGTGACCTTGTTCTAGAAGTGAGATCGGGTCCCGACCTCATAACGCAGTAGTGACTGACCTCCCCATTCCCGCCTTCTCGTCCATCAACTTCGGTCTGAATGTCGCGTCTTGATCCGTCATCCTCCGACCAAGTGCGCGCTCGACCTTTGCCCCCAAGGCCAGCTTGCTGAGGCTATCGGTCTTTTCCGGTGTAGGTTGGTATCGTTGCTGCTGTAGACGTTTCTGCTCCAAGCGATCAAAGCCTTGTGTCCACTCTTTGATCTCCTGCATCCGCGGATCGCCATTCGATGATGATGCGTTGGTGTGTGAGGTGCTGTCAGAGGCTGCGAGAGACGAGACTCCGCTAAAGGTTGAGAATCGTTTGGACGTTCGTTTAGATGCGACCTGTAAAATATTCTCTGTTAGCGGAGATGCGTCGTCGATGATCCAGGCTAGGTGACGGAGAATGTGGCAGTCGCAACGGTCCAAATCCTCATTGTTCCGAGATGGTCAACATCAACAACGAAGAGCTTCTTGCATGGTCTGAGACGCATTGTTCGTTGGAATTGGGTTGTGGATTCGAGTGAGACAGCCATTCGGACGGGTAGAAAGAGGTGAGACTTACAGATGGAGCCATAATTGCTCTCTCGGATTCCTGAGAATGCCGACCCATAAGGAGCGACGAAGAAGACTTTGACGGAATGAATTTGGGAGGAGCTGATGCGCCTTTGAGTAGTGGAATGATTGAAAGCTTCTTGTTTTTGGAGCCGAGGATCAGCGCACTGAAAGGTAGGTCTGACCCGGATTGAGTGAGCTGTGAACTCTGGTGGTGACGTCGATCCAGGGTTTGCTGAAGTTTATTTTGATGAAGCGATGTAACTCTGGTCGTCACCAAGCTTGATGAGCAATCGGCTTGTAGAGGTACGATAGAGTAGTACTCTAAAGTATGAAAACGAATTTGAGGGAAAGAAGGTTGTTGGGGGTTTTGGGGGGGGGGAACTGGGTGGTAAATAATAATGTAATAGGTATCTAGGTATCTTGCAAGAAACTGGCTCTGGCTCAGCCCAGGTTATTGGTTATTATGATCGCCACAAAAGTCTGCTGCGTTGCTCGGCCACACGCCATGTTGTTCTACAGACTAAAGTACCTTACGCATAAGTACTTTAGTTCTTACATACCGTTTCCGTCACTCTCCGTCATCAAATCTTACAAATGCTCTCAAGTCTAACACCTATCATTAAGTACTAGTACATGGATCATCCACCGACAGGAGATCAAACTTAGAAGTGATTAATTGACCTTCCTCGCTCCTATCGCTCAACTACTACCTTCCTTGCTGTCTTGAGGAGCTCGCGAGACACAAAGAATTGCGGCCCAGGGGCAGTGCGAAGCTAAGGTCGAGATTAAGGTCAGGCAAACACATGGCAGCAAGGATCTCGATGCCCTCTAGGCTGGATTGAGGGTAGCCGAGCGGCGGAAGAAATTGAAGATCTTTATCCAATCAGGATACACTACTACTACCTCACTACGGTATCCATTGTTATCGAGACGCTCCCGTGCTTTGGAAAGCCGCATATCAAGTACCGGTACGGCGGATGCTACACGAGGAAGAATATGAAGTCACGAGGAGGTCCCTTGGAAATCCGGAGCATTGACTTTTCGACCAGCTCTGTGATTTGAAGGGTCCGACAATGCCGAAGCACAAGCATTTGCTGAGTGCCAAGAAGCATACAGGGAAGAAGAAGCAGCCCGAGGTCCGCAAATTGCCAGAACGCTCGACCAAATCTGTGTTGGCTTTTGATTATTGATGCTAGCTGCAGGTCATTGAAACTGCCAACGAATTTCTTGCAGGTACGAGTAAGAAGAATCACACCCGAAGATGTAACCTTGAGCCGATCTCAAGCTAATTCCCGGGCAGTCGGTGTCGATTTTGAAGAAGCTGGAGAGAAATGGCGGGCTGGAGATGCTGCCAAGTCTTTGAGGTTCTTCGTCCGTGCAATTGATACCTACGATGCCGGACTTCGGAATTTCCCCCTGTCTTTTGACCTATCATATAACAAGTGAGATGCAGACCTCTTCAAGCTGTCAGTGTCACTGAAGGTCATCAGGGCTCGGCTGCAGTACGAAGTTGCTCAGCAACCTCGATTACTCGAGTACTTACCCACTCCACTAATTGAACTCTTGCAAACAACTCTCGACTCTCATAGGCGAGCACTGACAATCGACCAAGATAATGCTGATCTTCTCTTGTATGCATTCGCCGGATATCAAAGTTGACAGGGGCTGACATCATTAGCAGCAATACGGCTCAGGTACTGACAAGTCTGGCTGAAGCCATTAGTGAAGGCAAGAAACCGACAGGATCTCGAGGCGATGCACTTCGTCTATTTCAAGAATCCTTAGAGCTCTTTCAACGGTGTCTCAACATCCAAGAATTCAAGCATACTCAAGATCAAAAGAGTGACGCACAAGAAGCACAGTTGCCTAATGCTGACAGTGCTAGTGTGGATAACATTAGTAGTGCTGCCTCCAATGCGTCGGAGGAAGAAGTCTGGGCCTCCGTGGAAGAGCCGGTCACGAAAGACGCACTATGCGATACTACTATAGCACAACTAGATACCCTGACAGCGGTTTGTAGTCTGGCTCCTTCTCACGCCGACCTTGCATGGGTGGAAGGAAATTACCTCACCACGCTGAAAGATAAGGTATCATTGTATGTCGATGGTTCAAGTCGTCACCACGAAGCTGCGCTTGCACAAGCAAGGTTTACTTGCGCACTATCTGACGCAGCCTTTCGAGGTGGACGACTTGATCTGCCTACCTATGAGACGGAACTGAACGCTGCATTCACCAGTCTGGATCTCGACCTTTCGAATGATCCTCCGAGTCTTTGCGACAAAGCAGACGCAGAACTGGCGTTCATCGCGAGTGTTCAAGCCGCTGTTCAACAAGCACAGTCCTCTGAGCTGGCCCAAATAAGCAGCATATGCTGGAAGCACATAACCAAAGCGCTCGACAGCCTCACCGATGCTTCGAAGCTCCCTGATGCCCAGAATCTTCCACGCATCCACATTCGACGAGGAGATTGCGAACTACTGCGGATGCAATTGGGTGACGCGCCTCTGTATTATGATCTCGCTGTCAAGAGTGCTCCGACACTGCTCAAGAACGCGGAAGTATATTTCCGTGGTGCAGCAAATCTAGGAAAGAGGGACGCGGGTAACGAAGAAGAGCAGAACGAAGCAGAGGTCAAACAGTCGATTATGGCAGGACTGGCGGGTGATACAGAAAAGATTTCGTTGTTGGTAAAGGCTCGAAGACATCTTGTAGAGTCAATTGTGGAGGAGATGAGAGATGACGGCTTGTTGGGCGAGAAAAGTTTGCAGAAAATAGGAAGCATGTTCGCATGAGGTGCTGGGTATGTATCAACAACCATCAACCCACACAATGGTAATTCAAGACTTGCTGCTTATTTCGACCATTTCAGATTGGGGGATTGCCCCATGCCCAGTGACAGCATGACTCCAAACACCTTGCCCAGTACCTTTCAAGCCTTCCAAGTCGTTCTTTCATAACCGGCTTCCTCTCGCCCTCACTCCAATCTCACCATCCATTTCCATTGCCTCCTTTCTCATCTCGCTGCCCTCAACAACATCGCCCATGGCACCATTCGCACCGTCCAGATCTGCAATCACTGCTTCCAGACCGCTGACAAGTCGCTCTACTTCGTCTCTCTGTCTCTCTACTCCCTTCGCCACTTGTTCGTTTTCAACTTGTACAGCCTGTAGCTCGGTCTCTAGTTGCGATTGTGTAGACGCAAGATAAGGTGCCAGGTGCGCTAGGTAGAGGGATTGCGGGGGAAGCGTGTGCGGACTGCAATTCAACCATCGCTGCCAGTCAGCGCAAGCTCTCGCACTCGCTCTGCGCAAAGTCTCGCATTCTCAAGGAACGTCCAGGAACCCCCCCCCCAACAAACAGGGAAGATAGACCAGAATATACTCACGGCTCATTCGGCAGCATTCCCTCCCCACCCCCCTCCCTTCTTGCCTTTGCAGTGCCCACCAGCCTTTCCAGCTCATTCAATCCCCCCACTACATCCTTCTCGACCAAAATTTCCTCAAATTCCCGCTTCGCCTTATCTTCCACCTGTCCAACGATCTGTCTCCACACGTTGTTCAAAACCGCTGGGGCGGATTTGGCGGACGTCGGGAAACAAGCGGCGAAGTTGGCGTAGGAACAGGTGTGAACCGTGTGCGTGAGCGCTGCGGTGAACATGTTGTTGAGAGCTGTGGCGCGGGGACCGGGCGTTTGGGCGGAGGGAGGGGGCGGGGCGGGGGAAGGGGAGCGGTTGTCCGTGGTGGTTGTCGCCATTCTATTGGGGGTGGTATCAGAGCTGAATTGGAAGCCTGATGATCACTGATGCCCCTATAGATGAGTTCCAAGTAACTCCTTACATCAAGATCTTTCTCCAAAGTTGTGTTTACGCGCTTGCAGACGCGTAGTCGGATCACTAGCGCCGGTTCAAACGTGGGGAAGCCTCGAGTCGAAAAGCATCCAGCGAGTAAGGTCCTTCTTCAACATTTCATCAATGAACTACGTACTCCGTCTCCGTACATTCTCTTCGATCGTGTGACTCTTGCGCTTCTCTCATTGCTATTCCATTATTCCTGTCTCGCATGTGGGCTTGCTTTCCGGGCTCGAGCGCAGCCTTTTTGGTACAATTGACGTTGCCAGAATCGCTGATCCTGGCTTTCATCTAATCATACATTGCGATGATGCTAATTTCACCCCTCCCATTCTCCTAAAATTCCAGCTTCGGTCTCTTTTTCTGTTTTCAGGAGAGAATGGTTTGAACAAAGAGGCCCCATGAACGCCGTTTTCGGAGTCTATGGTAATGTATGTCTTCGTCTACAAAGACCGGTACTTCCTGTTTCTTCAGATGGGCAGATTTTCCCAGATAGCCACAGCGTTAGCATTACCCTCCTCTCAGCACTGTAAAATCGTCCATCTCACAGCACTTTGTATGAGAAAGAGCAAGACTGCTCTGCAATGTCATCGCCTTGTCTCTTCTATCTTCGGAAACTTCCCTCCTCCAAAATCATTGGCCGGGAATTTGGCCCCTCCATGGTCCCTCGTCTTTCATATGCAGCTCAGAGCGTTCACGCTGCTAGGCTGTTGACGTCGTCCAGCATAGCTTGTGGGCCTTCAATCAAGGCTCTCCTACTGTGCCATCATCGTTTGTCATGCATAGAATCCAGGACCATCAACATTCACCAGACCTCATCTCCAGCAGCCTCAAGCAACGTACTTGCCAGCCTGGATTCCAAAACAATGCTATATCATACAAATTCCAAAGCAACCAAAGCCGCTAGCCTCCGTAGCTGGGACACTTGGTCACCGCACGCCAGTCTTCGCCGCAAGCAGATCAAGCAGCACTTCGGCCTTGGGTATTTCTCCCGCATCCTTGATCAAGTACTTTTCTGCGGGCTGCTAAGCAATCGCGTGGTGTTGAGGTGGGTAAAGGCTCCAAAGGGAAAGCTGGACTGGCTTAGCAGAACCACCCCAATCTCAGATGCTAAACGAGGGCCTTGTTACTTGATAGAGGTAACGAAACCCCTTGCCAATGGACCTTGGACACAAGCAATCATTCAAGAGCGAATGAATGCCGTGCTGTATGGAATGACACAGGCCTTTGTTTTAATGCATCGTCACAACTGCGTTTCCTTTCAACGGTTGGTTGGCCGAGATGTGAGTGGAGGACAATCCGGATATGGATCTATGTTCCAAAAGTTATTGCAAAGACTGGAGAAAGAGGCTAATCGCAGACTCAAAGGGCTGCCAAAATCATGGCAGTTGAGAAGTCCCCGCAGGTGACAACTATGTCCTTGCAGGGTCTTCGATACAGGAGTAAGGATTTGGTTAACCTGATGGGGATGATCAATCTAAGCTTCGAACAAGGAGCGGTGGACAGACTCTAAGCGGGGGTTGGGCCCTTCACAAATCAAAACCAACAATGACAATCGATGTCATGATTCCTGATGTTGAACGGGGCCAAACCCCTGTAAGTGAGGATCATACTACCAAGACTACTATTTCAAATATTATCGTACTGCAGGAGCCCAACCCAAGCACTCCATCACGCAGGTCGCCAGGACATGGAAAAGGAAGATAAGTGATGATATAAATGGAGCCAAGCAGCCTCTCAGCTCCTAAATCGATTCAAGCACGGAGATATCTCCCATCAAAGTGAACGACTTTAAATGAAGACAACTTCGGAAAGCGTCGATAGTGTTCATATACGTTGCAGCCTGGGTTCCAATGGTGCGGGTGAGGGGGACCCGATGAGGCTGAAGGATTCTTGATGCCTGCGTAGGCAGAAGCTGAAGATTTTGGTGCAGCACCTGGGTACAGATTTACCTGTCAGCATGCTGTCAGTTTGTTCTGGAGCGTTCTCCAACGGTCGCAAACAGCCTCGCTTCTTGACCGCCTTTTCGCTTTGACCTTAGGAGAAGCTGCGCTCCCACCTTTTCTTCTTGATACACATCAATCCTCTCGCCAGATTCTACACAGCAGAGAACGGAAGATGTCTTCAACCCCTTCTATCAAAGCGCTGCTCTCCATCGCCGTCCAACTGGCGGAAAGTCTATCGGAACGAATACCAAAATCGGGGTCTCTGCAACGCGACTGCAAACAAACTGCCATGAACCTACGCACCTGGCGCACGAATCTCCCGTCCGAGATGGAATTTCTACTGAAGCCGACAGGTGATAAGGGCCTGTACATGGCCATATTATCGCCGCTGTCCGAAATTCTCTGCATTCTGTGTATGTCGCTGCACACTTTGCCGAACAGCCACTAATATAATACAGGCCAACTCATCTGGACGACCCACGAGCTAGGCAAACCTCCATCACTCGACACCGTCTCCCGCACCTACGAAGCGGAGCAGAAGATTAAGAGTGCATCGCCGTCAATCAAGAAATTCATGGACGACCTTGGTACGTAGATTTAGGAGTAAATGCTTCCTGTTTGGTAGCAAATTCGAGCCACAATCCAGATTTCGGGAACAGAAGGCTCCTTCCCTCCTCCAGAACTGTGTTGTTCCTTCCGTAAAAAGCCATGTTTCGGCAGCGAAAGGATCTTCCGCTCTCCCAATGTGTTTCTTTTCTCCCTCTACTACCCAAAGAGAACTACGCTGACTCCGAAATTTGCATAGGCGTATGGCAAAAGCCGAAAAGGGGTCACGCGCCGCTCGCCGTCCTTTTCGATCAGACGTCACGGAGTGACAAAGTCTTCACTTTCACGGAAAAGGCGGTGAATGGACACATGGGTGCATGTTCCAACGGGCTGATGGAACTGACCAAGAGGATCGATAGAGCAAGGAAACGGCACGTGGGGCTTAGGTTGCTGGCTGGGAAAGCGGCCTGAATGATTTGGTATGAAGAGACACGGTAGGACGAGGTGGTGGTGATTAATAATGAGAAAAATACCCCCCCCACCTCCTCCCCACCTTCCCCGTTGCAAGCTCTCCGAAGTTCTCATGCGTCTGGACTTTCGAGTTCCAACCCAAACGGGTAGTGCCATCCACATGCATCCTTCCGGCCATGACTTCCATCGCTTCGTCACCTATTATCCTACCACATAGGTGACGAACCATACATGCATTTCTATCAAGCATCCATGATTCAAAACAAAAAACCCGCCCCCACCGATCGGACGTTCAAAGCACCCATAAAGCACACACACATTCCCCTTGACAGGCACCGTCACAGCGCAACCACGCTCCAATCACTTTATCAAAAAAGGCTCACGCTACAACACACGTTCTTACGGACCCGTTTCTCATTCGCACGTACATCCCCACGGGATCCGTGATGGTTTCGGGGGAGTTGATACACGAGTGGGGAGAGACGAACTGATGGACAGGGCTAGGGCTCGTCTGGCGCTCCGGCTTCTTGTTCGATGTGGCAGAGTCGATGGTTAGTTCTGTAAGGTCGATAGGAGATGGGACACATGGGCGGATCGACGTGGGGTTAATTGCAGGAGTTGGAGGCCGGAGGTGCTTCCGGAGCTGGCATTTTCAAGTGTCTTTGTTTGCTATTTGATCTTTCGCTCAGATGTTCATGGCACATGATGCGAAGGGATGACTGCGAGGTCCCCAGGACTTCCCTGGCATCCAAGTCCCCTAACGCCGCCGCAATGCATGCTTCGCTCCTCTCTTCAGGTTTCTCTTGGCCTGCCCCTCACTTGGCTGTTTTGGCCTTCTTTTTCTTGGGCTCCGCCGCTCTCTCATCCTCGCTGCCTTTCCCGCCATCCGCATCCGCCATCTCCTCGTCACTCCCACTGCTCTCGTGTGCCGAGTCATACTCTTCGGCCACATCGGAGTCCGAATCAGATTGGAAGTCTTCGTCGAGGCTCTCGTCGTCTTCGTCAGCTGAGCCACGGTCGGCGCGGGCAGCAACGACTTCTTCCTCCGAGGAATTGATATCAGCCTCGTTGAGAGCGGCTTGAATGAGAGCAGAGGACTAGGATCCATTAGCATGGAAACTTTAAGGACTGAGACAAGATGCATAACTTACATCGTCGAGCATCTCGTTACGGATTTTGAGATTTTTGGCTGCGAAAAAATCTTCTAGAGGCTTTTGCTCTTCTCTGTGTACTGCATTAGCAAAAGCATAGGAGTTTTCATTTGGATCACATACCGATTGATATTACTAAACTGGTGCTCCCCACCGGCGTTCTTTGTAGTGATTGTGATGTCAAAAGTCCTACTTGCGGATATGGCGCCACCAACTCGTGACATGACAATCACCGAAATTGTATCGAAGGATATGTATGTTGCTGGCTTTGGGACAAACATAAAGCTTTTGTCGAGGCAGAATAGGTGCCCTTCGTTTGCCTTGATGCTGCATTTAACCCCAGATTGTTGATGGTGGCTCGAGAAGTCTTTCGACGGTGTGACAACTCGTTTCCCAGTCAGACCACGGAACACCTGAGCAACGACCATATGCTGTGGTTGTTCGTAACGGGGCATCAATTTGTCCTTGTACTTCCCCTCCAGCATTTCCCTGTCTCCTGTTAGCTATTCATCCCGCAGACAAAAAGTTAAACCTCGTACTCGGTCATGTTCAGCTCAATGATAACCTCCTCCTCCCGCTTGAATTGCATTACAAGGAAAGGATATCTCGTTTGGCCCTGCCTCAGAGGCGGATCCAGTCCGATAGTGATCAAGGTGTGTAAGTCGTCCGGCTTTGGGAGGAGCATGAATTTTTTGATGTGCTCGTATTGGATTTTGTAGTCATAGGTCTTTCCACGTAACCGGAACGAGTTTTCGTACATATCGATGTCAAAACGTCCTCTGCGACCATGTTAGTCTAATAAAGCCATAAAAACAATCTCCTGTCAGTTCCCACCTTGGTGTCAGATGTAGTACATCCAGGAATGTTGCGAACGTGTCTCCAGCAACCTCCCCAATCTCCGCCTTGTCCATTAGAGTGTCGTAGAACAGACTGGCAGCGTTCTGCTCTTCGACCTCATCCCCATCGACGCTCTTCTCTTCACCATCCTCATCCTTCTCTTTCTTCGTGACGGTTCCGGGAATGTAGAACCGCATCTCCACCAACTGGTCTTTTGCCGCACCAGCTTTACGGCCCCTGCTTCGTGCTCCTCCAAGGTGCCCGTTTGTGCCCGTCTCGTTGCCCCCTGCTGGTAACGAGAATTCCACCGCCACCTCATTCTTTCCCGCGAGATTGGTGTTGGAGATTTCAGAGTACGGGATCTCAAAGGCCGGACGGTTCTGGACGTTGAACGCAAGCTCAGCTTTGCCAAATTCACCTTTGCCCCAATTCCATCCACGTAGTGCATGCTCTTTAGTTTCTAGATTGATGCCGTAGAACAGCTTGAATGCCTTAGCGACGCGGTCGAAGTCCTGTAGCACAATGAGCCAAATTCTTGCTGTGAACCCAGGGGCGACGCACTTCTTGCTCAAAGCCATCGAGCTGTACGACGCCAGAGGTTCGGGACATGATCTTGAGCTCATATCCTCTAGCTGCACGACTCCACTGTGCTGTCCCCAAGTTGTTCGTGTCTAGGGTAAATGTGTCACCCCCACCTGAGGGCTTCCACCCCAGCCCAGCTTCGGCCAGGCGGCATTTGCCCGGCTGCTTTGAAAGATCCAGGTATATTCTCTCGAAAGCCTCCATATTTGAGATGTGTTCTGATAATTTGAATCTGAAGAGTGGAGCTCAGACGTGGGGACAAATTTCAGACGTGGGCAGGAAGAAGATAGAGGAGCTTCAAGGTAAGTAGGATTGGGTAGAAAGATGATTAAGGATGAGCTTCAGAGGCGGAGAGAGATTCTGAGGTGCAGTTGGCTGAAGTGAGGGGTAAGTGGTGTTGAAGAAGAGTTGGTATGTGGATAAATCCAATAATCGCGTGTGGGAGACGTTGTCGGCGCATATACTTCGTATACGAGTAGTCGTGTACTAAGATTTTGAAGCGATCTAACGGTGGTATTGACCGGTAATCTTGAAAATTATTCAATCGTTGCTTCGAGCGATGCGTGAGGACAAGAAGGACAGTGCCGCCTACCTTGATGTACAGCTGCTATCTACCATAGAGTAATTTTTCCACTGCCACTACCTACCTAGATATCTCTAATTTACAGTAGCTCCTACGCGTGCAGCCCTATGTAAATAGTCTATTTCGCGTAGAGTATCGCTTCAATCTTACTAGGCAAAGATACCTTAGGTACTGTACATACAATGCCCCAAATCGGCTTAGCCTTCGATGAGACGGGAGTTAAAGCTTTACCTACCGTCGAGATGCATCATGAAGAATTGCGTCCTCCTTATTAGTAAACACAATTGACTCGCATAATACACCCTCATCCATATTTCCCTCACCCCATGAACAGTAATGGCCATAAATCGCGGCTGAACGGACATTTCTCCTGACACTTTTATCCTACGCGTACAACAACATGCAGAGCCTCAAGACTATGACATGGTCAAGGGCCGTGTCACTACTTTGAGCAAGAATAAAGTCGTCGAGAAGGCGTGAGAACGTTGTAATCGGAACGATAAGTCAGAAAAGAAAAGCAAGAAGAGGAGGGTCTGGTAAATAACATCTCTGATACAGATGAATGTGATGGGTAAGAATCGAGTCGTACTACAGCTACAGCTACACTTGGACGGTCACAGCGAAAATCACAAGGTGACACACGAGCTCTGCAGTAGTCATCCCGATGACCGAGTTTCTAGACAAGAAGACTCTCGGCCGCAACCCGGGTGTACGCAAGGCCTGGACGTCTAGTAGACTCGGGGCTGTACGCAGCATAGTCTATGGCTGTACGCTTTATGGAGAGGCGCTCTACGCGTAGAAGCTGCCTACTGTGACTGGTGGATACTCCCGAACACGTCGAACACGTCAAGACCTGTCATATAGAGGAAGATTCTTTTCTTTATAGATTGCGTTGTTACTTGTTACTTGTGATCTCATTTCTTCAAAGATACGCATGACGGCCATGGTGACTACCGGGTTGCCCATGACAACATCGTGTAGGCCCGTCTTTAATATCTCCTCTCTGATGACGCCGTTCTTCGTTCGCCATTCCATAATTGACCCTGCAGCGCCCAGATCCGATTTTGACTTTTTTTTCACAACATCGAGTTGGTCGTAGGTGATCCCTTGGGGCAACGTAGCATTGACGGCATGCCAGAAGACCACTTTGGTGTGACTCCACGGGATATCATGATCATCCTCGGCATGGATCAGAGTCAGCCGGTATTTCTGTCCATTAGCTTCACTGGCCCGTATATATTCTGCAATACGGTGCTTGCTCAACCATTTGTCCTGTATGAAGGTGCTGAGGTAGTTGAACAACAGCGGAAACCTTGTCAGCGGTGACAGAATGGGGATGAAGCCTGCAATACGATACGTTGCCACGAGCGTCGCCATGTCGACGAACGGTGCGACTAGGATGGAGCCTGCAAACACTGCGGGAGGAGATTGCAAGGCAAAGTGCTTAGATACAGCAAGGCTCACAGCAGTGCCTAGAGATTGGCTAAAGATGAGGATCCGGGACGGTGGAATGCCGGCTACATTTGTCGCCCAGTCGACCACCGCGATAGCATCAAGGCAAAGACCACGCTCGGATGGCGTGCCGCGACTGCGTCCAAAACCTCGATAGTCGAATGTCAAGACGTGAATCGTTTTGGGCTGCCCTGCCGACAGCGCGCGATAATTGGGGACTCTGTAGCCTGACCCGACAGTACCTCCGGCTCCGTGCATGTGAATGATCAATCGAGCATCATGGTCATCGCGCAGTAACTTGAAAGTAAGGCGGGATGTGATATCCGAGGCGAAGCCAGAGGGTTCCGCCACGAGAGCGGACTCGTGCTGACGATACAACTCGATGGGCAGAACATGCCAGGCGTACAGCGTTCCGCCAGTGGAGGACTGTATCGAAAACGGGGTGGTCTGGCTGCGTAGAAAGCCAAATGTTTCAGGGACGTCGAGATCTTTGAACCAGGTCATCTGGATTTTGTGGAGATAGACTACATGGGCTTGGAAGGAAGACGTGGTGAGAAGTCCTAGAAGACCAGCGTAAAGACCGACCAAAACTGCTGCCGATATCGAGGCATACTTGAACAAGAGATTGATCATGGTGCCCGTCATCACAATCTGCAGACCCGTGTATCTGTCCAAGCATACTATTCAGGACTGGAGGTTTGCGAATAAGGAATGAGTTCGGCGGTGCACAGAAACAAAGATAAAGTACTAGCGCAGGCCTTGCTCAGCTTCTTTCGAAGTAATTAATCTGCACACAGTCTACGTGATTGGCATAAAGGTCGGGTAGCCGCAGATAAATCAGCAACCACTCATTTGGTCATAAATTTATGTTGGTTAGGATTTTGTGAGTCAGGATGCATTCCGCTCACTTTGACTGTTTATGTCCACAAAGATGATTTTGAAAGCAATCATTCAGACACTTAAATTCCCATACATGGGCATCAACCTACAAACCGAACGCCCAGTTACCAACCGCAAACCCTTAAGGCCTTCGGGGCCTGTCGTCGAACCCAAATAAAACCCTATATCCTATCTACCTCCTACTGGGACCTTGATACGTCTCTTCGCCCATGCCGATATGGTGTCTTAGCGGTATTCCTTGGTTCCCTTGCCTTACGGGAGCCTTCCCATTGCCAGACAAGGTATTAAAGGCCGTGGTTCTCGGAGTAGTGGGGCTCTTCAGACCTCCCGCGGTCCCAGGCGTCCTTGGCGCCTCCATCATCTCCCACGGCGCTTGACCCGACTCTTTATCCGAGGTTCTGGAGCCGTGGGCTGATCGGGATTGTCTGCTAGACCAGAGGGTGATTAAGGTGAGAATTATTTGGGTCGTGAATAGCGCGCTGAGGCAATTAGAACAAGTGGACTCGGACTGGCAGGGTCCTACTCACACCATAAGGATTGTCACGGCAAAGGCAGCCTTGGCCTGCTTGCAATATCCGATGAGATCTGAGCTGACAGGTGGCCCACACTTCCTGGTAATGTACCAAGGAGCCCCTGGTTGAGGATGCGCCGGATCGCTCATGTCAGGTCCTGCTTGGTTGTGGATGCTAATAGCAAAGAGGATGACGAGTGCAGCGTGGGCCAGGAGGGATACCAATGGGTGGAAGACCGATGTGATGAACATGATCCCTTTGCAAAGGAGGATGAAGACAGAAAGGACTGAGATCACTACGTTGTAGTTGGTGGTGCTGGATCATGTTAGCCGGTAGCCTTCAGGTCTCATGGGTAGAGCATGCAAACAATTGTCTCCATGGCAATGGCGCCTTGATGGGTCTGTAGTTTGCAATGGCGTATATGAGTTGATTGGGATTGCTATTCCATCCATGATCGGCTCCTTCTTGCCAAAACCGGGTGCGGTATAGATCCGGTTGGGCAATACCAAATAGCGCAAGCGCAGCGATGGTCAAGGGGATTTCGAAGACAAAGAGGCCGACGACGAGTTTTGGTGTGCGCCATTGCCGTGGGATGGAGGAGAGAAAGGATGGAACTCTCATGATTGCGGAGGATGTTCACAGATGCCTCTAGAATAGCACCCCTGCTGTCGCCAGTCTCCGCTGGCTCAGGTCTCTATCACTGTCGCTGAAATGGCGTTATGGGAACAGAGATTGAGGAGGACAGGAGGTAATCGCCCGTGAGATGTTGAGCAGAACACCGTAGCCGCCGAGAGATCATAGTGCGAGAGCTGTGGCCAGTGAGAGGAGCAGAATGATATGCAGCTTACATGCAGGATCAGACCTAACTCCTAATCGTGGTCCCACTATTCGCTGGTAAAGTTGAACAGGGCGCCTAAAAACGGGCAATTAGTTTCGCCGGGGTTAAAAACTTGGCATACTGTATCCCCTCCATTCCTAAGAACCCCACTAGTCTACCTGGATACGTTGTAAACCACAGACTTTTCAACATCGGATGTGGCCAGCTCCAGTACACTCTCAACGATGCCGGATCACGCGCAGTGGCGAATGAAACAAAATGTGGGTCAGAGTCAAATATCAAATACATGCATGGTCCCCAATCTTCAAGAACAGAAGCGAAACCAGCGGTTTTGTAAGAGCAGTAGGATTGACAATCGGAGACAACCGATGTATTGATCTTGCTGTACGATGACAAATCCTAATATCAAATTCGTGTTGACAAGATCAGTCATTCCTATCAGATGGATAGATCTTCAGTTCCCCACGGTGCCCCACTCTACCAAACGCTTTGTAGACCACAGACCTCCACTCTCACAGGGATCCAGACATCTTTAGCATCACTTTAGCTTTTCTGAATCCGCATACCCAGCGAACAATCATTAAGCGTCCTCAACTCCTCATGTCACACGCAGTCCTTTTATCCAGCGGTTACATCTATCTCCGTCGAGCTTCACCGGGATATGATGTCCAAAACTCGCTGCTGTCCTGGGCCAGTAAAGATTCCTCCCCCAACCCGGATGATTACTAGCTTGTTCTCTTCCATGTTTGTCCATACGAAAAGGAAGCTGCTGGAGCGGATCTTGCCGTAGGGATCATTTGAACCCAACGCTCCTTGACGATGGCCCTCCTCAAGCCAGGAGATTCACAGTCGTGATAATTTGGATAACCCGTAGATATCGCTCTTAATTCTGCGCCGAAACGTGTGGTCGTTAGTCCTTCACGAGTCATCGACTTCAGGGCACATAAGATGCTAATTCGGGACATTCGTAATCATCTGCGTCCTCGATCCTATCCCAAAACTCCCCTGCGGCGTGGTGATTGTTCGGACTGCCTCGCTGCTGCTTTTCGAGAAATTGCTCACGCGATTTCACAGAGTAATGATGGAGTGCCCACACATCATGTGTGATAGGGACCCTCTTGATCATGCACTCATCACCCTTCTCCCCAACCGACACAGTCCCGTAAGCAGTTCTCATGTTATGCACACTATTCACGCCGTCGAAGAGGGCTGTCTTTGCAAAACTCTTGACATGAGAATTCTCCTCATCAGCGTTTCTTCCATCTGGACGGTCGACCACGCAACGTCGGAAACCCTTACGAGTGTCGCTTTGCGGTCGTTTTTGCTGACCTCCAGAGTTATGAGTGATCCAATTGACAGACAGCGCGCCGACTGTCTCATTCTTCTCCCATTGGTGTAACCAGTCCACTAAGGTAGTTGCACGCCGCATCTCGAGGAATTCGTCGGCATCGAAGAAGCCCATCCACGTGTGGCGTTCGCCGAAGTTCTTGACGCAGTAATCTGCGTATATTGTGTGCTGGAAAGGCTGCGGGCGGTCAGGGACACGCGGAATGTATGTGAATGTAACAGCGGAGCGAGGGACGGCGAAGGGAGGAATGCCGAAATTAGGGGTGTAGGAGAGGGGAGGATCGCTGCCATCATCCATGACATAAAAGCGGCGGACACCATGGTGGTAGTAGTAGTGGGCTAAGAACTCATCAAGGTCACCAGGTTGGTCTTTGATGGCGAGACATAGCGAGACGTATTCTTCATCATCAGCCGGTGGCAGAGGAGGGAATGCAACTGTTAAGTTGTTGAGGATCGGTCCAGCGTCTTCGAGACCGGGTTCCGAGTCTGGCGATGAGACAGGGGCTTCCTTAAAGGGAATATTTGCGGGAGGTTTTGTAGACGTCAATAATGGCTTGTCAATTGGCCTTTCATCATCCCTCAACCAGGTCAAGGACAAAAATATGAAGGCCAGACATGCGCAGAAGCCAAGATATTTACAACCGCGTCTCGGGTTAGAGGTGATGAAATGAAGCCACGAATCATTGCTGAGTGATTGCGAATGGGCCATAGTCGAAGGGCTTCACCTCATGCTAAGAGAGGGATGAAGAGCGTAAGGATGTTAGGAAGGTGCTCATGCGAGAAAAGAGCACGGGGAGGTCGCATGATGAAAGATCCGACTGTCACGTTGGCAAGGGGCTACGACCGGCAAGTGTAAGGTAGGTAAGGTAGGTGTACCTTAAGGTAGGTACTAATGATCGACCAACCAATCTAAGCGCTAGTGATGACGCGGCCGTTGTTGGGGGTATTTAGTTCGTATTAGGTTCGATTCCTAAGGTGGTACAATGGTGTTGCGGTGCTTTTTATTTTCTGCGGCCCGAGGCTCCATCGCCTACCGTACTACGGCAACCCATTTGGACCAGTGTAGGCCGTCCACATTATAATAAGGTATTGCTTTGAATTCTAAGGAGTATAAACTGTGGCGTATATCTCTATAGCGTATATTTTATATTATAATGATAGTAGACGAGATAGTTATAGCTATTAATAAGTGTAATATCTATAATTAATAGTATACGCTAAGAGTATAGACTGCTTAGTAATAAATATTTAGTGTAGATATCTACTCTAGCTCTAGCCTCGCTCTCGCGAAATAGTCTTATACGTTGTGATAACGAATTATCCTTTTGCCAAAATTCAAAAATCGAAACTTGTTGGTTGACCCTCTGGTCCAAATGGGTTGCCGTACTTACAAACTTTCAAGGGGGCCAAAGTAGAGTACGAGGGTACTCAACAAATCAATATAATTCACAAGTTTGGAATGCTTCTCTCGACCTCGGTCTCGGTCTCAACATCCTTCCCTCGATCCATCAAAAGTAGGATTCATGGACTTCACTAAGCTACAATTGCTTGAATCTGGTGTTCGGACTACCTCGCTGTCCGTACGAAGTACGGAGTAGACACGGGTGGAATACGACCATGAACCAATGACTTGCCAGTATTATGCATTTGCAGGCATGACGGCTCATTGCAAGCCACTTTGAAATCAAAGCCCCTTGTTGCCTGAAGTAGCAGGTATTGCCAATCGGATCTGCGAGGAAAACGCGCGGAGCTTACCTTTTAACGTGTAGGATTCGTAGCTTGATTGTTGGCCGATTGACTTGCCCATCGAGTAAGGTCTGGAACCCGCAATTCAGCTTTGTCGGATTGAATTCCAGCGTGACTGGGTTTGCTGTCATGTAGCAGTCCAATAGCCAATAAAGCTCAGCTCTGGGACTTTCAACAAGTGGATGCTATTCTATTGAGGCACCAGGAGGAAATGTACTAGACCCGCCGGAAGTAGCAGACTTGGGCCGCAGTCGAATGTACAGCTCATACATCTCAGCACAGTGAAATAGTAGAGGTAGCTGTCGAGTCTGTGAAGTACATTACTACTATACATCATTCGACAAGATTATCGATCGAGTAACCTAGAGTAGGCGAAATGTATGAGCGGCTTATCGATAGTGGGAGCTTGGTCTTGGCAAGATTGAGGGGACCTCGGGACAACGGTTGCTAGGGTGCTAGGCAAGATATCTCCGGCCAACTTTTCTCTCAATTACAAGGCATCTCATGAATAGTACTCAGGGTACTGGCGATCTAATGATTGCGAGCTCTCATCATCTCAGAAAGCCTTGGATTTGTACTTGACCGCCATTGACGCTCCTTCGAATTGCACTACTTCCTGGTCTTTGCATCCACAATCGAAATAAGAAGTAGAGCTGTCGCATGGGAGGTTCACAGAGGAAGGGGATCTAAATATCTCCATCACAATCTCCATACCAGTCAGGAGTTCACCGTGGCACCTTGTAGGGTACATTCGTCATGTCGCCGTCCCCAACGCTGGCCCCGGCGGGCAGCAGCTCTTACTCTTCAAATTCAATGACAGTAGGGGATGGAACATGGGACACTACAAAGAACACGTTCCTGCTACCGAACCTTGTGGGATTAAACTTCGCAACAATGCGGTACAACGGTATGCCACGTGCACATTCCAGTCCCACGTGAATAGGGATCTGACATTTCACAGGCATGGGAAACCGTTTCGCACAACAACCCCATTACCATGACCTTATCAGGGCCCACGGAATCATTGCGGCAATCACATTCCTCGCTATTGTCCCTGCTGCTATTCTGATAGTACGGTTCTACGGCCGAAACCCTAGATGGGCGTTGAGGTTCCATATATGGCTACAGATTTTGACACTCCTTCTAACGACGGTAATATTTGTTTTGGGATGGTTTGCCGTAGGACCCTCAAGAAGCTTAACGAATCCTCACCATGGAATTGGGTTGGCAATATACGTTTTGGTTCTCTTCCAATTCATTGGGGGTTGGTGGGTTCACCGTAGAGAGAAGATGAAGAGGAGATTATATGAGCCATTGAAGGTTATGGTACGTTTTGCAACAGTACAAATCTCTATATTCTCGACTTACAAAAGTAGTTCCACCACTGGATTGGTCGCTTGATCGCTCTTCTAGGGCTCGCACAGATACCTTTGGGACTTACACTTTACGGGTCTCCTCTTGCACCGTTTGTACTATATGCATTAGCCGTCTTTGTGCTTCTTGTCACTTATTTCATCTTGACGCATCTGCGAGAAAGACGAGGTGGAAATGACTACGACAGTCGATACAGCTATGGTACAGGAAGCGTGGTAGAAGACCGACGACCTGGGCGAAATGAAGGGCGCACAGGAGGTCGGACAGGGAACCTAGTCAAAGGCGCAATAGCCGGCGTAGGCCTGTACGCACTCGCCGACCGATTCCGGCGTCGAAGATCAAAAAGCCGAATTGATCCTGTCGGCGCACCTGGCGTTGGTCCTGGTGGTGGCCCCGAAGTGGTTGGACATGGAAGGCATTCGAGCTCCTACGTTGAGGACGAAAAATACTCCGACTACAGCAGAGATCATGAGGGAGATGGTGTATGGGAAGACAGGTTATTAAGGATCGCCGCCCCAATTGGAGCAGCGGGATTGGTTGCGAGATATTTTGATCGGAGGTATCGGGATCGAGATAGTGATGTTGGAGAGTACGGTCCACCTCTCGGAGGAGCTACCGCAATCAATGAAGGTAGACATGGTGAAGGTCGACTACCTCCTGGCGGGCCGATCCCTCTCAATCAGCCCCTACCAGAGAATCGGCACCCTCTCAATCAACCTTTCCCTGACGGCCAGCATCCTCTCAATGAACCCTTTCCTCACGGACAACGACCTCCCAATCAACATCTCCCTATCGGCCAACGATCTCCCAATCGCCGCCCAAGTGATTTGACCTACTCTAATTATGGAAGCGCCAGCGGCGAACCTCGAAGAGGACATGGCTTACGAGATGGCATTGCAACCCTTGGCGTGTTAGGTTTGGCACGGAGCATTTTCAACAGAAGACGAGAACGCAACCAAGATCAGCAGCTTGCGGAAGAACAAGAAGCTCGAGTCCACGGTGGACACCTTACAGGCGACGGCCGTCCTCCTCGCCACCACCGACCTGGTTCATCAAGCATTAGCAGCGATACTACGTCATTGACTGGCATTAACCGTCCCCATCACGGTAGTGGAATTCCACCAACCCCAGCAGGTGCATACCCTGCAGGCGCTGCTGGGGCTGCCGTAGCTACCCACGAGCGCGATAGGAACCGCAACGAAGAGTTGCCTTTAGGTGGCATACCCCGTAATGGACAGGTCGCTATGCCACCAATACCACCCGATCCGCACGGTATTTTCCATGCTGATTCTTCTGGTTCCGAAGTATACATCGGCGAAGATGGTAGAAATCATTGGCGGCACCATGCCGGTCGTGACGCTGCTGCAGCAGGTATAGCAGGAGGAGCAACCGGTCTGGCTGCTGCAGAAGCTCCAGAAGCGTCGTCTAGTCGCCGAGATCGACGAGACCGTCGTCAGTCAGCCGGTGGAGGCACACCCGGCGTGGCCTCGCGGCCTGTCAGCGTCAAGGTTAAGATGCACGACCATGGCCGTCATGTTACCCTCCGACGACTGCCAGAGGCAGAAGCGGCCGCAGAGCGAGAAGCACGAGAAGCGCGACGACGTTCCCAAGAGCGATCTGGTAGGCGTAGAGGAGACAGCGCCAGCTCCCTCAGTGGTACGGACGGCAGTGGAGACCGTTTCAGACGGAACCAATTTCAGGAGCGACAGCAAGCTGAGGCCATGAGGATCGAATCCGAGAGACTGGCGGCAGCCAGGGCTCAAGCACAGAAGCAGAAGACCTCCATGAACGTGCCTGCACCTCCGCCAATACCTGAGAGCTCATCGAATCTACGGCCTCCCCGGGCGGCTAGCATAGGTAGCCCGGGAACATACGATGGCAACACCACCGAAGCCAGCGCAGACTATGCAAATAATCGGCGGAGAAGAAGAGCAGAGCGAGCACAGGCGAAGCAAGCGAGAGAAGCAAAGGGTGGGAAGACCGTTGAGTTTGAATAGTAGGGGTTTGCGAGAGATCTGGCGTGATTGAGGGAAGAATTATGTATTTGATAGCGAGGCGTTCTGCTTCTCATATTGGTCTAGAAGCTGTAAAAATAGTCAGCATAAGCATGGACACTGTTACAAAAATGGCTCAAGATTAATAGCCTTGCCTCCAAGAATTCTTCCACCATCGTTCATACAATGCCTCGCCCACAAATACGCCCGCTTTGCATTAGACCGCTCTCCACGTCCTTCTGCCTTGCAACATGTTCACCATGCCGCCTCTCATCTACCTCCACTGCCTCTCCTAAAGCTCCTGTAACAGCCGCCCTCCCAGCCCGTTGGCTGTCAGATCTCAAGCAACGCATCGGGAAATGCATCATGTTTGGCCTCAACCAAGAGCAGATTGACGAAGTGGGGAACATAACACGGATTGCGGCGAGAGATTGGCGGCAGTTGCTCGCGGGCTCCGAAGGGTTTCTTACGGGAAGGGGCAGGGCGGGATGTGAGGGAAGGGAGGTGGTTTGGGGGGAAATGGTGAGTGTCTTCTAGGCCCTCGGGTCACGAGAGGCGAGGAGAGTGATGGGTGGGATCTTGGCTGACTCGACGGGTGGTGTTTGGTTTAGGACGTAATGGTGAGTAGTAATTCTCATTTCTCGTCAAGAGGTACGGTGCGCTGTTTTTGTGCCTGCTACACACTGTGCTATGTATCGTGCTGCACTCATGCCAGGTCCAATTCTGATGTGCCTGTGTCTCCAAGTCTGAGTTTCTCTAAGACCATGCAAACTATCTTGTCCTTCTGATCTACGTTTCTCAATAAACCATGGAACTTAACGCCAGGGAAGGGTACGAAAACACGCTCGCAGTGACTCATGTTTCTCCCTGACACGATCTTCAAGGCCACGTGAACAACGTCACATACGTTCGATATGCTGAATCGGCTCGCATCAACTGGGCTCAGAATTTTGCCAATCACATAGATCCAAAGCACAAGAAGGAATGGTCTGAGCTTTGGACACCAAAGGGTGACGGACTAATACTACGAAGTATGAAGACGGATTACAAGTTTGTACATGAATACTCCAAAAGAACGACGTTACCGACGGTGGGTCCCTGACTCCTTAACAGCCCATGGCCTGGCCAGACCGGATATCAGTTTACCACAAACTTCGAGCAGCTCCCACAGCTACGACAGACTCTTTTATCCTGGATGTGCTGATACTCTCCGAGCGATATCAGCGCCCAGCGGCAAGATGTGTTGAGGACATTGTGGTCTATGACTACCGGCGCGGGGTCAAGTCGCCTTTGAGAAATTTTATGGTGGAGAAACTCGGGGAGACATTCGAGCTACAGGAACAATCAAGGATACGGAATGAAAGGAGAGTAAGAGACCTGCTGCAGAGAGTCCAAAGGCTCGAAAAGCAAGTTTGGGACAGGCCGGATGCTGTGGAGGATATGGGAAGCGCTTGAAGCCTTGGTTGGTTTGGCTTGTCATTGAATCTCAAAGTGACTGTCAAAGGCTCTTACATTACGTTACTTCTATCCATGTTATTGACCTACACAAATAGAGAGACAAAGTATGGCATAAAGAACTGAGTCTTCTTCGATGTATTATCTAATGTATACAAAACACGCACGACGATCCCTTCAACAGGAAAAGAGTGCCATTTTTAGAAGCGGCGCATGTCTCGGGAAGTCGGGCGCTCGGGAACGCGCTTGAGACATCGAAGGTCAGCCAATGAAAAATTGCTGGTGCTGTAAAGTAAAGTAGTATCGAAGACAAAGTAAAGAAAGGTATGCATGCTTACTGCATAAGTGATGTGGAACACGAGGCTCACACAGAGCGCTGCCTCAGGCCCAATTGGGCCTCCTCGCCGGTGGCTTGCATGAGCCAATCCAGGTCAATGCTGCGCCTGCATCAACACCGATTGCGAGGGGTCTAGACGTACGCCTCCGTGATCTTCGTCATAGAATGCACCATGCAACATGCAACATGCAACATCAGCAACTAAATGGACTGTGACATTGGAGTGTGCAAAAGGCACCCAAGCTTGTGCAGCCACGATGCACTTACATGATGTGCCGGGCTGTTTATGGTACTGTCTCGGGTCTTCCGTTTGTTTGTCTCAAGATTATCTAGATCTCCTTTTTCCCGAGGAAAAGGCTTGATGCATCTGGCGACCTACACCAAGCACCACTTCTCTGATTTTCTTGGTCGTTCATTTATGTATTGCATGATCCTTCAGATCCCTTGTCCTCTAAACAACAACGTCATCCCTCTTGCAATCCTTCTTGCCATCGCTCTTGCCATTGCCCTGTATTGATGAACGTCTTCTGATCATGGAGCACGGTTCCGAACAAACTGATGGCCTCCTTCGACAACCCAGCTCACATCTGTCGGACTACTCTCTCAACTCCAACTCTACACTAGTGACTTCTCCATCCTCGCCACCTTTTCATCGTCACGGTCATCGACGAGCGACCTCGGTCGCTGACGAAGATGCCTCAGACCATAGAGCCGACGTACCACAGCAAGACGGCCATGGGCTGGGCATTTCGAGTCTCAACGAGCAGAAACGAGTGTCGATCACTGGGAAACCTGTTGAAAGCAAAAGCAGCTCGATAAATCCTGGATCCGCTGACCTGCTCTCACCAATGTCGGCATATCGACCAGGGGAGGATCGCCGTGACGATGAGCAAGATGAAAACCTCCACAGTGACTCCAACCTTTCATCGCACCAAGCGTTCACGGCAAGTTCAGATCACGAACCGCTCTATAACGCCTTTCCTCGCTCCGAAGGGGACTTCGAATGCAGACTGAAGAAACGTCCGGAGAGCCGCCGCGGCAGTTGGTTGGCAGTCTCGATTTTGATACTGTCAATTTACTCAACAGTGTTCTCGGGTTTGTGGCTCTCGATTGCGATCATAAGACCACGATATGGGCATACTGTCTCAAAAACCGGCGGATTGCCTTTTACAACTGCATCTACTCTGTTTGCGGCTTTCGCGAAAACGATTGAGTTGTCTTTCGTCACAGTGTTTGTCGCTTTCATTGGGCAAGCCCTGAGTAAAAGAGCGCTCTTTCAACCAAAAGGCGTCACGATTGCAGAGATGTCCATGAGATCATGGGTCATGCAGCCTGGGACGATGATCAGCCATTGGGGATCTGTACGGTACGCCGGTGCTACAGGATTAGGCGTTTTTGCTCTGCTAGTGGCTTTGATGGCAATGATCTATACGACAGCATCAGACGCTCTAGTGACACCAGTACTAAAGTTTGGCCAGACTGAAAATCGATTAATGTATGGCAAAGTCTCAACGTCATTTGCGAACAAATACTATATCGAGGACAAGTGCAATACGCCGATTCAACAGGCAACGGACCCTGAAGCTTACGGCGAAACTTGCATCCAAATAGAGCATGCGGGCCAAGCATTCCATAATTATATGCAATACTTGACAACTTGGGTGGATAACATCAGCTCGGGGAACACCTCGGCCAACATGAAAAACCGGCCAGATCCAGTGGGCATGGTACGTGTTCTCTTCACTGGCACCGACGCTTAGATTGCAAGAAGTGTTCTGGGAGCGAAGGCTCGTTTTCACACGCCAGAGCTATCTCATCATTTCAATTCATGCATTGAAACAGACGTGCTAACTCCAAGTCCTGCGTAGCTCTATGACAATACGACTCTGAAAGGAAGCTGGACACATCTACAGGACATGAGTCTTCTTTCGGAGCGTTACGGGAGAATCGTAAACAATGTCACTATGGTAATGCCGCATGCTGGCGTTGTCGCAGCGGCGATGGATCCACTCAATGGCATTCTACAGCCATCGGACCTCAACGTAAGTCGAAACCCGAGGAGGAAGTCCCTTCTCTGATCTGATTTGTTACAAGGGGCTCGGCACGTATTCCGTTCAGGCTTCGGTTCCATCGCCTGTTGTCAATGTTCTTTGCGCAGATGTATCAAGCGAAGATATGGCTCCAATGGTTTTTACTGAGTGGCCATCAGCACACCTCAATGGTAGCAGCCCGAACGTGACTAGTTGGACTACTGATTATAACCTCACGACTCCCAGCTCGCTGGTTCACACAGCTGTGGACGATCTTTTTGAGTTCGACGACATCCAGACTCATCCGATCTTCTCCAATTTTCCGAAATTAAACAACACTGTCCTCAATGTCTCAAGTGTCTATGGTCACGAATCAATTTATCTGCTCGCTACTTCTGCAACCGGCACATATACAATGTGCTCGATGCGTGTGGCACAGTCACCAGATTGCTTCACGGAATACAATGCCAGCATGAGTGGAGGATCCTTAACTTCGCACTGTGGCGATCTCCCCCTTGCATACAGTAAATCGGAACCAAAAGCTCCCAACGGCTTCTGGGAGAAAGACTGGGTCAATGTCGCCTCGGAATGGGGCTTCGGATTGAGCTTAAATGCTGGTATCACCGACGGAAACGGTGCCATCTCTCGGCTCCTCACCCAGCTCATACCCACGACGAGCGCGCTCGACCCCGATCTTCCATCGATCTCTGAAGCGCTCGCCGTGCTAGCGGGCTGTACGCTTATTCTCTCTTCCCAAGGTGCACCTTTCATCCACTACTGGAACTACACGGCACCGGAAAATATCCTGACGGGTCCGCAGTATCAAGCTTTCAACGCCACGCTCAAGACACAAGAGTACCAATCTGGCGGAGATCAAACCTGGCAGAGTATGTTCTATATTGTGCTTGTCGTCGTCTTTGTCGCCAACGTCTTCTGCTTGGTATATTTCGTTATCAGCGGCAGTCATATCACGGATTTCATGGAACCGCAGAATATGTTCCCTCTATCCGTCAATTCGCCACCTAGCGCGGTGGTCGACGGTAGCTGTGGAGGTAGCCTAGAGAAAGAGCAGTTCAGGGCAATTTGGCGTATCATGCACGACAGTGAGCGGGAGCACTTATACATTGAAAGCAGAAATGGTGTGCCAAAGCACGCGCACAAACGGAGCCATTCGCGGCAGACAGATTTCGAAATGAAGAGTCCGATAGAGAGTATGTACAGCGAGCTTGGTCGGCAGAGGACAAGTCGGCTATAAACAGTAGCGGTGGGAAGGAGGAAGACCCGCGATTATCCGAAGAGCCTCACGCTCGACCACAATATACTTAGAATTGTCGATGGTTTGGCGTACTCAATGCGCTGCGGCAGGTGTATCTTCTCGAAACTTCCATAGATAATGAAACGAGGAAAAGAGCAGAAGAGGTCTGCTGTCCACAAGACGCCTCCTTAAGACTGCACCTACACATGCATTACCACTTTTCCTGGGCCACTCGTTCTGACAGCCTGCCTGTACACTGCCGGAGATGAGGTGCACAGTGCATACTCCGCCTCACAATATTGATGAAGATAACACGTATCCTGATTCCTGAGGGTTATAAGTTTAATGGTCTCAATGTACGGTAATACTGATGGGCTCCTCGAATGGATGATAATCATCAAGCAAATTGTGAGCTGGCAGGAAATAAAACTGCCATCGTATAGTCCGTGCTTCCCGAAACTCAAAATTAGACCTCCGTACAAGTTAAGCGACACAAAGCTTTGCCGATTGAACCTCAACAACAACCATAACAATACCAACAGCTGGCCCACGCCAATCTTGTTCCTCAAACTGCGCGGATATTATACCTGTTCGTACAGCTGATGAGGGACCTCAGTGCATCTGACTGAGCTGGAGGAAGAGCCTCTTCATGCCACGAGCAGGAAACAAAGCACGAGGTTTAAATCAGCACAACACCCGCCATGAGAACGGCGTCGTCGCCCCGGGCAAGAGAATAGCAAAGCAGAAGTCGAATGGTCATCTCAATGGGAGCGCCGATGGGACCTCTCATTCAAAGCCTCTGCCGACTTCACCCTCTTCTGCTGCTCGCACGACAACGCGGCTGCCTGACACAAGGACGAACGATGAGTCCTCAAATACACAAGGTGGTTATCAACACGCGGAAGAGAAGGGGCCAATAGAGAGTTTGCCCGAGGCTTCAGAGAGACAGTCAAGTGAAATGAATTGTACCAACGGCTCCGTCGAGCACGCACATCGCAAGATCGATGTGAATGCCGCAAAGAATCCTATGGTCCACGATCATAGCATATGGCACCTCGCTCTCACAATTCTTAGATCTTGTCCACTTGGCGACACCCTTGCGATCCTCATCTTCCTTCTCTCGCTGCCTCCAACAATGTTGACTGTCACCAATGCTCTGTTTGCCGTGCTGACCTTCATCACTCCCACTGGCTCGTCATCTTTACCAACCAGCTTCGGCGATATCTTCCAAGGGTCAGGAGGCACTCCTTCGTTGGCCACAATCATTGTGACGGATGTTTTCGGCTTGTTTCTATGGTTGGTCATATGGGCACCAATGCAAACGCTTTGCATCGAATTGGCACAAGCCGTGGTAGCGACACAGTTAGGGGGCGGCAACGCCAGTAAGAAGAAGGGCTCGGATCGGACTCTGCTCTGCATGGGCATAGTAACAGCTAGTCACATGGCCCGTCATCAATGGATACCAAAACGACTATTCGGCTACGACTGGTCCGCTATCCTATCTTCCATACCCTATGCATCGAAAAGTCCCACGTTATTCTCTACGAATGATTTCATACCAACACGTTCGCCAGCTGGCTGGTTTCGTATTCTGATTGCGCTTCACGTATTAATTCAAGGGTTGGTCCACATTGCCAGGAGATGGATCCAGAAGCGAGAATACTCTCAGCCAGTCTCTGCCAACAACAAAATGGACCCGGAGGCAAGAGCGGGCTCCCCAGTCCGTCCCACCGTCATAGCCTCTGCCGAGCCAAGTACTCAGGGTGTTTCCGTTGCTCCTGATTCCGTGGCGAAAATTCCATCGGCGAGCACAAAAGAAGCACGAGACAAAATCTCAAGCGGCAAAAAGAAGCGAAAGCAGGGCACCTATGTCCGAAGTCAGCAACCTCTGTGGGCCGCATTCGCTCACACTAAGATTACAATATTGCGCGAGTACGAGCAGTCACATACCCATTCAGAAGTCTCAGGGGCCAATGCTATCGATACAAGAAACCTTGGGAGTGCTCCATTTGTTTCCGAGGACGGTTGTGTTTGGATATCGGATGTGCTGCCCACCAGCTTTCGCTTCAACGCAAGCTCCTTCACAATGCCGAGGTCGGGTGTTCCTGGTCCCGAAAAACTAATTATCAACTCCAGTGCTGGCATTGATCGTTCGAAACCCCTCTATGTGCGCATTAATGACACTGATTGGACATCGACGACATTCGAGGCGACTGCAACGGACGAGAGCGCAGATGGCCAGTGGACTGGCGAAGTCTTCGGACTTTCGCCGTCTTCCAGCTACAAGTGCAGCTTCGTCCAGAGCGAGGATGGTGCGGTAGTCCATTCTGTAATAGTCACCACACCACCCTCGCTCCCTGCCGAGAACGGTACTGCCAGGCCATTTGTATCTTGGCAATTTCAATTGGCTAATTTATTGCCAGATTCTTACGTATCGTCAGCCCTCCCTGCCCATCGACCACACCGCCCATCGTCGCCTACAAGTCCCACGACGACCTTGAAGAACTCAATTGCAGCGTTCGAGTCGAGTCTTAGCGAAGCTCAAGCTCGCCAGAAAAGGAGTAAAAAGGATAATAAGACAGCGTCTGCGTCCCTCAAGAAAGATATCGAAGTTTTCAGTGCTAAAATTTCCAAACTCGGAGGCGAGGACAAGGCTCATCTGAATCGTCACTTGCAGTGGAACCAGCATACCCGGCAAGCGGATGAAGCAGTCGCGTCCCTCTCATGGGAAATTGAATCAATGGGCTGCCTTCCGGAAGATGAGATCAGAGTATCCAAAGAAAGGAAAGCCGGCTGGGACGAGGCAAGGACGCATCAAACGGCTACGAGAGACGACCTCTTCCGTTGCAAAGAATCTGCGCATCAAGTGAAGTCTTCTATCCATGCTGAAGCTACTTCGACACAGCAGAAAAAGGAGCGCTTGGTTGCACGAAAGTCCAAACTCAATGATCAACACGACAGACTTGAGTCAGCTACCAGCCAGGGTCTCGACGAAAGGCAGCGCAAGAACTCTGAGCAAGCTGCAAAAGATGTGGAGCGCCTTCAGATCGAGCACAGGTCCGTCGATCAAATGGCGCACTGCCGACAAACCATACAAGATAGTCGACATGTGACTCAGCAAATCTGGCACCAAGCCCAAACAGTTGAAAGCGCATTTCATGAGCAGCAAATGATGAGCACTCCGGACGAAGAACGTCCAATCACACCCGAAGGTGACCTTCCTGGTACCGTACCTCATCATAGCGGTGCACCAGCGTTCCGCTTCCCAGCCTTTGGCTCTCCAGATCCACCCAACGGCATCCGCAGCCATTCGGGCTCTTTCCGACACAGCGACAATCGACCGCGCTCAACTTCCATGCTTTCCGGCAACAGTGTTTATGCTGACTTTGAAGACCAAGATCCAGCACCACCGATGCCGCCCAGAGCCGTAGAAGTGATTAGAGAGAGGGGTAGGAAACAGAGTGGAGGCAGTGGCAGTGGTAGTTCTGGTAGTCAGCGTGATCCAGCGAGTCCGATCGTGGGTAGTGCTGCACTGCTGAGTCCGGGCAAGAGAAGTCCAGTATGGAATCATTGAGTATGATGCAAGCTGCGCTACCGCTCTCGTCGTAGGCATTTCCAGAAGTCAAGCAAGCAGTCTATCTTCATATATCCTGTGTGATCTACGTGAATCAATTCTATGGAATACTAACTGGAAATCAGGGATCGGATGCTGTTCTGATGCCGTCTTAGACTAGGATGGTTGGTAAGAACCTCGAAAATCTCCATTGCCCATGTGGAAGCCTTGAGTATAGCTCCTCCTCTAATATCATGTCCTCCATGATCGAGTGACATGCTTTTCATAATATAACATGCAGACCTGAGCATAACTGCAAGAACAGATCGTCTTTCCACTAATCAAGTTTTGCCTTCGACCAAGATCATCTCACCAAACGACTTTGATGTATCCTAATTCTCGCTTCGCTCCTGCCCCAAAAGTTTGCAAGTAATTACTCACGGTATCTATCTCTCGCAATGAATCTTTACAGGGCACTCCGGATCTAAATACTTCTCTCATCGTGACAATTTAAGGTCAGACCCCAAGCCTAGGAGCGACTGACTTCTTGCTCTTTCATGTCAGTGAAAAAGAACGAGTATGTCTCCACTCCTCCAGAAGCGTCGGCCACCGCAACCGCCTGACCCTCCCACGTCATCAGACCAGCGGATTCCGAATCGATCACCTCAGAGCTGGTTTCGACCAGCGAACAACCCATCTCGATCTCCATCCAATCTAGCAAGAACTCAGCATCCTCATCGCGCCCTCGGCTTCTCATCGATTAGAGAGCTTGCTAGATCCTCCTCACGCCAGACACTTCACACGCTTCCAACAGCTACGTACCAGCAGCCATACTCTCACGGTTGCTCTCCGCCAAAAGATGGAGAAGTGAGGCACCCGATTGCAGCTAAAGACCCGGGCTTTCCCTTACCGTCAGGTTCCGGGTTGCAACACTCTCGCGGTTCCAGTGTCGAATCACTTCCCATTGATAAGAGTGGCATCTCAAACGATTCTACTTACGCAACAACACCGTCGCCGGCAAAGCACCCCGCGTTTCAACTACTCGAATCAGGCTCTCCTGTACAGCGGAAGAGTATGGGCAACAAAGCCTCGACGGTGCTCAGGAAACCTATTCCACCCGAGGGTAAGCAGAGCTCAGCGACAATCACCACGGACCCAGATAAATCTCCTGGACCATCACGCAAGCAGGCGTCTACTGGAGCACAACAGCCGGCGACCTTCCCAGCACGCGGATCTTCCATCATAGTCAATGTGCCGCGGCGGCGCTCTTCCTTGACCGTCCTTCATCTCGACAGCTCCCACTTCGAGACACCTGACCCTCAGCATCAAAATTTGCAACATAGAGCGAGTACACTTACGGAGCCGCGCCGTCGGCCAAGCATTCTTTCAGAGACAAGACGCCCCATCACCACCATCGTGACATCTTCCAGCGACACAACGCCCACGATCGAGGTACAAAAACGTGAGACGCTATCACCAGCCTTCCTCTCTCCACCATTGCTTTCTCCCCCACTCTCCACCTCTCAGCTCTCATCAGCTTCATCGCAAGCGCATTCCTTTAACTCTCGAAATTCGGTGATACCAGCCTTTATCCACCTGCCAAAAACATATCCGGACGGTCCGATTCCGGTGCCTGCGCCGCCACTGACAATCACCCATCACAGATGCTACCAATCACACAGACGTATATTGTTGTCGAGGAACAAAGTCAATCCGGTCCCGTGCATGACGTGTGGGGAGACGGAGGGCGAAGCGAGGTGGAAATGCATATGGTGCGCGCTGAGAATCTGTGGGGTGTGCATGGCGGAATTCGATGCGAAGCATAGAAATTTGGATAAGTTCCTCGCTTGTCTTGAGAAGACTAAGGAGGGCAGCAAAGAGAGCCGGGGCAAGGATGAGGTCCAAGGGTTGGATGGTAGAGGAGAAGAACGAACCGAGATTAAGAAAGAGAACGTGCCGAGCAACAGGGAATCGCAGAGGCTAAGCACTGCAGCAAAGGTTAAGCTCCGAACGGCGTCGAAATGAGGCGGTAGGGATCTTTTAGGCTGGCGGGTCAGTTTGATGGCAAGGGTGTTGCTATGTATAAGTACGTGACTGCACGCTCCTTCGTTGCATGAGCATTTTGCGGCATGGCTTTGGTTGGACTTCATCTGTTATGTTAAAGATTGCACATGTGCTAGTATAGCCCTCAGATTATACTCCGTATCTCTGGCTTGTAGAATATCGTCTCGATCGTTTCGCACTTTAGCAGCCTCATTTCTCCCCATCATTCTTGTCCTCTCCACCCATCAGCCCCCAAACCCACTCTCTATACCGGAATACCTCTCCTCTTCCACCACCGCCGCCGGAGCCTTTCATCTCCTTACCAAAAGCCTTTCTCCCCACAAACCCACCTAATACCTCCTCTATCTCCCTAGCATTGACTCCCCTCTCGCCCGGATCAGGCGCAGTGTGCAACAACGCATCTTTCAGCTCCCCTACATCTATCTCTCCACTGTCATGATCATCAAATGCAGCCAACGCATTTATCAATTCTGTCTGCGAGGATAATGGCGCGAGGAGAGACGACAGCGTTGAGAGAAATGTGGGAAGAGGCAGCGTTTGTGGCGCCCCAGGCGGGAAGAATTGCGAAGTTGCGGTTGTGGATGCATCTTGGCCTGTCCTGCGTATCAGCGGGCTGCATCCTGTGTTGTGAATGTAGGTCTGTCGGGAGTCGCGCACCAAGATTCGTAAGCATGTCCACCACATCGTCCCTATTGACCAACCCATCATTGTCCCGATCCAAAATCTGAAACCCCTCGCGCATCTCGCGCACTTGGGAAGCGGGCAGTTTGGACAACGCGTCAGCGTTTACCATCGGCTTTCCTGTAGCGTATGATTGATTCGCGGCTATCATGGTAGCGGTGCTGGAGCTGCGGGTAGGAGAAATCGGGGGTTCTCTCGTTGTCAGAGAGGGAGTGGGACCGCGCGGCGTCCAGCTGCCGGAGGCGGAGGGTGGCGTGGCGGCATTTTGTAGTTTGAAAGGGGACGTGAGTGGAGTTTGTGGGGTCTTGGTTGGGGAGGTTGTGGGTGTCGTCGCGAGGTTCGCTGGGGAAGGTGGGGAAGGAGATTCCGGGCGGCGGAAAGGTGAAGCGGGGGATTCCGGGCGTTTGAACGGGGAAGTCCGTGGGGAGCCGTATGAGAGGGGGGAGGGTTTGTAGGCTGGTGGTAGGGACTGGGGGTTGTTTGTCAGTGTCGATTTGGGTGCAATGGGGGGTTTTGAGCACGGATTGGGGAAGTGGAGAGGTCACCATCTTGATCTCGGCGCAGCAATGTATGTCTCTCTGATAGTTGATACGGAGCCGAAGTTGCCAGGGTATCTTCAAATCGCGTCAATCGGTATGGACTTTTGTAGGGGCCCGAAATTGGCAAAAAGTAAACAGAGCTTCGATTTACTGCCAAGCCCGCGCCAAGGGTTCAGCCGCAATCTATAGATTAGGGTGTAGAAACCCTGAGCTGCAAGGGTCGTTGAAGATCACAGAACCCCTCGATTCGACCATGTCACCCTAGACGGGAAGTTGTGGCACGAACTAATAGTGGTGGTGTCTCCTTAATATCTATTTCATAATCTGTTGATACGACCGTGATGAGTACACATGCTGCAATTGGCTATCGTTATTCGGTGTTTGTGAGTCGAATGCATACAAGTATGCGCCTTCCCGTCAGACCGCCAGACTTTGTGCTGATCAAAATATAAGTAATGGCGAAGTGAATACCTCTTTTCCATGCTTCTCTTCTTGTATACACCCTTTGAGATACCGTCCTGCCAGCGAATTGACCGAAAATGACCTCTGTCCTATCCTATCGACCTTCTACAAGCGGCACCACTGGTAGTGCAAACACGGTTCTTAATCGCCAGACTTCTCTGTCATCCTTTCCGTCTACTCGAACACCGTCCAATCCTTCCATACGCAATGGTACGAGCACAATACCCCGTCTGCCCCACCGGGAGTCGGTCAGCAGCTCACAGACTTCATCGACCCCTTCCTCGACCAAGCAGACCCCCAAACGCAATGGTGTGACACGGCCGGCAAGAATATTGAGATCGCAGTACCCTGCAGATACGACAGAGAAGCATGTCGAGTATATCCTTGTTGCATCTTTCCACGTTGACCGGGGGCCTATCATGGAACATCAATATCCAGGAGCAATCAGCGGTGACGAAAATATGCTTGCGGAGCTCATGTTACCGGACCAAGTACACAATAGAAAGGAGGATTGGACGATCTTTTTTCTGCATAAAGACACAAGTGAAGAGGAGGAAGCGACAGAAGGCGACGGTGCAGAGAAGGAAGCAGCTACGGAGGATGATGCAGAAGGTGCTGATGGTGAACAAAGCATCACTGATGTTGACAGCGATGCGAACACAGCAGAGGCTGGTGGGGAAGAAGAGGAAGAAGATGCAGAAGGAGGAGAAGGACCGCCGTTGATCTATGTACTAAATTTAGTAAACACCAAACATGACGCATCAGCGAAAAGGTGTGTCCGTACCCTGTCCGAACCAAGGACATGCTGTTCTAACCCACACTTTTGGCAGAGGTGCAGTAGTAAAAGCAATGGCGATTTGTACGCGGCATCCGTTTCTTCACATTTACAAGGTACACAAACCCTTTAATTACCTCCTGGCAATCGAGGAGATCTCGTGCAGAAGCTGACCGAGATTGAAGCCACTTTTGTTATTAGCCCTCGAGGAGTATTTCAAATCGCCTTTCCCGGAGACTTTAGAACATCTATACAACGCAGTTAATTCCATGGATTTATCCCTAATGCCACGACTATCTATGCTTGAACGACATATTCTGCTAGCGAGCGACACCAAAGATTTATTCGTTGAAAAGTTTGATCGCATGATACAACAACGTCTTGCGGAGGAGGCAAAACACGATGCAATATCGTCGCCAGACTCACCATCAAGACCCTCACCATCAAGACCCTCGCCATCAAAATCCTCCCCGGATCTTGTTGGTCACCGACCGCGATACATTGTCCCCCGGGATACACACGAATTCGAGTCCAAGGTTGTGTACAATCAAATCCCCGTCCCAATCAAAGTACCCACTGGCATCTCACCGGAAACTGTCGGCGACTTCTCTCTCATAAGGCTGATCCAGACCTTCTCAGCGCCCCATACTTCTACACCTCAGCCTTTCGCCCTACACCCTCATTTGACTCCTAGCGGCGCCTATACCCATCCAATCATTGTCCTTGTTAACGCATTACTTACCCAGAAGCGTGTCATCTTTTTAGGTCACAACAGACCTTCTGGTGAAGTTGCTGAAGCGGTCCTCGCTGCGTGTGCATTGGCATCTGGAGGCGTCTTGCGAGGCTTCACACGGCATGCATTCCCCTACACGGACCTCACCAAAATAGACGATCTACTCAACGTGCCTGGATTCATCGCTGGTGTCACAAATCCAACCTTTGCCAATCATCCGGAATGGTGGGATCTTCTTTGTGATGTTCCCACGGGTCGAATGAAGATTAGCAGCCGAATAGAAAATGCCGGCATAACAGACGGCTTGGTCTATTTCCAGCAGCAAAATCCCCTTTACGCTCCAAACGCCAACGGAGTAGGTTCAACCGCCTCTGCTCTGGCCTCGAATGGTGATCCGACCGGCGACACTGCTTTTATTGAGGACACGGTCCGTAGCATTAGCTCTCGCCATGGTGAATCAGCCATCCGATCAAAATGGAGAGACTACATCATCAAGTTTACTCGGATTGCTGCTGCCTTCGAGGAATCAGTGTACGGTGCGTCTGCATTATACATCGGAGCCTCGGAAGCTGATGCTGGCGCTCACGGTGTCCGCGGCCATGGATACGTCTGGCCTGATGATGGGACAAAAGCCCGCGAGCTAGGCGCTAATGTCTGGCGGATCGAAGGCTGGCGAAACACTCGTAGCTACTATGTTTTCATTCAAGATCTTGCTGCGATGTGGGAACGTAGACCAATCCGGTCGCTGGATCTTGCTCATCAGCACGACCGTCTTCGAAGTCTGAAGCTTAGCCATGATGAAAGCGCTGCTATCTACCTTGCGCTTTCAGCCTCGGTGAAGACGTACGATGAAGTGTGCCAGCTGTTGTGCGTAACGCCGGAGAGCAATGCGGGTCTGTTCTACATCAGCCTAGGTCTCTTCCATCCTGGTGCCAGGGTCAGGGTAGCAACTGTCGAGCTGCTGGAGCGGATGATGGGACATGAAGTTGGACGGCACTTCTGGGCTCAGCTGGGCCGGTTCGCCAAGCTGGCTTTCTTCAGGGCGAAGAGGGAGATTATGAAAAGCAGTGAGTCAGGAAATAGTCCTGTGGAGAACATGGCGGGCCTGGGATTGGATGCTAGGGTGAGAGCTGGTAGGGGAAGAGCGAGCTGATTGTTCATAGCCTTTTTCGATTGATGATAATGATTTGTTGTGACTTGCTTTGCCGTGGACCAGGTTTTACGCAGTCTAAATACCCTAAGAGCGGATGGTAGTAAAACTACTGAGAGCTATGTTGACGAGGTGTCCCCGTGAATAGTGGTGTATTGCCCGTGCAAAGCAGATTCAATCAATGCTTCTACCGCATGCCTCACAGCTATGGCAACACAATTCCCTGCTAACATATGCAGTCACCTCTTAAGATCTACATCCTTTCTCCAGGGAACAAGGAGGAACGTCTCTGTATAGCTGGATGAAGTGGTCCGCCATGTTGCCCTTCCAGTCAGATGGATCAGGGTGGCATTTAGAAGCTCGAGAGATTCGGTCAGCAGCAAAGATAGCCTTTACAAATCCAATCTTCTCTTCAACCATCGGCCTTCTCTTCGTCCACACCCACCACGTCCCCAACCTTCCGGTAACCGCCTTCGGCATAAACCAACCCTATACCCTCTCCGCCCTCGTAGCCCCCAGACTCCACAACCTTCGCCACGACGACCACGTGGTCTCCCACCTCCACGCACTTCTCTCCCAAAAGCCTGCATCGCATCCACCACGTTCCGCCCATGCCCTCCTTCAAGCGACCGTCACTCTCGATCAAACCATGCCAAACGCTCTCACCGTACGGATCCCCCCGCGCGACTTTGCGCTTCACGAAGGCATCGGCGACCCGCGCATCTTTGAGGCCGCTGGCGGTGAATTCGCAGGAGGCTTTGATGGCGAAGTAAGTACTCGAGGGGAGTCTGATGTTGAAGGAGACGTAAGGTTTGGGAGTCAGCGTGACGGTATTGAACGAGGAGACGAGAAGGCCCGCGGTCTTGGGCAGCTGGTCCGCGTCCTTTCCCTGAACCTCTGGTGCCGGTCCGTCACGCTGGTTTCCCAATGCGCCAGACGCATCGTCTTGGGATTGTTGGGGTGGCCAACGGGATGTGATCACGGTGAGAGGATTCGGCGTGGAGCGCATCAGGTGTCGTATATGAGCCGGGACTGCGGTCGAACGGGTCATTAGTATCCGACAGGGTGCTCGGAACGGTGGAGCATACAGTTGCGCCGAGCTGCATAGCTTGGTTTCCGGTAATCATAGTCGGTCTTTTCGGGGGGAGGATCGTTTTCCTCCGGATCTTGCTCCTTCAGGTGCCTAGAGGCGCTGAAGCTTCTGCCGTACGAGGCAGACGGTGGTGGCCGGCGAAGAAGACGGAGAGCGGCGGAGGAGAAGCCATGGCGCGTGGTCATGGAGGGAGTGCTTGAAGGATGGACGTTGTGTGAAAAGTCATGCCATGGTTAACGAGAGCTCGAGAGCTTTGAGAAGACACAATCGAAGTATCTCCGCAGGTTGATGATCGTTTTAATGGGATTGGTGGTCGAGATGATGGTCGGGGATGCGTCAAAATTTGGGGGGGGGGGGGGGGCCTGGGTGTGTGTGTGTGTGTGTGTTTTTTTTTTTGGGGGGGGGCCCCCCAGCCATATAGGGAAGAGGGGGGGGGTTTTTTCCCCCCCGGCCTTTTGGCCTGTTCCGGTTTTTTTATACAATGTGCTATCTAGAGTAACCCATATATCTGATATATACAAAGATATAGAGAAAAGAGAAGAGAAGAAATAGTGCTAATTAAAGGGGTTATCTTCAGGGCCATACCCCCCATTTTTTCTCTTTCTTTCTTTTTTTTTTTTTTTTTTTTTTTTTTTTTTTTTTTTTTTTTCTTCCTTTTTTTTTTTTTTTTTTTTTTTTTTTTTTTTTTTTTGGGGGGGGGGGTGTTTTTTTAAACTTTTTTTTTTTTTTTTTTTTTTTTTTTTTTTTTTTTTTTTTTTTATAAATTACCCTTTTTTAAGTTTTTTTTTTTTTTAGGCGGTCCTTCTTCTTATATTTTTTTTTTTTTTTTTTTTTTTTTGGTTTTTTTTTTTTTTTTTTTTTTCCCCCCCCCTCCCCCCTTTTTTTAAATTTTTTTTTTACCCCCCCCCTTTTATAAATTTTTTATTAATTTTTAAATTTTTTTTTTTTCACAAAAAGGCTCCTAAAAATCCATCCTAAGGATTTTTTCTACGTCGGCTTCTCTAAGGGCCCCTTTCGGTAACCACATATTTTCAAAATATGCCAACGTATAATACCCCACCTCTTGGCAAATGGAATGTGGGTTCAAAACAGCACTAGTAGACACTTGAAAATATGTTAAATATATGTACGGTTTCGGTTCGGTAACCTCGTAATCTCGCTGAGTAAGAATCGAATGTAGGTTTTAATATTAGTTTAATTTAAAAATTTTGTTTGGGGGGTTTGTTTTTTTGGGTTTTGGGCCTGTTTTTTTTTTTTATAATTTTGGCCGGGGGTTGCTGGGGGGGGCCTTTTTTTTTTGGGTTAAACTTTAATTTACATATTTTAATGTGCAATATGTGCCTGGTATATGAAGTGAAAATATGGTTACCGAACGTAACCGTGTATTAAGAGTACGCTAAGTTGAAAATATGTTGGCATAATTTGAAAATATGTGGTTATCGAAGGGGCTCTAAGTATACTACTACCGTATCGCATAGTAAGTAAGTAAGTATTAGATATATTCTTTTCCATACATCAATAATTATTATCTATGATATCGCCTCGAAATAATAGATCATATATTCGCTCGGGGGTAGATCGGCTAGTTTCGCTAGAGAGTCTTCCGTAAGAGAGTCTATACTCATATTTATTATAAAAACGTATTATCTCTTTAAATTCTCGTCTTATATAAAGGCTATAGCTTTAAAGCGAAGGTATTCGAGTTTAATTATTCGTTATAAATTGTCTAGCTCCCTTAATAAAGCGATATAATTATTATTATACTTCTTTAAAAGAGTATTTTATAAGTCTTTAATAGTATTATATTCGATTCTAGTTCTATTTTCTCGACTATATTTAAAGCTATAGACGATTATCTTTAAATATAATAACGTTAATATATTCTATATTATATATAAAATATAGTATTTTTATATCTCTTTAAATATCTTAATTACGATAATTATTATTAAGAGTAGAAAGATATTATAAGATATTATAGATAAGATCGAGAATAATAAGATTTAACTTAATCGATTAGAGATTATATCTAAGATTTATTAATATAAATAAAGATTTAAGAGCTGAAAATTAGATATAATTTATATTAAAAGAAAGATAAAAGCTTCGAGATTATATATAATCTCTTATTATAAATTACGACTATCGACTATTTTATTAATAGAGTAATTATTTCTCTAGTAACTATCTATAATAAGAGTATTTTATATATACGATTTCGTCTATTAATTCTATAGATAGATATATTATAAGCTATTTACTCGAGAGAGTAAGATTAAAGAGATAAGATTATATTACTATAGATAAGTATTAAATTCATTATATTCTTCTATATTAATTTAAGATTTAGTCGATCTTCTTAAGTTTAGAAGCTCTCTCTCTTATTATTATTCTCGCGATAGAGATTATCTCGAGAAGATAATAATATTAATATTAAAAAGGCCCTATAATCTATACCCGAGTCTATATAATATATATCTTATTTTATAAAATTAGAATCGAGATATTACTTTTATTTTACTATTCGAGACTATAATAAAATTATAAGATATCTACTTCTCTTTCTAAGATCCTCGAAAGCCTTATCTCTTATATCGCTTATTACTTCTAATATTATACTTATTCTATTAAACTTATATATTTATTATTCTATAGACTATAAGGCTATTATATTTAATTATTAAGTTAAGAAGACTCCCCGCTATAGCGCGTATCGGGTTTTTAAATATAAAAAGACTAATTAATATAATTAATATATTTTTAGCTTACTTAGAGATATAATAATTACCTTTAAATAAGTTATAAGAGGTATTATATTTAATCTCTAATAGTAAGAATAATAACTTCTAATAATAATATTCTATTATTATTAGAGAGTAATAATAAATAAAGATATTTCTTATAAAAGCTAACGTCTATAAGATTTTTAGAGTTCTCGAAGCGTTATATCTAGTACTTTCGATTAATATTATATCGAAGAGTAGAAGATAAATATAAAAAGAAAAAGAAAATAATATTAATAATATTAATAAAATAACCTATAGATAGAGTGATTAAATATTATTTATTTAAGAATATTAAAATATATAGATTAACTCTAATCTATAACTTCTTAGAGATATATTATTATCTTTATATTCTTTAATATATAGATTATAAGTTATTTTAATATAGAAAATCTTAATACGATATCGTATATTTATATTAGATCTTAATCTTACTAAAAACTTTCAGCGTTTATATCTTTATTATAAATTTTATCGCTTTTATTATTAGATTCGATTTAGATAAAATCTCTTTAATATTAATTGACTAGTTATCTTAAGTAACTAGTCTATCTTTCTTAAATAAGAGATATATTCTAAAAATATAATTTTAAGTCTAATTACTCTTCTTATAGATATATTTAAATATATTAATTACTCGATATATATAAAGAAGATTTTTAAAAGCTATCTTTATTCGTAGCTATATTACTACTAAGCTTATAACCTTTTTTATTTCTATATAAAAATTTATAGTACTATAATATAATTTAAAAATATATTTTTTAAGCTTAATACCTCTTATATATATCTTTTAGAGTACCTCTTAATTTATATTAATTAGTTTTCTAATACGCTATTTAGTCGCTAAGAGTAGATAGTATTAATTCTTATTAATATCTTATTACGATACCCATTTTATAAGCTTATCTACTATCTTATTATTTAAGACGTCTTTATAGACGGCGATTTAGCGTAGAGTAATTAATATATTTTTCTCTCTTAGCTTAACTAGCTTTTTTATAATTCTCTTAAAGATATATTATTCTAATTATCTCTATAGATTCGCTATTAATTATATTATTATCTAATTATTAATTTAAATAATAAGCGCTAGAAATATAATATCTATAGCGATCTCATAGACTATATTAATTTCTTTAAGTTTCTCGAAGTAGATAATATAATATTCGCTATTATCGAGATATTATATTTAAGTCTTATTTATTTAAGAAGCGTAGATTAATATACCTATTTTATTATCGATATCGCTATCATCGATATATATATATAAAAAGTTATAATCTATACTTATAATCTTATTATATTCTTTAATAATCTTTTCTCTATTTTTATATATCTTAATACTTAATAATTTTTATTATAAAGGCGTAATATAGAAAACGCGTCTCTTTATATCACCTTATATCTATTATTCGTAAACTCTAAACTCTAATTATTCTAGAGAACTCTTAAACTTTATTTATTTATTAATCGATTTTTATAGTTCGTTTATAACTCGAATTAATTTAATAGTATTATTATAAGGGCGTAGTTTACTAGTAGTTAGCTAGTAAATATAAGCTATAAAAGACGTAATATCGTTATAGAATTTAATAGTATATTTAATAATAGAACTAATCTCTAAGAAATATTAAAACTTCGAGATATATAAAGTAGATCTATATCCGCTAAGCTCTTAAGTATATAAGATATATTATTAAAATTAAACTCTAAAAGGAACTTTAATATAGAATATATAATATTAATATCTTAATATAAGTAGCGCTAAGATCTATAACGTATTAGATTTAATAATTATTTTTTCTTCTAGATCTTAATTCTTAAACGCTTAAGTAAAAATAGAATACTTATTAAAAAATCTTTAAACTCTAATAGAGAAATAAGAGAAAAGAGTCGATTTATTAAGATTATAATATCGTTTTAATAATATAATAGAATTAATTCTTACGCGCCGTAGGCGCGTAATTAATATATTATATAATAATATTAATACTATCTTTAAGAATAATATCGCTTTTATAATATTAATTAATAATAATCTATAATAAGTTAATACGCTTAATATTAATATTCTTATAGCGCTAGTTAATAATCTCTATAGCGAATAATATTAGATTTAAAAATTTATAATAAAATCTTAAAAATCTAATAGATAAAAGAAGAGAGAAGAGTTTTTCTATAAATAACGTCGTTTTTATAGCGTATTACACTTATAGCGAAATAACGTAATAATAATCTTTATTATAAAAATTTAAAGGGAGTAATTAATAGAGCGACGCGTTCGCGATAACGCTCTTAATTATTAATTAATAATAATAGTAGAAATAATAATAATAGCTAGGCGACGCGACTCTATAAATAATAGCGAAATATTACTATATCGCTACTATCTACGT